ATAAATTGACTTTTCAGATGATTACTTTTCTTTTAAAAATAATAATATCTCATTACTTTTCATGTGGATTTTGTGGAACAAATCAGATCGTAAGTATCTCCATATTTTACTTAATGATTAATGAGAATGTGACTTGTTCCTTTTCATGAGGGTGCGGTGTAGTTACTACTGTAATATGCAGTATTGATTAAGTTCTAATGACATCCTCATGATAAGTCCATGTTATGACGTGTACCATGTCCATGAGAGCCAATTAGATTGCATGGATCACCGGTGATTTCAACAGACTTTCAATACTGATAGAAGGAAAATGACTTTTCTTTACACAATATCTCATAATATTTTTTGATTGAGAACTTTATCAAGGATTCTGCCAACTCTTCGATATAGAAATGAATAAAATGACTTCTCAGATGATTACTTTTCTTTAATAAATAATACTTTCTCATTACTTTTCATGTGCATTTCAAATTAAGGTTTTTTTCTTTAATGGAATCTCCTTTCTTTGATTGAGAACCTTATCAAGGATTCTGCTAACTCTTCAATATAGAAATGAATAAATTGACTTTTGAGATGATTACTTTTCTTTTAAAAATAATAATATCTCATTACTTTTCATGTGGATTTTGTGGAACAAATCAGATTGTAAGTATCTTCATACTTTACTTAATGGTTAATGAGAATGTGACTTGTTCCATTATATGAGGATATGATGCAGTACCGTAATAAGCAGTATTCATTAATTTCTAATCAAATCCTCATAATTAATCCATCTTATGATGTTCATCATGTCCATGAGAGCCAATCAGATGGCATGGATCACCAGTGATTTCAAAATACTATCCTTATTGATATAATAAAAATGACTTCTCCTTACATAATATCTCATAATATTTATATTATTAAGGTTTTTTTCTTTAATGGAATCTCCTTTTTTTGATTGACAACTTTATCAAGGATTCTGCTAACTCTTCGATATAGAAATGAATAAAATGACTTCCCAGATGATTACTTTTCTTTAAAAAATAATGCTATCTCATTACTTTTCATGTGGATTTTGTGGAACGAATCAGGTTGTAAGTATCTTCATACTTTACTTAATGGTTAATGAGAATGTGACTTGTTCCTTTTCATGAGGATGCGGTGTAGTAACTACTGAAATATGCAGTATTGATTAAGTTCTAATGACATTCTCATAATTAGTCCATGTTATGATGTGTACCATGTCCATGAGAGCCAATCAGATGGCATGGATCACCAGTGATTTCATTAGACTTTCATTACTGATAGAAGGAAAATGACTTTCCTTTACAGAATATCTCATAATATTTTTTTTTATCGTTATTTCCTTTCATATTAATGCTATTTGACCGGAATAAAATGGGTTTAAAATATCAGCCTGGCTGCTTTGCTGCTTTACACTAATCGTTGACATGAAATTTAATGAGCATCCCTTAGTGGGGTGATTTCATTTTACTTTCAAATTAAGGGTTTTTTCTTTAATGGAATCTCCTTACTTTGGTTCAGAACTCTATCAAGGATTCTGCTAACTCTTCCATATAGAAATGAATAAAATGACTTCTCAGATGATTACTTTTCTTTAAAAAGTAATAATATCTCATTACTTTTCATGTGGATTTTGTGGAACAAATCAGATCGTAAGTATCTTCATACTTTACTTAATGATTAATGAGAATGTGACTTGTTCCTTTTCATGAGGATGCGGTGCGGTAACTACAGTAATATGCAGTATTGATTAAGTTCTAATCACGTCCTGATAATGATTCCATCTTATGATGTTCATCATGTCCATGAGAGCCAATCAGATGGCATGGATCAACAGTGATTTCAAAATACTATCCTTATTGATATAATAAAAATGACTTTTCCTTACATAATATCTCATAATCTTTATATTATCATTTAAGTCCCTGATATATTCTTTGGTGCAGAAACGCAACCACTTTATTCATAAGAAAAAAAACCTGATTTCCTTTCATATTAATGCTATTTGACCGGAATAAAATAGGTTTAAAATATCAGCCTGGCTGTTTTGCTGCTTTACACTAATCGTTGACATGATATTTAATGAGCATCTCTCAGTGTGGTGATTTCATTTTACTTTCAAATTAAGGTTTTTTTCTTTAATGGAATCTCCTTTCTTTAGTTAAGAACTCTATCAAGGATTCTGCTAACTCTTCAATATAGAAATGAATAAAATGACTTCTCAGATAATTACTTTTCTTTAAAAAATAATAATATCTCATTACTTTTCATGTGGATTTTGTGGAACGAATCAGCAAGTAAGTATCTTCATACTTTACTTAATGGTTAATGAGAATGTGACTTGTTCCTTTTCATGAGGATGCGGTGCAGTAACTACAGTAATATGCAGTATTGATTAAGTTCTAATCACGTCCTCATAATGATTCCATCTTATGATGTTCATCATGTCCATGAGAGCCAATCAGATGGCATGGATCAACAGTGATTTCAAAATACTATCCTTATTGATATAATAAAAATGACTTTTCCTTACATAAAATCTCATAATCTTTACATTATCATTTAAGTCCCTGATATATTCTTTGGTGCAGAAACGCAACCACTTTATTCATAGGAAAAAAAAAACCTGATTTCCTTTCATATTAATGCTATTTGACCGGAATAAAATAGGTTTAAAATATCAGCCTGGCTGTTTTGCTGCTTTACACTAATCGTTGATATTTGTATGATATTTAATGAGCATCCCTTAGTGTGGTGATTTCATTTTACTTTCAAATTAAGGTTTTTTTCTTTAATGGAATCTCCTTTCTTTGGTTCAGAACTCTATCAAGGATTCTGCCAACTCTTCGATATAGAAATGAATAAAATGACTTCTCAGATGATTACTTTTTTTTAAAAAATAATAATATCTCATTACTTTTCATGTGGATATATCTCATTACTTTTCATGTGTGATATTTAATGAGCATCTCTCAGTGTGGCGATTTCATTTTACTTTCAAATTAAGGTTTTTTTTCTTTAGTAGAATCTCCTTTCTTTGATTGAGAATTTTATCAAGGATTCTGCTAACTCTTTAATAAAGAAATGAATTAAATTGGCTTTTCAGATCATTACTTTTCTTTAAAATGTGACTTGTTCCTTTTCCATGAGGATATGGTGCCGTAACTACAGTAATATGCAGTATTATCTAATCACATCTTAATTAATTAGTCCATCTTATGATGTTCATCATGTCCATGAGAGCCAATCAGATGGCATGGATCACCAGTGATTTCAAAATACTATCCTTATTGATTTAATAAAAATGACTTTTCTTCATACTATATCACATTATATTTATTATTATCATTTAAGTCCATGATATATTCTTTGGTGCGGGAACGTGACCACTTTAATCGTAGTAAAAGAACCTGATTTCCTTTCATAATACTGCTATCTGACCAGAATGAAATCGGTTTAAAATATGAGCCGGGCTGTTTTGCTGATTTACATTAATGAATAATTAATTAATCATATTAATGCTATCTGAAACAAATGGAATCGGTTCAAAATATCAGCCTGGCTATTCTGATGAGTTACATCAACTGTTGATGTAATATTTTATGAGCATCCCAGAGAATGGTGAATTCATTTTACTTCCAAAAGGTTGCTTTTCAATTGAATTTTCTTACTTTTATTGAGTTTTCTATCAAGGATTCTGCGAACTCTTTATTTTGAGAATGAATAAAATTAACTATTCAGATGATTACTTTCTTTTAACAATTAATACTATCCTTTTACCTTTCATGTTAATTTTGTGGAACGAATCAGGTGGTAAGTGTCTTCATACTTTACATAATGATTAATGAGAGTTTGGCTCGTTCCTTTTCATGAGGATGTGGTGCAAAAAGTACTGTTATATGCAGTATTGATAGATTTCTGATAACATCCTCATAATCATCAATCCTATAAAGTTATCATGCCCATGAGAGCCGATCAGAAGGGAAAGATCATCAGCGATTTTAAAATACTATCATTATTGATAGAAGAAAAATGACTTCACACTATATCACATTATATTTATTATTAATATTGAAGTCCCCTAAAAACAAAAGGCTTAAATTGTATGTAAATGTATCACAATCATCATTCTTTAACCTTTCACACTCTAACATCAGTATGCGTATTCTCCATAGCACGCAAGTGAGCGTGGAAAATACCAGCCATAAGTTACAATGGTTATAACTCATGAATTCTTATAGTTATTTTAATTTGATATAGTCAAAAAACTTGAATGAATGGGCAATGGTTCGTGCATGTAATTTGCAATATTGGCAGGCCGTTCTTCTACTTAGAGTCACTTTAACTTGTCAATCATTTAAAGTTCTGATATAGATATAATTGATGGTGGCTGGTCATCCTGGAAGTCATGGGGGAGGTGCAGCCTAACTTGTGTTATAACATAGCTAGCAGAGCCGCGCAATCAAATTCAGTATACGTAAGCGTGCTCAAAATCCCAATAGTGCACGCTGATAGCGTGAGCAAATCGCTTCGCCAGAAATTTTTCTTTTTTCGCGCGAACGGCTATTGTTAGCGCGGGGAAAAATAATATATTTCGCGACAATGATGGATACAACAGACCCAGTCAGTCCCAAAACGAAAACAATTTTCCGACCTTTTCCCTTGGGCTAGAGTTCATAAATGAGGCAGAAAAAGAGAAAAACAACTGAAAAGGAGACTCGGCATCAGCGCCGTCACGATTCGCTTCACTTCACTTAATATTTCGCTTACCGCGAACAATCACTTCTGATATTGTTGTCCGTTTTTCGCGTCGGATTTGATGCACAATTCCACCGCTTCTTTCGAGTTCTCCAAACTTCTCATGTGCTCCATAACTCGATAGTGCACGCTAAAGCATGAACCAATTGTTAAGTGGTGGATCACAGAGTTGAGTGCGCAGCTGTACAAATCCTCCCCCACAGTGGGGTGGAAATGGGTGTCATAGACATAGTAGCATGAGCCAATCTTGCAACACAATTCATTGTCAGGGGAGAGTGTGTAATCAGTGTTAAACCAACAATCTTTTATTATCTTGATTGTTAATTTTGCTGGTTCCAGGTGCTCCATGCACCTTTACATTAATTTACATGGTTTTATAAATATCAGTGTTTAGCAGTTGCAAGGTTTCTACCATATGCTGGTATTAAAATTTTATTAAGTTTCTTTCATGCCGTATTCTTTTTTGAAACGGTCAAAATGTTGAATGAATTAGCAATATATATGCATGCAATTTGCAATATTGGCAGGCAGTTCTTCTATTTAGAGTCACTTTAACTTGTCAGTCATTTAAAGTTCTGATATAAATTTAGTTGACGGTCGCTGGTCATCCTGGGGGTTATGGGGGAGGTGCAGCCTAACTTGTGGTGGTGGATCTCAGAGCCGAGTACGCAGATGTACAAATCCTAGCCCAAGCAATGGTGGAGCTGGGTGCTATGGACGAAGTCGTATGAGCCGATCTTGCGACACAAATCATTGTCCAGGTGAGAGTCTGTAATCAGCGTTAAACCAACAATCTTTTATTATTTTGAGTATTAATTTTGCTGGTTCCAGGTGCTCCATGGGAGCATGGGAGAGCTGCAATGTAACTTATGGGGGTGGATTGTAAAGACGAGTTTTAAAGTTTTAAAGTTGTTTCTTGACGGCTTTTTCTTGAAACATTGTTAGTCAGTGGTGGTTGGAATGAGTGGAGTCCCTGGAGTATCTGCACTAAAACAGTCAGTGGCATACAGATAAGGTTTAGAGAATGTTCAAATCCAGAACCAGCTTATGGTGGGAAACATTGTAATGGGAGCAGAGCACTTGTAAGGGAATGTAACAAAATGTCCAGCTGCCACGAAGGTAACATACAGATGGTAAAATCAGTGAGTTTGAGTTTTAAATACATAGGGCAACATTAATTGAAATACAGACATCATAGATGGTCTGAAGTCTAGTCATAGTTAAACCCCATATTAAAAAGGCCAAGTCCTGTCAAAAGTCTTTGTCGTTTAATCTACATCCTACTAAATTTACCTTGTCCAAAATCAGCATTAACATTGCAGCTTAAATAACGTTATTTCCATTACTATTATCACTATCATTTTCTCACTCATTATTATCATGAAGATCATCATTGTCATTATTATTATCATACAATCCCTATTACTATTATTGCAAATGTTTATGTTACTTTAGTATCATCATTCATATTCTTATTATCCTCATAAGTGTTCACTGTTGTCATCCAGAAGCATTTAGCGCTAAATTTCTTGTCAATCACTACTGAAATATTTAGTTTCTTGATAGAATAGTATGGGATGTCTGATGTGAACAATATCAATTACCTTCTTTTTTTTAACTGATCCTGAAAGATACCATTTAATTTGGGGCTGATGATTATGTTTCTAACACACCAATAATTGTACATATGAAACTAAGTACCTTTTTGGGGCAATCATCGGCAAAATAATTAAAATTTGTAGAATCTTGAAGAGGGGCCTCTCAAGATATACATATACTTCTGTGGTTTTTCTTTCATCAGTATTTCCACTGCGCTTTAAAACGGAGAGCAACCCCTCGGCTGGTAAAATGGAAATCTATACAAACAGCAGCTGGAAAAAGCTTTGCACCAGTACGTGGAATAAAGTTGAAGTGGATTTGACATGCATAGCAATGGGATACTCTAACAGCAGTGATTATGGTAGATGGTATGAAGACAGTGGCAATGTATCAGAAACATCCACTAATTTCAACTGCACCACCACTTTGACTAAATGTGAAGAAAGCTTCTCAAACAAACTGCAATTCTGCAAAGGTATTAACAAATTATGCATTTTGGAATCTGTTTTCATATCTGTTTCAGTCTTCTCTTTTGTACATCTTATTCTAGGTACCCTTATCAACTTGATCATAATTCCAGCGGTAGACCTCGCCAAAACATCCTTTCTTGCTTTGCTAACTGATTATGTACTCATGTTTTCTCAGAGACTTTTCTCTAAAAAAACCGTTTCCCATCAAAGAACCCGTACAACTAAATTGGATTTCTAAACCTGTATTAACACCTTGAACTTTTAAATTTCTTCATAATCCTGCTATCTCCTTCCCTCATCCATATTTCATCTTTTCATTAATTCACTGTATGACTTACCTTCACTAATTTCTCATTATTTTGCAATTTTATAAGTTCCCGTTCGTTTAATTGGTGCAAATGTAGAGTATGGTGGTAGAGTGGAAGTATTTTACAAAGGGAAATGGGGAAAAATTTGCACCAATGGATGGGATTTCAATGATGCCCAAGTTATTTGTCGTCAACTTGGCTTTGAAGAGGCTCTTGCTGAATTTATGGGCTCAAACATAGAGGATGGAAACACTACTTCTGTAATGGTGGATGTTTCCTGCACTGGAGTGGAAGATAAACTTGCTTCGTGTGCTCGCACTGATGGAAAGTTAAATGTCCCCAGTCAATGTCAAGGAGATGGCAAAGGTTCTCAAGCGCTGTGTCAACCAAGTAAGTAAGGCATTCATAATGCCGAGATGGAAATTCCTAAAGGTGACTGGTCCTCGTGAACAGTCACGTGTTTAAAATTAAACACCAAAGATCAAAATACCATTAGCTTTGAAATTAACTAATACCAAAATATTGAGACAAAATGAACTGATAATTGTGCTACTTGCAAACATTTCTTTCAGATAACAAACAAGTGTTGGGAAAAGAGAGACTTTACTTTAATATTGGCACCAATGAAATCCTTCACTGCTCAATACGTAACGAAACCAGTTTCGCAAGATGGGTCATAAATGGTCAAAAGGTGCAAGGGATGAATTCCTCTTCTAAGAGGGTCAAGACCACAGAAGGTGGTAAACTGGTCATAGAAAATGTGCAGTTGTCTGATGGAGGAACATATGAATGCCTCAGACTGGAATATGTTCAGTATTACACGGTTTACATTAATGGTAGGAAAATCCTTTTCAACACATTTAGAAGACCTTAATTGCCTCATTGTAGAGTAAGTTAACATAGCAGTAAATATGCCCAGCACTCACAATATAGACACACAATAGGGACTAGTTAGCTTTTCTTCATTGCGGCTTCAGTAAGTGGTTATTTTCTTTATTTATTTCAACAGCAAGATTCACTGAGAACACTAGAGACCAGCAGAGCCTGACTGCTCACACATCTGGTACTATAAACTGTGGTGCTGAAGGAACACCACGTCCACAGATAACTTGGAGGAAACAAGGAGAAATGTTAGTACTTGATGGGAGAAGATTCACCCAAATTCCCGGTGGCAGTCTACAGATTGATCCTGTTCACCCTGAAGACAATGGCACATACAGATGTACCATGACACAAAATAAAGGATCAAAAAGGGTCACAAGAACACATAAAAACATACTTGTGTCTGTTATAGGTGAGTGAGTTATTGGAAAAATCTGAAACTGGTTGGGTCATTATACTAACACGTAATAATAGGAAAAATAGTGATAAAAACTTTATTTCAGTGTCAAACCATGAAGCCTGAGGAATCCATGCTAATAAAGGGACACAGACTAATACAAAATACAAAACTTAAATGACTAAAATATCTACCCTAAAATATGAATAGTATAAAATGCAGTCTAAAATATATTAAAAATGAAGCTAAACATTATAGGTAACTATCGATTGCTGATCTTAAGGATTTAGTCACTGAAGTAGTTCAGTTGCATGGAGGTAATGCTGGTAAGATGGGTTTCTGATTTCATTTATTGAGGTTAAAATGATCTTTTTTTTTTTTTTTTTGAAGGGCTTTTAATTTTTTTTCGATGGGCATTTTTGCAAGGTCACCTTATATGTTCCAATGATTTGTAGTTTTTAGCTGTTAGAAAAGGACTTTCAGCTGGTTATTCAAATTAGTTAGATTAAAATGCATTGCATAATTTGTAGATTGATGATAGTAAAAGTTATATGCTAATAGTTAATTGCCTTCTAGGATATTTATATTATGTGTGTGCAAGAAAGCTGTTTTAACTTTTTTACTTCTTTATTCAAAGTTCGACCAGAGGTTAAAGTTTCAGGAGCAAGCAATCTAATCAGAGAAGGAGACGCTGTGACTTTGACTTGTAAAATCACTCAAGGTCAGCCTCAGCCACAGACAACCTGGTTTAAGAATAACTCTTCTAAGGGACACAACATGTCTCTCTCCTTCAATAAGATAACAAAGGAAGACGCAGGTCTGTACTCCTGTCGAGCAAAAAATCGTGGAGGAACTTCTACTGAAAATATCTATATTTCTGTTAATGGTAAGTTATCAGGTCTAAAATTGGATTTTAAATCATTCAGTTGTGTAAGCTGCGGCCGGATAGACTCTGGACTAATTGCTGTGGGTTAAGGTGCTGGCCAGGATCATTGTGCCGTCTTCTTGAGTGAGGAAATACCTCCATCTAGTTGGAGGGTTTTCTTCTTGAAATCTCTTCCTTTTTTTAACATTTACTTTAAAATTTCGAACTGCAAATCGATATGATACATATGTACTGCTGGTTAGTCGAGCAAGATCATTTCTGTAGTATCCTCTTGAATGACAGGCTTCGCCTGCATGGTGTCTGACTCTCCACACAGACAGTGGAGCTACGGTATTGGTGGGAATATGGTGACAAGAAAACACGAATAAATTAGTTTAGCGCTTTTCATTCAACTAATATATTCTTGTTTTCTTGTCATCATATCCCCACCATAGCATGGCTCTCTTTTCTGCATTTAAACCCACGCACAATCCACAATTCCTCCAATCGATCTGGCGAAGGGCTAACGCTCGAAATGTCAGCCTTGAAATTGTTTACGGCGGCCAATTTACGTTTCCAGCTCAGTTGATAACACTCAATTGCCCTGCTATACTCTCCCACCGACGCAGCACCACAGTTTCTTAAGAAACTTACATCCTTTCTCCACACAGAAGTAGTATTGAACTTATAAGAAAAATTAACAATTGATAAGTGGTGGTAACTAATTTCCGTTACGTTCCGCTTCATTGATGACCGAGGAATCTCTCGTGTTTCCCTATTATTCACAAATTAGACTCAAAGAATCTGCCACAACAATACATTACATTTTGCTAACATTTAAATTTTGAATTCCATATTGCAATGACGCGGTTGTATTGGTGGTTGGCCGTGAAAAATCATTTGTGTAAGTCTCTGAGGATGACAGTCTTCACTCTCATGATGCCTGAATCTCCACTGGGAATTTTAATGAACTTTTAAGAAAACCTTTACTAGTTGTTAAGGGTTTGTAATTAATTTTCTGAGCTTGATCCACAAATGAAGAGTCGCAAGTGATTTGCAATCATTCACAAGTTCAAAAGGAAATATTTTTCCCCCAAATTAATGTGTAGTTGAATCCGTCTTCAGTAAACTGAGAAGTATGGTGCTTGCTTCCAACTTTTAGTTTCTTAGCTCAATTATATTACACGGCTGCTATTTGGTAGTCATTGGCTGGAGCAATGAGTGGAAGCCAAAACAAAACGTCTGCCATGACAATATATGCTCTGTATCTGTTAATATTATCTCATCTTGACTTTTATTTCAAAATTTTCTTCGTAGTTCCGCCACATCTAAATCCTGAACTCAAGAATCTTTCAGTCCCACTGAACTCCACATTTGAAACATATTGTTTTAAAAGAGGTGATCCTCCACCATCTGTCAACTGGACCAAGGATGGAAAAGCTCTTGGTAACAACAATACATTAGTTATTAAGCACATGACGTTTGATCATGGAGGTTTCTATGAATGTGTTGCTGAAAATCTGGTTGGAAAAGTCAACATCTCCTTCTGGATCGATGTCACTGGTAATCAAAACCATTTTATAAATAATTACAAACGGTGCTTGGTTTGTCTTAGACGGATTCATATCTAGATATCAATCTAACTGGTACCTCAGTAAGATTGGTATCTAGATATGAAATGGATGCTCACCTTAGTTATGTTGGTACAAACTAAAGTTTTCATAATATTAATATATTTAGGGGTCTAACTTACCCATTTGAAATGTGATATCCCTATCTATTCCCATGTACAGAATCTGGGTAACATCTCTAACTTCTGAAAATGCACATATTTAGCAGACTCAAAAAATCTTCTCTCACATTTAATTACTGCAATATGACCTGTGGTTGTCCAGTTTTATCTAGAGAACCTTGATTGAAGATTAACGGTGCCCTTTTTATTTCCAGTTTCTCCTCAGATCAAACTGTCTCCGATAAACCAGTCTGTTATTGATGGAGACTCAGTTAACTTTACTTGCCGTGCCACAGGTGTTCCAACACCAAACCTGGCCTGGACATTTAAAGACGGTAAACTTCCATCGGGTACTAAAGAAAACAAGTTAGAGGGAGACTCATTTGTAGAATTATTTCTGGAAATTCAGAAAATAACGAAGAAAATGGAAGGAATATACAAGTGTACAGCTAAAAACAAAGCACATACAACCAGTTCCTCCACAACACTTCACGTTTTTGGTAGGTAGATAATACTAATGATAATGATAGTAATCATAATTTTAGTGATATATATGATAATTGTAGCGTCCACTCATAGCTACTTGAAACCGTACTTTAATCAGTTGTTCACTTGCTAGTTCGTTTCTAATCTGCACATAACTTGTATTCATTCCATTCACAAATTGCCCGTGAAAGAGAAAGATTCGCTGAAATAACAACAACGCGACTATTACAAAGATGATATTGACCGAATAACCGAAATACTGCATACTTACAAGTTATTGTGCCTTCTAAATAGAAAGGAAAACTTGTCCTAACGAAACGACAGTATAACTCCATAACAAAACATGTGCTTTTCGTGGGAAAGAGCGCCCGCGATATTTTGCGTGCGGTCACCGAAGACCACACCATATAACGTTTATTTTCTGTCTCTTACAATAATAATGATAATGGATCTATTGTAAACAAGGATTATATATGATGCCTTTGTCTTTTGAGTTTATCTCCCTCGCTAGTGAATAGAATGTAAGTCGGAGATGGTGATTAGTTTAAGAGTCGATCAAAAATAACAAAGAGCTTGTTAAGACTGGTTTTTGAAATAACCGTTTTGAGATTGATTTTCGAACATAATTTTGGAAATTGTGTGAGAAACTAAAGCCCGTGTGAGCAGCTACGTGGTTGGGTTTAACGTATCCCGGGAAAATGATGAATTCTTGGAAAGGTACTCGTCCTGTGCGCATATGCAATTCACCAATAGTTTGGTTACATCACTCCTTGATGTGATAGCTTTGCAACATTTTTTCAATGGTCACACTGCTCATTTTTGCCAGGTAATGCCATTGAAACTTTTACCAAAACTCTTTTGAAGCACCATTTACCCTACAATTTTCGTTCAGAGGGTTGCTTTTGGATTCTTTCGTGTCCATGATAATTACATTACTAAGATATTATCAGTGAAGCTGTTTTAGACTAAATTGCAAGTTTTCTCTTTCTCCACACAGAAAAACCCGTTGCTCGAATAACGTCAAATTCACAATCAATACTCGCCACAGGTGATAATCTCACATTGACTTGCAGCGTCAACGAAGCAACAGTGAATATCACTTGGAAAAAGGAAGGACACCTAATAAAAGAAAGGGGAGTCATTGATACGAAATTGGATAAGAAAACAAGTGATCTGGCTATTGCCAAAGTTGAGGAGGAGGACAGTGGTAACTATTCCTGTGAAGCTCGTAATAGATTAGGAAATGTGGCCCGCTCCAATGTGACGATAGAAGTCAAACGTAAGCTATTATTATTGTAGTGTCTACCATTAACCATTAAAGGTCATTCATTTTCGATGAAACTGCTCCTTTTCCAATCTTTTTTTTTAGAAAACTGTAAACAGAATTTACAATATGGGTCCACTGGCTTTTAGAAGCAGTAGCACCAACTTGTAGAGACTCGAATAATTTGTAGCAATATCCTCATGATTGCTTGTTTTCTATTCGGGTGTTGCCATTGGTCTTCATCCAATTTACAATAATTGAAGGTTGTTTCTCAATTCAAAACAAGATTTGAATAGCGTAGCTCATCTATTCATATTTCTGATTTACCTTTTCATAAGGCAATGAGCAGGCAAAAATCTAGCTTAAAATAGTACGCCGACCTGGATAGTTACAATTGCTAAAATTTAGACGATCAGATTATCAATTTAATTTGCAGTGTCTGGTGTTTCCTGCACTTTTAATGTGTTAGAATTGGCATATCGCGCTCAGATTGATGGGAAGTCAAATTTCCCGGGTAAATGGCAAGGAGATGGCAAAGGTTTTTTATTCTTGTGACAACCAAGTAAGTAACATACTGACAGCGCCAGAATGAAACTTCGTAAAGGTTGCTGGTCGTAACGACCATTCATTTGTTTGCAGTGTTTACATTTTTACATTCAAGGTCTAGATACCAATGTCCCTGTGACGATAATCTTATTGTAACTCTTTAATTTTTATTTCTAGTCCCACCACATTTAAATCATGAACTCAAGAATCTTTCAGTCCCACTGAGCTCCACACTTGAAATAGACTGTTTTATAAGAGGTGCTCTTCCAGTATTTGTCAACTGGACCAAGGATGGAAAAGCTCTTCATAGCAACAATATATTAGTTATTAAGCACGTTACTTTTGACGATGGAGGTTTCTATGAATGTGCTGCTGAAAATCAGGTTGGAAAAGTTAACATCTCCTTCAGATTGGATGTCACTGGTAAATCAAAATCATTTTATGAAGATTTACAAACGTTGCTTGGTTAGTTCTCATTGAAGAGCGCGGTACTGCCGTGCGATAGTTAAAGCCCTTGACTGGACCAGCTGAACTCAACTTCAAAGGAAAAGATAGCAGCCTTTTGAAGACGCTTTTGTTTATGTTGGACATTTGAATAGGATTTCCACAATCCAAGTTTATTCATTTGTTTATAAATTTGTCTTTGATTAGGATACGTCATTCAAATTGATATCTTTATATGAATGGAAAATTACCTTCTGCATATGAGTATAAATTAATATTTTTATGCCGGTAATATTCACAAGTTATTCCTGTGTACGGTGTACAAGTGATTCTTTTACCTCAGGAAATTCATGTACTTAGAAGACTCCCAAATTTGCTCTTCTTATTGCCAGATTACTTGTGGTTATTCGATTGTATCTTGAGAACATTTGTTGAACATCAGTGGTGCTCTTTTTATTTTCAGAGTGTCCTCAGATTTCATTGTTTCCGGTAAACCAATCTGTTATTGATGGAGACCCAGTAAACTTTACTTGCCATGCCACAGGTGTTCCAACACCAAAACTTAACTGGACATTTAATGGCGGTAAACTTCCATTGGGGATCAATAAAAAAAATTCTAAGGGAGACTCATTCCAGGAATCATTCCTGGAAATACAGAGAGCAACAAAGAAAATGGAAGGAACATACAAGTGTACAGCAAAAAACAAAGCAAATGGAACAAGTTATTCCACAATACTTCAAGTATTTGGTAGGTTCAATAATTTTAATGATTATGATGATAATGATAATAATACTACAAGGATGGTGATGATTGTAATAATAATAATAATAGTAATCTTAATTTTAAGAGCAATAAGGGTAATGATGGGGATGGATCCGTTGCAACAACGATAATTAATGATACCTTCCAAATATGAGGTGGAAATGGTGGCTGATGGCTAGAGGTTGCCCAAGAAGAACTGATAGCTTATTAAGAATGAGATGGAGTCGCAATACCCCTGGAATTTCTCTAAGACAATAGAGTTAAAGAATGCAAATACAAGCTTGAGTGAAAAATACCGTTATGAATTATGGGAAGGATAGTCGTTGCACATGCACCATTTACCAGTTGTTTAAGATGACTCTTCCATATAATCACTTTGTGACATTTTGTTATGGTCACTCTGATCATTGTGACTCAAAAGCTTTTGATCACTGTGATGATCTGTAGCTTTGTATTGGGCAATATGTCTTTATAATAAAAAACAAAGGGCCGGGTCTCGGTTTATTTGGAAGCATCTTTGAATGGGGTCTGAGACCCTTTGGAAAATCTTCAGAAACATGTTGGGTAAGCATTTCAAACCCTTTTTGAAGCCAAGTTTCACTCAAATTGGCACGTCATACCCCGCATGTACCATTTGGAGGGTTGATTTCAGATCGCTTAGTTTCTCTGATAATTACCTTACTGAGTTATATTGAGTGAATTTTTTTTATGAAAACCAAGTAATGTATACATCATCTCTTTCTCAACACAGAAAAACCCACTGCCAAAGTAAGTCCAAAACCATACCCAACACTCACTCAAGGTGATAAGCTTAGCTTAACTTGCAGCGTCAATGAAGCAACAGTAAATATCACTTGGAAAAAAGATGGAGACCCAATAAAAGAACGGGCAGTCATTGATACGCAATTGGATGAGACTACAAGTTATCTGATTATTACAAAGGTTGTGGAGGACGACAGTGGTGAATATTCCTGTGAAGCCCGTAACAGACTAGGAAATGTGGCCCGCTCCATTGTGATGATAAAAGTCAACTGTAAGTTGGCAGTATTGTAGTGTAGAAACAATCTAAAATTTAACAGCAGTAAATCATTGGACTTGATGGAACCTGAAACTTTTAAGCACGCTATTTGCTGTTTTCTGTTTGTTTGTTTGTTTTTTTGCCTTTGTTTGTTTTTATTGTTGTTTTTTTTTTGTGTGTGAATGCATGTATGGATGTTGGGTGTAAGCTTGTAATTAAAATATGGGTCCCCTGGCCTTTTAGATACAGTAGAACCTCCCTTTAGATACCCAAACAATTATCATCATTTTTGTTTGTTTCCTATTTGGCAAGGGGAATTGCTCTATATCCATTGAAAAAAAAGGCAGTTAATTTCTCAATTCAAAACAAGATTCTAGCCAGGTCTTCTCTATATAGTTTTGATTTACCTCTCTTTGAATCTCTGCTTTAAAATAGTAGCCATTTCTAATAAGCCAGCAAAGCTCTAGCGAAAAATAGTATCCAGAGGAGCTGGCTAATACTGAGTAACAACCTTTTCCTTATCATCACGTTTACTACCTTTGTCATTTGGCTAAGAAGCATGTGTTTAACTTACACCAACAGCTGTTAGTCCATTTCTGGTGTGGTATTATATTTTTGGATCAATGGCTGCTGTCATTGTTATTTTGCTCATGGGCTGCTATTTTTGGAAACGTCGATGGACAGGTAAACCTCGTTCTTCATATCTTGTTTTGGGTGATTTTTCCAGAGAATACTAAGTTGTGCGAGAAGCAAAAAATGGGACCAGTTTATTTTTACTTTTACTTCACCTCGTATTTCAATTGGTCTCCTCAAGTTCGCTATTAGTTAAATATTAATATCATCTTGATTTGCTGGAAAATGAAGACCTTTGAGGCACTATAGGCATTTTTCTACTGTTTCTTGTCTTGCGATTTTATCTGATTTATAATCTTCCATCAACCACTGACCAAAGTGCGTATTATTTTTATTTAAATATTAAAGTTAAGGCAGAAATTTTTTCCCTTCTTTATTTCTGTCTTTGATTTGCCAATTGGACCTACAGCGGCTGCTACCGCTCTGTAAGTCAATAAGTTTGCCTTTTATTTACCAAGCTGAAATGTTTTTTGGAAAAAAATTGAAGTTGGGGTTTAAAACTTACTGTCATGTCAACCATTCCATTTGGAAAGTTAACTAGAATGATAGTCTATGTGAACGAGTTGTTCTTCAATTGTAGTTTTTCTGCACAGGAAAATGTTGTTTTTTCATCTTTAGAGTGATAATCTTTCCATAAATTGAAGAAATCAGTCAAAATATTTAAGAAACTCAAAACGTTTCCATAACTTCTTTTCCTTGATCACTTATACTTTGATTTATCAATAGAAATTGTATGATTTTCATAAAATTTAGTCCTGATCAAGGGGAGTCAGTTGAGATTGAGCTGTCGAATGTAGAAGTGGATGAATGGGAGATTGAAGTGAACCGTATCCTGCTTCAAGATGTCATTGGGCGAGGGGCATTTGGAGCAGTGTGGAGAGCTCTTCTTAGTTCTCCAAATGGGAGACCTGGAAATCGTACAGTTGCTGCTAAATGCTTTACACGTAAGATCCATTCAATTATCTCTCCTCAAAGCACGTGGGTGGGTACTTAGCGTTTCTTGCCAAGGGTGCTTTGCACTTTCCAGTGATCATTTATCTCAGGTCAACTAAGGTGCTCTAAGAGATTCGTGCAAAGTTATTTTTCATAACAAAAGCAACAATTAAACAATAGAAGCAATAAATCAATGGCAATAAAAAATTTGAAGATGGCAAGCATGTGCCACAATCGTGAGGCAAAGAAAATATGAATTCCTCGAAAGGATTCGCTCGCCGACCGGTTCCATTTTTGCAGTTGTGAGCTCCAACAACTGGGTTTCAAAGACCTCCTAAGATGTGAGGTCTAAATCCTCACCCGAAATTTCGCTTCTTGAGCACGAGAAAATTCGTCAATAAGAATTTTTCCCCGGTTATAAAGTATTTCCTTTTTATTGTAGCCACCGCAGGGGAGGAAGGAAGAAAATGTTTGATGCGAGAGATCGAGCTGGGAAAAATTCTCGGTGTAAGCAATCAGCCAAACATAGTGAAATTCATTGGCTGCGTCACTAGACAAGGTACATACTAAGTTTAAGGCGTCATTATTATTATATGCAATAATATTTCAACTGAGTATGAGATTGTTAGCTTGTTTGTTTGTTTGTTTGTTTTTTTTAATACTGATTCGTTTCTTCTTTTCGTTATTTTAAGTTCATCCGATCCTTATCATGGAACATTTGCCATGTGGCGACCTGCTTGGTTACATGAGAAAATGCCGAGGAATTAATGATCGGTATTATCTTGGAGAAGGAAGGCCTCAAGTTTTGAACAACTATGACCTTGTGCTATTTGCCAAACAAATCGCCGCCGGTATGGTATTCCTTGGATCAAGGGGGGTAAGTAACTAAAATGCTTTTACATTCAATTTTACCGCAGAAATATCTCTAAGGGATTGTTATACCTTTTGAGTTGCTTGAATATAGATATATCTAAATTATATGAATTTTTTCGGAAGCAGGTTTCATATTCTCGATATTTTTCAAGAGTTCCTTTCGTATTGTCAGTGGGTCACCTAATGTCGCAGTCATTCTGGTATATGTTTGGTCTGTAATGAACACCCTAGGAACAATAGTTCTTACAACCCATGCAAACGTCTGTATAATGTTCCCTCTGGTCATGGTAGATCTCACAAAAGATATGCATTTGTAAGCAAGTTTACATTTTGGATCTTTGTCTTTCGGTAGATAATCCATCGTGACCTGGCAGCTCGAAACGTCCTCCTTGATAACAACTATGTGTGCAAAGTGACCGACTTTGGCATGGCATATCAAAGCTTCAAATATGGTCATGGAAATGCCAAAAAGGTAGAAGATCGTCTTTGCTTTATCTTTTTTGCGGTGGCACTTGTAAACAGATTCCTAAGGTTAGCTCTGATTCTGCCTAAAAAATACACCTTAACTGCCAACTGAGGATAGCTCCACCTTCTGCCATGCCACAGAATACAATTGAGTTAGTTTACTTTATCATTTAAATTTATGACATTTGCTAAATTTTGACACTCCATAAAAGTCTCGGAAGAGGTACACTAGCTACCTCACGTTTACGTGCATGTCCTTTGTTAACTCGCTAGTATTAAAACACTTATTTTTAAACAAACTGTCGTTGCAGGGCTGTTTGCCAATCAAATGGACTGCACCAGAGATTTTGTTGGGAAATTTCGCTGGACTTTCCACCCTGAGTGACGTGTATGTATATTTTTGCACTGAGCTGGCCCTCTCTTTTGTTTTTGTCTTTACATGCTCGGCAACACTTTTTCGAAATTTTTTCAGGTGGTCTTACGGAATCGTCCTGTATGAGATAGTTACCCTTGGTAAGTCAAACTATGTTCAACAAAAAATATTTATACTTCCCGTCCGTCTATGTCTGGAAATGTTGTAGGTATCGTTTTTGGAACTCGTTAGTAATTTCAACGCCTTTAGGACCCAATTGGCAGACGTTAGTTTGATGAGCTGTGGCAGAAAAACTTGTTGTGCCAAGGTTTTACGTCAATGATGAATTTTGCTCAGCTTGTCGAAGTCTCATTCTCTGTAACTGAGAACCGTTGTTTCAGGACTTTCCTTGCCCTGGCTATCACCCAAGACGAGTGGCATTTTGTGTTCGACTCTAAATGACGAAAAACCTTTCAAATTACTTGGCAGAAAAGTGGTAATCAATTACATAAAACATCAGGCTAGGAAACATCAAGTTTCGAATGCTGCTGTCAAGCACTAGAAGTGGATCTCTCTGATTTAAATCTCAACATTTTTAAACGAAATATTCGGGTGTATCACGGCCACAATTTGTTTATTTCTTCGCAGGAGGAATTCCATATGAGGGATGGTCAGAAGGGAATGTGGTTGCACGAGTCACACATGGATACAAACTTCCAAAGCCCGATCATGTCGATGATAAACTGTGAGTCTTGACTTTCAAGTTGCCATGTTCCATTTTAAATCGCCCAATCCCCCTAACCCCGATGAAAAACATATTCTCTCGTCTAATCTGATTTCTTCTTTCGTTACTGAGCTCTGCCAAATGAAACAAATTTAACAGTGGTCACTAGTTTGTTCAGTTAAAAGTTGTCTTTTCACTCAAGAATTTTGAAAAGATGAATTTGCAGCTATTACAGCCAGACATTTCTCATCATTTTAGCCATTATTTGCCCAGGGCTCTCTTAAGATTTCTGTAATGGTTGATTTTTATCACATATTACATAAACCACAGTCCAGTATTGACCATCATTCCTTTGTTCCAGGTATGCTATAATGAAAAGGTGCTGGAATTTGGACCCCGACTTTCGTCCTCCCTTTGAAAACCTTCGAAGAAGAATGGATACCTACCTTCGTGAAGAGGTTTGTAGCACGATTTGAACAAGTCCTTGACGTTCTTGTAGGCCTCTAAGATTATTTATTCCTCCAAAATTACTTCATAGACCACTACTCTTTCAAAGTTGGTTTCAGCAGATTAATGGAAGTGATTTAGGATTGTGTTGGTTTCTTCTAACTACGGCTGCGGCCGCTTGCGGGAATTTCAGTGCCTTGAGATTTCATTTTGACGGCTCCTGCCTGTAGTTACGTTTCTTACTATTTGCCCCAGCTTATCGATGTTTTTTAAGTTTTAACACATTTAAACATAAAACGCGCTAAGATGTCCCATGCCTACGAACCCATCAATCACCATTCCTTCCGCCCTTCCCGGCCGCTACTTCCCTTCCAAAGTGCCTGAGCATCTACATTCATAATAAAGGTTGCTGGGAGAGTATAACAAGGTAATTTGGTATTTTCAACTGTGTTGATAACGTAAATTGGCCACCTTTAAGATTTTAAAAGCTGACGTTTCGAGCGTTAGCCCTCCGTCAGCGCAAATAGCAAAGTTCTAACGCTCGAAACGTCAGCTTTTAGACTCTTTACGGTGGCCAATACGTTACGTTATCAACTCAGTTGAAAATACCAAATTACTCATCTACATTTATAACTTCCTACCTACCAACCAACCTGCCTAAGAAAACGCATTACTCTGTGCCTTTAAAGCGAGGATCATTTCTGTGCTTTGAAGTAGTTATTAAAATTTTCTTCTTGACTTGAAGTTAGAGAACATTGTGACGATCGTGAAAATCCTCTTTTATTGCTTTCCCCTTTAGACATATCTGCACCTGCTCGACATGGGATCTTATGACACGACCAAATACTCCAAGGTTGAAGATCTCGGAGGTGAAGATGCCGAACCAAGTGCACGACCTCTAGGGAACGCCGCGGCAAAGAGATTAGGAAAGTGGGCCAGCGACCGACGTTAGACAGTGTCATTTTGAATATTGCTTAGGAACCAAGCACTCTGTAATGCATTAAGTATTAGAAGAAAATATGTACTGGTGATAACGGTGATAATTTAAGGGCCTTATTGTGTTACAATAAATCAAAGCTGTTTCCTCGATGAGGCACCTTTAAGTCAGTTTTTTCTTAAGTCGCAATTGATAAATAACTCGATTTAGCTGGTAAAGTCCGGATATTTAAAAAAGGAGGTTATAAATGAGAAAGCAGCTCGTCTATTTAGATGTCTCACTCATTCACCCACTCATGCCCATTATGCCGTGTGGCACGTAGGGCGGCTACGAAGGATCGCCACGTCTGTCGGTTCCGGGTCGGCTTCTGGATTGTACCCCAAGTGATGATTTAGATCTCTGTACTGGGCAAATTGTTTGCCACTGTTTACTGGTGAAACAAGACGACTAGTTGTTAGCAATCATGTTATTGAAGTGTCCCCTGCTGGTGATATAGTCCTGGTAAGATATTTAGTAGTTTAGTCTTGATTTAGTCATGGATCTTTCAGTAGCGTGTCCTTTATCGACGAGATTGGTGACATGTCTTGTAATATGGTGTTACATGGGTCGTAAATTGCTTAAATTTTGTGTCATTGGTATCAGAAAACAAAAAAAGTGCATCGCTATCGGTATGTTTACTCTAACCTTCTTGCTGTTATTGTTAAATGCTTTTTCATAAACGGAGAGAACCGTCTCAATAGAGTGATTCTAATATCAAATTAATCAAGTTATTATTCCAATATTTTCGACTTGTACAAGAAACAGAGAGCGCTATTCAGAGGGGTTGTGGCTGATAGACAGACCTTTGCTATGATGAAATGAACCGCTTACTTCAAAGTGGAAATGTCGCTAGAGTAAGGATGAGCGTTTATTTCTGTACGTTATCGAAACACACTAAGCAATATTTAAAATTTTGTAAAACACTCTATTTAATATCTGCAATAAAAGAGTAGAGGCTTACCTTATGGCATTATTCACAATGTTGTATTACTATTTAAGCCACCCCAGATATACACAGGAGAAAGAAAAACTCCTAATGTTGTATCTCAGATACGACACAATTTTCTTTTAAAGGACATATTTGAACAGCTCTTTCGTAATTTTTTTTTAAATTAACTCCGAGTTCATTTTACGGGTTTGTTGATGTTGACTGCCTCATGCAGCTCACACTTGGACGTAATACCAATATTTGATATAGAAGACTTCGAGTGATATCGATACCAGCGTCGCAGTGTGTCTGCGTAGACATCCTTCGGAGGTTAGTCTCCCGATTTCCCTCCACCAGTCCCTTCACGCTGTTCTTGAAAAAAGAAGGGTAATCAGTAGGTTATTCCGATGTAGGTTCGGTGTCCTAGCGGATATGGACCCCCTTCCCCCCGTCCAAATCTGCTAGGATTTGGACTCCCAACAAAACTGAGTGAAAACGTCATCCTTAACTTTCTAATAGAAATAGATATTACCTTACGTTCCAGTGCGCACTAAAGTATGTTTTTAATTGAAAATATGCGTATCCCCAATGCATACGAACTAGCAGCTGGAAATAACCCGTCGGATGTTTCTTTTGTCCAAGGGAATATGCGCAAGCATTTAGTTTAATGTTTCGAGAAAGGTCGTTTTGGAACCTTTTCCGCGATAGTCGAACACCGCTAAATTTAACAAGAAACAAACTTGTGACACTAATTTATTTTGCACTAACAAGTGTCTGCACTCGTCATCTGGCTACTTCATTAGATCTCCCTTCAAATACTGTGAGACTCTCAACTGTAGGCTCACGTGTACCATCTTTTCATCAAACCATCGCCATTACAAAACTCGATCCAGTGACTTCCTCAAGGCCTCAGCGGCTTATGCAATTGGGCGCTCCTCGTCCTTTTGCAATAAAGACAACACAGCAGCGACACAAGTTGTACTAGGGTCAATTAATAGTATGAATGGAAGGTCAAATCTTGGGAATGCTTGTACCGGACCCTCACAGAGGACTTGTTTCAGAGTATCGTAAAAAATTTTGACAGTCAGTGGACCACAGAAATTACGTCCCTTCTTGCTAAGCTTCAAGTGTAGCAAAATCTGGTATTAACTTTCTATTGTAACCTAACGTTCTCAGAAAAAAACATTCAGCTGGGAAACAGTACGGCTCGGTGATGACCTGGACTTCACTACTGAAACCTTGTCGAGGTCTGTGGACATTCCTTGCGCCGACTAGTTATGGCCAACAAAGGGTGCCTCTGGTGGTAGGATACAGCTTTTTACCCTCTCTGAAAGCGTCCTGGATATTTTCTGTTGAATTCATTGAGTTACAATCTCGGAATTTGGTAAGTGATTAGGAACGATAACTTTATATCGGTACTATCATTAAAGCACATTTCGGAAAGTTTTGTTAACACATTATTAGTTTACAATTCGTGAACCATCTCTGTAATCTGCTTGGATACTTTCTTTTGAATTAATCGAGTTGCACCTCGGAATTTAATCAGTAATTAATCAAAGTGCTCTGTGAGCAAACTCGTGAATTGACACATGATTTTTTAGATTATGTTTAATGTTATCTGGTTTAGGGAATTTTGTGGTTGATTGCCATATCTAGAGTACGAACAGTAGTTCAGTGTTCGCTAATGTAGCAAAGAAACAAAGTAACGTTGGGATAAGAAGGCATTACAATTGAAATGATCATGCTATTACATTTGACATGGTGGATGATGTCATGTGTTTTAAACGTCTATCATTTTATGTTTCAAAAGAAAAGGTTGGAAGTAAATGTGGATGAAAAGTGAAATTTACTGTCTTTCGTTGTAAATATTAGAAAATCAAGGCAATACTGTCTTAATGAAAACATTAACGATTCCCTCTTTATCAAATGAGACAAACGGGAACGAGGTTTGAGTGATATAACTAAGCCAAGCCTGCCAACGTCATTTTGGATCTCCGCCTGGGTAGATTTAAGTCACGTGCTAGGCAACGTATAATCAATAACAAGATAGAATTTCATTTCAGGCCTATTTATCAGTTTTGTGGTGTGTAACTTTCGCATTTTAGTACGTTGTATGTATGTTGAATCTTCAAATTGTCTTGAAACTTAAAAGAAAATTGTTCTTTAAAAATCCACTGAAAATCGGTAGCTAAAATTGTTTGTTTAGGTGTTATTTGATTTTCGTGTTAACTTGTTATTTCGTCAGTCGCCGGCATCTTTTGTTGCTTCACACAGGAAAAACACACGCGATGAAACGTAATGATAAATTTTGTCCCCAATCTCACGCTATAACAGAAAAAGCTTTTGAACATCTGTAAACTCCGAGCGCTTCGCAGTAAGTGATATTTTCAATGAATCTTCGGATTGTTTTCAAGTTCAAGGATTGTAAATTACAATTTTATGAAAACGAAGGTTGTTCTGTTATTTCAGTGTGAATCCTTGCATGCCTGCCAGTCGCTGGCGCCGCTAGTTGAAACTAAAACGAAAAAAAAAAACTCTTTTAAGATTATCATTGGCTTCTTTTTCACCCCACCACTATTCTTAGCAACAAAGGTCGCCATTTCGTCTGTTTATTGCTCGCCAAAAACTATCAAATGCACTCAAAAGCCTAAAATCTAAAAAAAGTTTACAGGAATCGACCAATCGAGCCAGCGAGCGAGCGAATGCCATTCCCCACATCGTATCTATAACTCGCTCTTGCGCATGCGCGCAATTCACGAGTTAAAAATGATAACTCCGTATACGTAGCACAAGTGAAGCACATTTCAAACTTTCCATACGATTTTAGGAAACTACACTTAATTAAATGCTGATTCTCGATAAAATGGCCCGGCATAACTCGTTCATTATTTGATTACTTTGTAACCCCAAAAACCCGGCTTATGACTCTGGAGGTACCGAATTGATGCATTTAATACACAAGGCACCCTTTATGGGGGAAGGTTAGAATAAAATTGCTTCACTACCGTAGACTGTACCCGGTTTACAGATGTAATTGCACGAAAAATTCCTATTTTTTGTATTTAGAAGCATAGACATGTGGGTAATATGCTTCTGCTTTATTTAATTGTAATGGGTTTCTCTTAATGTAACATGTATCCATTACCAGAATTTCCTATCTAACCCGCGCGCAAATAATCAAATTTTGTCATAATTTAAGTGTGAGAAGATAAGAAGTGTTGCAGATTTCTTTTCCCAGATTGAGTTCAGGTGAGGAGACCAGTAAACTAGCTGCTGTCATATGCCCAGGTTTTTTTACAAAGCCTCTTTTACATCTATGTGTGCCAGCTAATGATTAAAATCGCAGTGAATAGGTATGCCATATTTCAGCAGTTTTTTTAATATTCCATCTTTAGTTTCTGGCATTTTTCTATTTTAAAATTTGTAAATGGCATTGCTTTTTCATCCTTGAAAATAGGCACTACACATTTCCTTAACCAAAATCTGAATCATTAAGTTAACTTAATTTCAATTAGTTTGAAATTTCATCCTATACAAGAACACTTTCCTGGAGTATAACGTTATATTTATTTTCCATCTTTTTCGTACATATGATTACTACATGTGTCTTAAAATGGGGATTTCATAATATTGTAATGATTAGAATACACTTATGCTTTCAAATGTAAAAAAAGCGTGATGATACTTGCGATACCGGTGCAGTGCATGAGGAGCTTTGCGGCGGAAAAAATTTTATGCAAATTAGCTGGCTGCACATTTAATGTGCATCCAGCTAATTTGCATAAGTAATTCAAGCCAAGGTTCGACGCCTCTTGGTGGCATGAGGTGTTCGCTAAACATTTCAGGACATCCGACAATCGCTTCAAAAAATGTAATTATGCTCCCCTCGAATAAATTGGAAAAACTGCAACTTCTGATGATTACAATTCTAATCATTTTCAAGATGCAACTCTACTTTGTTCACTCATTTTCCAGAAACAAGAGTCCAGAGAAATGTCTCGTACAAACTTAACGGGTCTAATTCGAAAAAACTTAAAGGGCGGTACGCTAAGCTTATTTTCTCTGTAGAGAAAATACAAGTCTTAAAGAAGACAACAGTAAATCGTTAACACAAGGTCCACAAATATTTCTGACCAAATGTTACAGAAACATATAACAGGAACAATTTAAAACACGTAAAACGAAGAAACTCAAAAATAGCCTAAAAAGCGGCACCGGTAAAGCTGATTTCACCTCCATGATCGAAGATCTAGGCCTACGTAAGGTTAACTCCGACAAACCCTTCTTTATACAGGTCATGGTTTTTAACTTTTAAAGTCCAGAAACTCTGTTGATTAGATAATCCAGAGAATACACATTGCTTTCAACTGATGGTCTCCTCGTTCGGTCTTCAAGCTTCGGCGCAACGCAATTATTCTTAGAATTACCTTTTATGTGCGAAGGTTTCAGTTAGGAACGGCATTTTTAGCTTTTCCGAAGACATCAGTCATAAAACATCGTTATTGCGTTTTAGGTCATTGGGAACAAATTCACAAGTATGAATATCGTCTTACGCGACTGCCGAGTTAGGAGGGATAAGAAAAGGTTAAAAATAACCCTCAGGTATACGCTACCCAAGAGGGTATAGAAGAGATTGAAAATAACCCTCGGGTATACACTACCCAAGAGGTTATAGAAGAGATTAAAAATAACCCTCAGGTATACGCTACCCAAGAGGGTATAGGAGAGATTAAAAATAACCTTTAGGTATACTCTACCCAAGAGGGTATAGAAGAGATTAAAAATAACCCTCAGGTATACACTACCCAAGAGGGTATAAGAGAGATTAAGAATAACCCTCAGGTATACACTACCCAAGAGGGTATGCAAGAGATTAAAAAAACCCACAGGTATACACTACCCAAGAGGGTATAGAAGTGATTAAAAATAACCCTAAGGTATACACTGCCCAAGAGGGTATAGGACAGATTAAGAATAACCCTCAGGTATACACTACCCAAGAGGGTATGCAAGAGATTAAAAATAACCCTCAGGTAAACACTACCCAAGAGGGTATGGAAGAGATTGAAACTAACCCTCAGGTATACGCTACCCAAGAGGGTATAGAAGAGATTAAGAAATAACTCTCAGGTATACACTACCCAAGAGGGTATGCAAGAGATTAAAAATTAATCCACTACCCAAGAGGGTATGCAAGAGATTAAAGTAACCCTCAGGTATACACTACCCAAGAGGGTATGGAAGAGATTAAAGGTAATCTTCAGGTATAACCTCTAAATACCTGAATTGCTGTAATACTGTCTAATAACTTAACTAATAACTCATGTCTCTACACATGGGGAACATGTAACATACTAAAAGTTCACAATGATAATAATAGAAAATTGAAGAAACTTTCATTAAAAAAAAAAATTTTTTGTCAAGTAGGGGGGGGATGTTTGAGAGGGGACCTACACTTAGTACTTAGTGTTAAACCAAGTTTTCCCAGAGGACAGTGACAACAACCACAAGGTTTTACATTACACCCATATAGAACTGTAACCAGAAGTCAACACCCTTCTGCTAAGAGATAACTATAATTATTTGCTTCATTCATGTACATGTATTTACTTCTATTCACAACTTGTCTGAATGTGGAGACTGAAGTTCAGTGCACAGCTGTGCCATCAACACTGACATTATGAATGGAAACAAAATGATCAAATCCACTTTTGATAAGAAATCTCAGATGACATGCTGATGTAACAGGAATCTACAAAGGAAAAAACATGCAAATAATATCAAAATGTAACAGCCCTACATTCACAGTTAGGACTGAATATTTGTACTTTTATACACTGATCAATTTTAAGTTTCAACAAGTCTCCCCCGAGGAACCAGCAGCATTCAACTGAAAGTGCATGTCTTTCCATCAGAACACACACATGGTTCAGAATGCCAGATACATATATTTTAGACCTGAAACACCATTGAAGCAGGATTCAATTTGCTGAATTCCAAATACTTACCTTAATCTCGTCTCTCTGCATCTGACCCTCTAAATGTTCATACTCTGTCACAGATAACAATTACACATTATTAATAAATTGCATGTATGTTTCATTGAATTTGTCAGTTTTAAATTCTACAGTCAACCACACCCTGCAATCAGTCATGCCTTGGCCATGTCAATGTGCATTGTACTGTGCTGTCGGTGATCAAAAATAGAGGATTATTTGATGGAATGTCCTTGCTTAAACTTGTTTTAATTATTTTGTTATCATGTTCATCATTTTTTCCTAATTAAATTTTCAAAGTAAAGTCAGGCTATCAATTGTATCATAAATGGTAGCCTTACTTTACATTGTGAGACAAATGCTTTAAAAAAAACAATTTACCTCTAATTAACCAGGATGAACAACAACATTTTCTATAACATATCTATGGCTTCTTTTTACCTTTGTCCACAAGAGGTTCAAAGTCTACTGGTTCTGTTTTTGTGCTTTTCTCAATGCAGAGGCTTTTAACTGCAAATAAAAATTCATATATGCTACAAAACCTTGAAGCTCCTGGTCCATCATGAGCTGGTAACCCACATGTACCTGACTCCTCACAAAGACTTTTCTCAATTTTTTACATCATATTAAAAAAAAAAAAATTCGTCTAATTTTTCACAATGCAGCACAAAAACAATGATGTAGCCCCTGTGATAAAACACAGGCATGCATAGTATGCAAGAGTTATTTTTTAGGCAGGGTGGGTTGAGATGGGACACTTTGCATACCTAATGTTTTCATTCTTGTGACAGGAAAAGAGCATAACTTTCAAAAGAACAAAAAGATATTGCATTACTTCGCCATAAGAGAAAGAAAAAAATAATCTTATTTAACTGAATTCACACAGGTAGTTTTTGGTCTGTTGTTTCTATGGTATAATACTTCTAAGCAAAAATAGAATGCAGTGGTGCCATGCTTATACTGTTGTCTCCTTAACACCCATTGTTTGATTTCGTCACACAATACAAGCTATTCTTCATTGAAGAGAGAGCGCGTTGCATGGCAAGAGACCAAATAATGGTTGCAAAAGGGACTATGCTTACTGCTGTTCCTCTACCAAAAAGAATATCAAAATTATTTGTCTAAAGTTAGTTGCCTTAAAAATATCATTCTATGTAATTTTACTACGAAAAGCAAACGTAATAAACGTCATAAACGTAATTCACTGCATTACGACTTGCTAGTCAGAAGAACTGTGAGACACCACTGGATTTTGAACGCGACTACTCCAAGCATGATTCAATAAAGGAGCTGTTTAAAACCGTGGACTGAGTTAATCTTCGACTGGCAAAATACTGTTGGACAATGCTGTTACTATACATAATAAAATGCAGGTTATTTACAAGGAAATGACACAAGATGGAGCAAAGTCTAATGTGGCAAAATGGAATTTGATGGGTGGAGTACAATTCAATCATGTGAAACATTGCCTACTGTTCATGTAGAGCAATGATTGGGCATGTCCTAATTAGATTTTGGACGTTGTTTTCATGGTACGTGTTTACCATGTACATTGTAAGTAAAGGAGCGGAAAAGACACCTTTTAACTTAAAAAATGATGCAGAAAGTTAAATGGAAACCTTTCATATCACAAGAAGTCTTGACCTTTTAATGAGGATCTTGTGAAGGTCACAAAACATTGCCCTTATCAAATGAGCCCAAAATATTTGATTAATGCCATTATTCATGCACAGCCCCCTAATTCCATGACATCATTTGCAAGAAAAGCTGATTGGTACAAGATATCAAAATGTTGTGATATGATTGGTGTAAGATACATACCCCACTGCAGCAATCTGATTGATGTGAGATACATTACATACCCTAATGCAGGGAATCTGATTGGTGCAAGCAACATACCACTCCACTGGCTAACATAGAGTTATTTATTGTTATGGAAAAAAAAAACTCAAAAACCATTAAATTGATAATGCCCATGTTACATTACACTAAACACAATTTCAAGATCTTCCACCATCATCCTCACCATTTGAAGATAGGAATTTAATATTTCCAATGCTCATTAATGCACTGAAGGTGATGATGAATTCTTGAGGAAACATTCCAGTTGTTGGCCAGAAAGTATCAAGGCTTCTATGGAGCAAAATAAAAAGACAATTAATTATGTTTTGGCTGATCAGGGTGCAGCCATAGGAGTCACAGATGGTAAAATTTGAGACTCACAGAAATACAAAGACCCCTGTTTGAAAATGCAAGAGTGTGATTATATATAATTTAAGCTGCTTTGCATGACCTCTCACTTTGGCCATAAGACTTCTAAATGGGAACTTGAGTTGATTCTAAACAAGATTTTTAGCGATAAACTGATTGACAGCTCATGATCTTAAAGGTATCATTCACCAACCTTTGCCTTAGAGTTTTTCATTTACTTATTACTGAAATGTACTATAATAAAGTAAAACCCTGCTAACTTGAAACCCAAACTAACTCAAAGAAGATCCAATTTTCCCTGGATTTGACCCCAACTTTTTCTGTCATTGGTAAAATTTCCACACAGCCCCATACTGTTGTAATCTGTTTTCCCAATGGCAGTGTATAGTTTTAGTCATTGTTTTCTCTATCCAAGAACTGGATGCATAATGTAGTATGGGGCTGTGTGGAAATTTTTACCCTGTCATTAAATATCACCTAACTTAAACCATTTTCTGTTTCCCTTTGGAGTTTGAGTTTGCAGGATGCTAACGTAGTTTTCAACTTTTGTGTGACATTACCAAGTACAGATAAAAGCAAGCATCTGCAAATATTGCGTTACTCCTCATACCTTTCTTTTCTTAAATCTTGCTTTTTCAGAATAAACAGGTCATGCACATTCCGAGGGCCACGGATTACCATGACAACTACTATCGTAAAAATGTTCACGATAGTACATGTAGAATGATTAGGTCATGGTCTACCAGTTTAGCAATTCCAAAAAGCATAGCATTACTGGGTTTCAGATAAATTGGAAGTGGTCTTGAAATATCTTAATTGTCCTTATCAAAACCTTAATTAACTTTGCTTGTTCGAAATTTGAAATGTTTGGCAAGATCTTCACCGAACGTAAAATACTTACCCATCAATGATATTTTCTGGTGGATGATTTTCATCAAATGATGTAGCAAGGGCAATAGTTGCTCCAGCACTACTTAAAGCCACGTCAAACATGTTTTTAGTGCTATTTTCTGAGGAGGAAAACCCTCTATCTCGCAAGTGAGGGGTTCAAAACATTTCAAAATCGATTGCCCCGGAGAATACTGGGCCGAGCTCCATGCAGAATATGCGCAGCTTGGTTTTATTTGCTGACAAGTAGCATACTCGTGTTCAAGATGGCGGACGTTCTATGCAGAAATTGTTGCTGGCATTGATAAGAAATGTTTCCACTAAATACGAAACAATTTTGTGCTGCATTCCTGGATGTAAAGCGTAATAGTCAAGGTTATAACGAGGAGGTCAGTTCAGTCGACAGGGATGCAACCAAGAAACTACTGCGGCCCTTCCATATTCCCCAAATCGGGCCTTCTTCTATTCCACAATGTCATCATCTTGGGACCATGATGTGGAATTTCATGTGGAATTGTGCGAGAAGAGAATGTTATCCACCCGCTCATCATTTGGAATCAAGAGAAGACTCACGAATTGAATCGCGAAGAGCACCTGAACGATCATGTTCTTCAGTTCTTCCGGAATTTGAATTACATCGCGTAACTTCAAAACATAAAGCACGAGAAGCAAACGAGCGACAGAGTGCGGAAAATATTGAACTTTCAAGACTAGTTAAAACACAATCTTTATACAAGACCTCTTCTACAAGAAGTACTGATTCTTCTCGAAACAATGTTTGTTGTGTGGAAGCAGAACCACAAAACAGAGGTATCCTCCAGCAATCTAGCTGTGAAGAAGCAAATGTTTCCAATGAGACTTTTGTTAATAGCAAATTAAGTAAATCGATAAAAGCATCCCACTGGGATAGTGACATGAAATCTTCAGAGTCTGAACATTGTATTGTCTCAGATTATTTTGACAGAGAATCAAAGTTAAGTCCAACTTGCAATGTACTAAGTGAGTTGGAAACCAAGGTGGATGTTAATGGTATATATGGCAGAGAAAGTTTGCAAAGCGATTTGGTGTGTAATGGTGATTGGTGGCTAAACAGCGACAATATTTCAAACCTCAAGGATTCGACTGCACTTCTCATTCCTCATGCATATAGCATTGAGGAGGGTGATTTTGTTGGCAAAAAGAAATTTTTAGAGAGATTGCTTGAGACAGAACTGCAAATAAAGCCTTTGACTCTGGTTAAGGATGGCATTTACAGCCAAAGGCCAGTTTCAAATACTTTTACCCTAAATCTGAACTTGGAGACAGTGATGTCCATTCTCTGCACTGATGAGGAACATTCAAAAAATGCTGAACACAGTGATATTGATCTATGTGGGAAGATTTCCATTCTGTATGGCATCCAGGATACAATAGTGTCAGTGGTTGCTAGTGAGGTGGTAGGAATGTATGATTATATCTCAGGAGCTGTGTATGGATTGAAGGGATGCTGTCATGATGAATCTGAATATCAGTTAAAGGTAATTTATTCTAGTAACTAGAAGGTTGGTGGCTTTGATGAACTAACATAAATGAATTGGTTGTACTAGACTCAGGTTAAATATAGAACAGGTTTCTAGTTAAAATGATGGTCAGTGTCTCTTGTCAGTGTTCAGTCAGTGTTGTGTGGAGACTCCTGCCTGTTTTGTTGAATGATTCTGCCTTCTACAAAAATGTGTCTATGTTTGAAAATTGACTCATAAAAATTTGGCAGATTTGTCATGTAGTCTAAGCATCAGTAACTTTGTGTTTCGTCCAGTTCTAGGATGATTTGTCCTGCAATCTATTAGTAACCTTTTGTTCATAGTGAGTTCTCAATCAGGCTTTCCAACCAGTCCAGGTATAAAATTGTCCGAAACTTGTCGTGAAGGTTGTGGGGAAGTGCATGTATTTTGTCTTTGTGTGTGGCTGTGGACGTTTCGCAGTAGCATAGCTAAAGCCAGACATCTTTTGTCAGCTTGTCTTGCAATGGTTCCCAGTGGGCCCATGAAATTGGATGATATATCTCAGTAACTGTAGCTAAGTTGTTAACATATATTTATCAAAATTTCCATAATATTAAAGCTAGAAATGCTGTAATTTCATAAAGTACTTTAAATCAGTGCTTAGAATTTGTTTATCTATGTAGGACAAGAAGTCCCCCCTTTCATCAAGTGCAGTGAGTTTGGACCTTAAGGAATTCATAGTTCATTTTCAACAAGAACTGAGAATGTCATCTCACAGTGTTGACAATGACAATGTGTTAAAGGAGCACTCTCCTGTTGCCTGGTTACTGATCTCACCAGCTCTTGGAGTGACCCTTGACTGGCAAGTACAAGAGAAAGTCCTTGAATTTATAGAAACCTTGTCATCAGAGGAATTTGCTGACAAGCAAGCATCTGACAGTTACAACAAAGGATGTTTTTCAAGCCAGTGGTACAATCTGTTGGTAGTTGTTGACCAATATCGTTGTTGTGAGAAAGATATTCCACTGATTGAGGTATTTGAGTTTTGCAGGACTGGTGAAATAAATGTAGTAAACTTTGACTTAACTTAAACGATTAGATCATGTGAAACAAGCCTGACTGAAGAATGGAACAATTTAAGTATTGCTGGTAATGCTGTGTTTTATACATTTATGTCATCATGTAAACTACTGGTTATATTAATCTGCAAGTTTTTGTTTTACAGTACATTGTATGAGCTCTCTCATGTAGCAAAAGTTTAACATTTGTTTGTAGCCTCTCTTATATTTTTGCAAGATTTTCAACTGCTATAAAGAGGTTAAACTTCCTTCAGGAAGTGTTCAAAGATGAACTTTAACCTTTAACCCCTAAGAGTGATTTACTTCTAATTTCTCCTTACAGTATCAACCTTGATTCAAATGTAAAGGTTATCAGAATGTAGGAAATAATCACCAATTTAAGTAGCTCCTGATTGTCAAACAAATTCTCCTTGTCAGTACCAAATGTAAGGGCAACAGTGTGGAGAATATTAATACTAGTTAGAATGTACAGGGTAAGGAACTCGAGATGAGAATAAAGCTCTTTTAATTTTTCTCAACTTGGCCAATCAATTACTCAGCTGAAAAATTTTGAAGTGAAGGAGAAAAAAAAAGGCGAGGTTACAGTTGTATTTATTAGTTCCATAACAAGAAGTGCCATTTGCCAAATTTAAAGCAAGATCAACATTGTTAGGCACAGCTTAAGTAGACTACCCCAAAAGATTTCCATTCATCAAATAGTTCCGGTTGCAGCATTATGCAATTTTTTTTGTTCGTATTAAAATATGCTGCTCTTATTGGGTATTGTTGTTTATCTCATAATGTACTCCGAATATGGATCGCGACGTTTCAACTGCATGCTAATAAATTTTATCATAAACTGCGGTGTTACACGGGGATTTTCATCCCTGAGAAAAGCCGTAACAACACACGTGAAAAAAAAAATACGGTTTTTCTTTTTTTTCCATGTGTGTGATATCGCTAATTAGCTGCTTACACGTCACTCGCCTTTCGCGCCACTCGGTCATGTTGATGAATGAACGGCAAAGCCCTCACTGTTGTTTGTCGGAATTTTTCTCGGATTATGGCCGCTAAAAAACCGAAAAATCCGTATCGCTTACAGACAGTAACGTTCAAACTTGCTTAGAAGGGGAAGAAAATCAAAACACGAAAAGAAAAAACGAAAGTTAAGTATTCAGTGGCTTTGGTAATGGGTGATCCTCCATGGGGAAAACGGACACTAACGCTTTTCCGTTTAAACTGCGAAACCGTTTACTATCCGTTTAAATCCGTTTAAACGGTTCATGAAAGCGTTTAAGCGGTTTGGTCATGCGTTTAAAAAATTTGCATCCGTTTAACGCTGTAGCAAAAACGTTTAAACAGTTTCCTTATCCGTTTTAAAAAAATTATTTCCGTTTAACGTTCCAAGGAAAACTTTTAACTGTTTATCATTCTGTTACTGGCAGTTCGAAGTATCGATCTTACGTTCGCTCGATACTCGCCGGCTCTTGAAATGCAGATTTGTACAAACGTAGAGCATCGCCAGCCAATGAAGCCATTCATTTGACCATGATCCTGCCATCGATCTTGTTTGAACAGTGCGTCTGATCTTGATTACAGATGAATAAAGGGGTAAGTTTCCAAAGAAACTGTGGTGCTGCGTCGGTGGGAGAGTATAGCAGGTAATTTAGTGTTAACAACTGGGTTGAAAACGTAAATTAGCCACCGTAAAGGGTAAAAAAGCTGACGTTTCGAGCGTTAGCCCTTCGTCAGAGCGATTAGAGGAATTGTGGGTTGTGTGTGGATTTATATGTAGAAAGTGGAGCTACGCCATTGGTGGGAATATGGTGACGAGAAAACAGGAATAAATTAAAAAATTCACATATTTGCACTGCGGTGGAAAGATGAAATTAGAAGATCCTCGCAGCTAAGAACACTACTGAAACTAGTAGTTGTAAGTAGGACCTAAAAAAAATTTCAGGCCCGTACGGGATTTGAACCCATGACCTCTGCGATACCAGTGTAGCGCTCTACCAATTGAGCTAACAAGCCAACTGGGAGCTGGTACCAGCTCCCAGTTGGCTTGTTAGCTTGGGTTGGGTTGACTTGCTAACAAGCCAACTGGGAGCTGGTACCAGCTCCCAGTTGGCTTGTTAGCTCAATTGGTAGAGCGCTGCACCGGTATCGCAGAGGTCATGGGTTCAAATCCCGTACGGGCCTGAAATTTTTTTCAGGTCCTACTTACAACTACTAGTTTCAGTAGTGTTCTTAGCTGCGAGGATCTTCTAATTTCATCTTTCCACCGCAGTGCAAATATGTGAATTTTCATATATCTAAATCTTCATTCACTCGGATGTTTATTTGTACCCAATTCATTGACCAGCTCCCAGTTGGCTTGTTAGCTCAATTGGTAGAGCGCTGCACTGGTATCGCAGAGGTCATGGGTTCAAATCCCGTACGGGCCTGAAATTTTTTCAGGTCCTACTTACAACTACTAGTTTCAGTAGTGTTCTTAGCTGCGAGGATCTTCTAATTTCATCAGGAATAAATTAGTTGAATGAAAAGCGCTCGTTGATTCCGTGGGGATTAAGGGTGCCGATTTGGAATATAAATTTTTGTTCTAGTGTTTTACGGCTTTCCGAACTGCCTAGATGTAAGGAAAGGCCGCAAACTGCCATATGCTGTTTAGAATGATAAGGAAGATTAAAGTGTCTAGCGACTGGCTTGGATGCGTCCTTGTCATTTCTTTCCACATCGCGAAGGTGTTCTCGGAATCGGTCACCCAGTCGTCTTCCTGTCTCGCCGATGTATAACTTATTGCAATAAGTGCAAGTTATGCAGTAAATAACATTGGCGGAGGTACACGTAAAGTGATCAATGATCTTAATGGATCTTTTGGGTCCCGATATGTTCTCTACGTTATGAATGAAAGGACAAGTTTTTGCATCTCTGAATCGTTTTGGAGTAATTTAAAATTTTTAAGAATGATAGATTTAACTGCGTGGTTGTGAGGGTGAAATGTAAGAGTAAATGGAATGCGGTCAGTGTTCTCCTTCTCGGCCGTTTGTAGTGCTGCCTGACGATCGTATCGATTATCGATTCAGAGACTGGCACTATCTTTTCGCAACCCCCACTTATTTCATTCAAACGTGACAAAAACATAGGCAACTTTTTAGTCAGGAGTTCATTTCAAACCAATGACCAATCTGGAACTTTTATATGCGCTCGCTCACGATGCAAAACTTGTCCTTTCATTCATAACGTAGAGAACATATCGGGACCCAAAAGATCCATTAAGATCATTGATCACTTTACTTACATCTAGGCAGTTCGGAAAGCCGTAAAACACTAGAACAAAAATTTATATTCCAAATCGGCACCCTTAATCCCCACGGAATCAACGAGCGCTTTTCATTCAATTAATTTATTCCTGTTTTCTCGTCACCATATTCCCACCAATGGCGTAGCTCCACTTTCTACATATAAATCCACACACAACCCACAATTCCTCTAATCGCTCTGACGAAAGGCTAACGCTCGAACCGTCAGCTTTTTTACCCTTTACGGTGGCTAATTTACGTTTTCAACCCAGTTGTTAACACTAAATTACCTGATCTTGATTACAGATTTGGTGAAATCGAGATAATCTTGTCTTGGTTCTCGTGTAATGGTTTTACTAGATCGACTACTCTCTATCTGTTTATATCACCTTGATTCATCTTTCTTGGTTTTATTGACAATTATTTCATTGGCCCCGCTTGGTGCGTGACACCGATTAGACCTTTTATTTGCAATGGAACTTCATTGCGCTATTTGACCCTGAAGCGTCTCAGCTTCCGACTGGGGCGCGGCATTGCGTCTGCAGATTTTTTTCGCGAAACTTTAAAACAAAAAAAAATGAAGTTCATTTTCAATAATAATAAGAATAAACAAAGGAGGAGATTATGAGTTTCTCGCAATAGCCGATCAGGATATTTGGCAGCGAAACTATTCTCGGTAAATTGCGCTTATTTCATGAATGTCACACGAAAACGGCAAGTGTATCTCAGTTATTATTTTTCAAATTATTATGCTCAAATAGTTATCGGTTATCGCCCGAAAAGTTTTTCCGCAAAAGATCTCGCCGGCTCAACCAGAACCGTTTAACATTAATTTTTAATCCTCCGTTTGTCGATTTTGGTCAACCGTTTCTTGGTTTAAGCTATCTGCTTTTTGAGACTTTTGGTCAACCGTTTAACCTTTCGAGCTAACCGTTTTTATTTTTGGTCAACCGTTTAGCAGTTTTAGCTATCCGTTTTTGGACTTTGGTAAACCGTTTAACGTTTCTTGCTATCCGTTTTTATTTTTGGGCAACCGTTTGAAGGCCTAAGATATCCGTTTTTGGACTTTGGACAACCGTTTCAATTTTTTGCCATCCGTTTAAGCGGTTATGGAAACCGTTTAAACGCTTGAGTTAGCCGTTTAGTATTCGTTTAAAACCGTTTTTCTAGACCGTTTAATGGAAAAGAGTGTCCGTTTTTCCATGGAGGGTCACCAATTTAAGTATTTAGGCATGGTATTTCTCGCGGCTTAGAGTGAAAATTGACAACTTGAAGAATTGCCAGAGTTCTATTTTGGCTGTGTACCTGAAAAGATTTCTTTTGTTGGTAAGGACAAAGTCATTAACTGAGAATTTTGTATATTGAAAATTACGCCCATTGTTGTTTTCGTAATAATTCTAGGCATTTTCCATCGAAAGCCTTAGCGCCAGCACACTTTACGATTTTTATTCGGGGATTGTGGATCCTTTTACCTTCATTCGTAAATGAAAACGACTTTTCTTGTCAGTTAAGGGCTTTTGTGTTTGTATGATAAACAGAATAATACATGGTTGCTTGTAGATACGGAATTATTCTTCTCGTGTTCAACTCGATAGCTCACGAGTGAGCGCAGCGAAGGAGTGAGCTATCGAGTTGAACAAACGAAGAGAAATTACATATCAACGCGCGCCCATGTATTATTCCGTATGAAAATTCGGTTTTGCGATTTTGTCAATGCAAGGTTTTGTATCGGAAACCAGCGTTTTCCGGTTGTAAGTGATTTATTGCAATTTACGATTTGCCTAGCTCTTTTCAGTTTCCGTATTTAGACCAACACTGCAGCAGTGATTTGGAGTTAGTATTCATCGTGAGCTCCGGTTATGCGATCAAAGGAAAAGGTATTCAGTCGTTTAGTACCCACAGTCCTTTCGTACCTAATCATTTCGTAACCAGCCCGTACCCAAATTCAGCCGATTCGCACCCAGTCTGAGTCGGATCTAACCCGAAGCACCCAATGCTCAATATATATAGATTACTTCGTGGGCACGCGTACGGTATTTCCGCATGAGTTGGTGATGTATCAGAAATCGAACGAGTGAAATTTCTAATACAAACCATCAAGTGCGAAAATGCTGTACAAGTGCCAAAATGCTGTACAAGTGCCCACGAAGTAATCTATACATACATACTGAGATTTTCACTTTTTTTTTTTTGTTTTATTTCACTTTTATTTTCAAATGAGCTCACAAGTCATTCAAATAAAAGTGAATACGCTGCTTTCACTTGCAAAAACGTAGCTCTAAATGCGTGAAAATTAGCTCAAGTAGCTCTACAAAATTTCAAACGAGCTTTATTCATGATTAAGTCGATCACTTTAATAATTTTTCAAAAAAAGGCGGTAAGTGGTAAAGTTTTTCATTGAAGTTGTGGGCTGCCGTCATCCTCCGACGATTCAAGAATTCGTTTGATTCGTTAGTAGCTTCGTTCCGTAAAAAATTAACCACCTGAACAAGTGCCTGGTGACTTGTTCACAGCGTTTGTAGTTATGTTGAATTGTCCACCATGGAATACGGCTCCACTGAAGGGACTAGCAGAAGGAAACATCGAGGTTTTTATGAACGAAGCCCCTGCTTCGGCCGTCAAAGCGGTGGTTGCAGCAGTGCGTGAAGCATTGTTGTTTTCGTTGCTCGCGGCATTGCATATTGAAGACTTTGAGCTCAGTATCAATGACATATTCTTCTGTTGCTCTTTAGAAACAGAGCTGTAGTTGTTTACATTTTTTTCATGACGGTGACCTGAAAGCTGCATGATGTGAGTGGGGGAACATTGCTGTCGTTAAGTTTTTGTATTATCGTTTTTCTTGCGCTGCGGTTCGTGAGCCGTCGCTTCTTGTCGAGTCCAGCTTTGTTTGCTTTAGTTTTCATTAACGATTTCAGTTTGTTTACCCCCATTGCATTTGCCTCAAACCAACATCTACTAGAGTCCTTTGAATAGTTGAAACTAAGATAGAAAGGGGCCTCGGTGGTCAGCATTGAGTTTAGTCTTTTCTTGCGATAAAGTTTACGGGCTTTTCTAACGCAGGAAATCGTAAACTTGAGGTTTCAGCCGTTTCAAAAAGCTAATTTTAGGAAATAAATTTGGCTACAGAACTCCAAACCCCTTTCAAAATGTTCACACAACCAACGACGAAGCTAAGTTTCAAGTAAATTGACGGGGCAGGAAGAGGAGAATTCGAAGGCGCGAAAACCCAGTACTTCTGACGGGTTCTTCGTGATTGGACGAAACGTTTTCTCCACGCGTGAAATTTTAGTTCCTCTGATTTGAATGGCTGTAAACAGCTATGAACTGGGTTTTGAGATTAAAGATTTCGTAGTGAAAATCTCTCTATGTATGAAATAAACATTCATTCGTAATACCTCACGTGCGGGAGAATGAACAGGTGTCAGTTGTTGCGTACGACAAATTAGTAAAATCAAGTGAGTAAGATACAAGCAAAATGATGTTGCGTATTCATGCGACCTTCTTAAAGAAAATTTCAAATCATTGCCTATTGCGAGGTAGGTGCGATGTCTTTAAAAGAACAGTCTATTGTTTATACTTCTGACTTTAGTAACCGAATAACAGCAAATGTAAGTGTAATTATTTTACTTCCTTGGTTGCTAACGGTGATAAGTAATGCTAAAAGGAGTGAAATTTGGTCTGAATAACGCGTGAATAATGCGTGACTTCAAATCAAACGAGTGCGCAGATTTGAAATCACAAGTATGTTTTTTTAGACCAAATTGCAAAACAGGAAGTTCAATTATCACTTTATTACATCCATTTTGAAATCGCAAATTGAGTCTTTCACAGTCAGGATTCTTTAGTCTGTACAAATGTTTTGTTGATCCAGTAGTGAGCTGGTTTAGAGAAAGTTACAAAAGTTGTTTTTAATTTTTTTGAAATTTGTTCATTGTTGTATTTTAGTAAAGCTTCCTTACTAGTTGGGTAAAAGATGCAAGAAAAGATAAGATTCGTGAATAAATCGTACCAATGGGAGCCAATCAGATTCATGGATTACCATTGATTTCAAAATGAATAGAATAAAGTCTAAGAACTAAAGTTCTCTCCGTGTGTTTTAAGACTTTGTACATTTTCTAGTTGTCCTTTGCTTGATTAATGAAAACATAAAATCGCCAAACTTTCATCAAAGTCTGTCTCGATCCTGAAGCGGTTTATGTCAGTTTTTCGTGGCGCTGACAGAGATTGACAATAAACAAGCGATAATAAAGCCCGTTTTGTCTTGAGTAAAATGGTCATCAATTCCGACGAAGATGCCGAAAATCTGAAAATATCTCGATAAAAAATGAACACTCAAACGTCTTGAGACTGACTGACATCTAATTTCTAATTTCTTCTTACAATATAAACCACGAATCACAAATTAAGGTCACAAGAATAAAGGAAATGATCACCATCCAAACAGGCTCTTGATTGTTAAACAAATCATCTTTGTCAGTACCTTAGGACATGTAAAGAAAACAGTATGGTGAATATGTGTACTGATGTCGTGGTGTAAAGTGTTAATATGGCACAGAATCTGATATTCCCCATCCTTCCTTCCTTTTTTCTTTTCTTGCTTTCTTCTTTCCTTCCTTCCTTCCCTCCTCCTCCTTCCTTCCTTCCTTCCTTCCTCCCCGCAAACACATCAAACGATGAAGGGGATGGTAATTCCGTAAGCGGCTCCGATAGGACATTTTCGTGCGGTGAATACTTATGCGCAAGTTCAAAAATGAAAATGTCACTAACTTTTCGGGCAACACTCCAATTTCCATATAGATACATTTTTTTAATTATAAACAGTTGTTGAGTAAAGATTCTAATACCCTTGCTTGATTAACGGCTTGAATATAAGGATTTTGTCCATTGTATGAGGTACAGACGGGCAGGCGTATATATCTTTAAAATAATTGTCAACATAATTTCCATTGAATTACATTCTATACTCCCATGTTCCTCAGGAAAGAACCGAATAAACAATATTGGAAGACGCAAAGTTGAACAAATCAATTTTTAGATTTTGATCAATAAATTACACTTAGGCGAATAAGAGAGCAAAGTAATAAACTAAACTTTTGTTTCGAGCCAACAGCCTAGGTTAAGGAGTAGGGATGAAATTCTGGTTTTTGAGTCACCATCCGAGCTACCATCACTTTTACTCAGAGTTAGAATAAGTTACCGATACTCTTGAGAAACGGGTCCCTCGCGTAACAGCAGGACTGAGTTTGCTGTTGTTTTTCATCCTTATTTTAAGGTTTTTTTTTTCTCTGAGTGATGCGGTTTTCCTCCCTCCACCAAAACCAATACTTTGATTTACAATGATAACTTTCCAATTTTAAGACGAGTTCTAGACTGAAGTTTCAGCTTTCAGAGAAATTAAAATCTGTATAGTTTTTGTATCCGCAGTGGTGATGTAAGCTCATGTTGACTAACATTCACTCATTACGTAAAGTAAAAGTTATCCCTTTCATTTTGTTTCACTAAACGTTTCAGTAGTCACCTCCATATTGTTTGATGATATAAAACTGTCCCAGTCTCTAGTGTCTTTGCTGACGAACACTTGTATCACATAGAATCACATAAAAATTATTTTTCAGGTTTCAGATTTCAGAACCTTAACCTCGCCCAGACATGTGATCATGGTTAAGAACGTGAAGGGAAGGATTAAAAAAATATTCTATTTTCCGAAGTATAACCTGGCACAACATCGGCTCCTCTTTCAATTCGTCTCAGGATCTGATATTTCCCATCCTTCCTCGAGAGCGTTGTATGCACTCGACAGAGCTCCTTCATTCCATCCAACCTGTAACGAAAACGCTTCACCAACCAAGTAAATTTCTTCTCCAGGGAAAGGACGTTTCGCCCATTTCTTCACATCGTGTCGGCTCACGTTGGAACCTGCCTTTGTTTCATGCCTGTTAAATAGAGGCGTGAACAAATCTTTATATATACGAAGGTCTCAATCTCGCTACTTAAACGAATAAATAGCTTTCTATAATGGAGGGAACTCCCTCGTGCGAAACGGTGGACTAAGTCGTATTCTATCAAGATTAGGCCGAGGAAAATTCTCTATGCGAAGCACCCTACAATGAACGAGATTTACGGCAATAAAATCACAGAACCTGGTTCCCTGGAACTCAGTCGGTGAAGTAGCAGGCCATTATCTAGGAAGTGGTGAACAACGCGTCCAACTTATGAGAAAATCTCACTTTGAAAAAGTATTTTTGAGCGAGGAAAATCAAAGACAGTACAACAGACTACTTCAGCTACGAGGTTATTCCTAAAGCGATTTAAAGTTGATCCTAAGGTAGCCTACGTACCAAGCTACTTTATCCCAAAATTTGAACACCATATCCAGTGGATCTGGCACAACTTTATCTGGAAACACTTCTTGGACAGCTTTCTTTATTTCCGCTTCAAAGATTGATCGTGGAAGCTCAGACATCTTTCCCCACTTTGCAGCGCATCCCAACCAGGCATACGACAGTTGGATAATGGCTTCTCCTTGGGGTCCTCGTCCACTTAATAAACAACAACAGTGATGAAGACAATGTCAGCTACCACAAAAAAAATAGTGCTACGCTCCTACTCTTTATGTTTGCTGATTGATATCTTAAAATAATTCTTCATGGCCACCCGACCCGTGAAAGATATATCTCCTTCTCTTTTTTTGTGTTTCCAGCGCTTTTCAATAATAATAACAGGTTTTTATGCTATCCATTCAAACTCATAACCGTAATTATTTTAACATCGGGAGAAAATTAGAAATAGAAGGAATATGAGAGGAAAATGTGGTGATTGGAGGCGTTTCTTTCCATAAAAGTGGGAGCCATGCGAATGCTAAGGTAAAAGAGAGCAAACGGACTAAGGGCAGATGAAGGTGAATAATGTGTTTCTCTACGGTCTTACTCCTCTCTGGAAAGGAGTGATGATTGTCTTTCATGTTACAATGAACGTGACTAGTGACACCCCGAGGTGGAAGTATCAGGGAAGCAGGGCAGCAGCAGGCTCTTCTTCTTCTTCTTCTTTTCTTTTTTTTTCTTCCTCTGTATTTTCGCTCCTTAAGCCCTATGCCTTCGTTTTAGTCCCGCTCAGCCCATGCGTCTCCCGTTTGGCTTAACGGTAACAAAATGGACCGGCATAGACTATTCTAGTAGCGGTGCTGGCAGCAACAAAGATAATATCAACAAATTTAGGAGTGACAATGGTGTCAGTTTAGAATTATAATAGCAAAAACTCAAGGTGGTCATAGAACGTAAACTAGATAGAAATTCCGCTTTTACTTACTTATAAGGGACTAACACAAGACATGTCGATGCTGACCAAAACGTTTCGACAATTGGCTCGGTTCGGTTCCGTTTGGGAAGATAATCTTCCCACCAAGGAGAACTATAAATGGCCACTGCTTTAAATGCGTTTGCTCCCGGAATGGAACCAAATAAAACATTACTTTTGACATCTGCAGCGACATCTCCCCTAATGGCTTCAAATGGAAGAGTCGGAACAGCAATAATTAGTTTTTTGGCGGACACTTTAAAATGATCCGTATGGACGTCAAAACCATCTGCCTTCCTCTCTAAAGCATTTATTTTCTCTTTTAAAACCAGCTTTGCTCCAAAGCGCTGCGCAGAAATTTTTAATGCTGTTGTAATATCTGATATACCGCCTCTTGGTTTGTAGAAATCGTACGAAAAGTAGCTGACAGCTTCATCGTTTTCGTATTTGTCTAACGTACTTTCTTCGTAGAAATCTCTCTTGTCAACGTATCTGGCATATAGTAGCTCGCAACCTTCACTTCCAAGTCTTTCGCACATGAAGTCTCGGTAAAAAGGAAACTCAAGTGCTTTTTCTTTGGTCATGTTCCTCCAAGCAAACAGATACATTTCCAACCACGTCATATTGGAAAACGGTCCTGACATAAGCGTAGGGAAAGCTTTTTCCTTAAGAGACTGAAAGGTGTATGCACGAACACCTCTTGCTTGAAAAAAAATGTCTGTGAGTTTTCCAATAGACAACATGGGAATGTTGAGGCGTCGCGCTAAATCCCTGAAAACAAGATAAGATAACGACAAACGTTCATCAATGTTTTAAAAATAAGTAAGAGGTTTTTGGACAGTTGTGCAGTGAGACATACTGAAACGGATAGATAGATAGATAGATCAGACCAAGAAACACAACAGACAGACGGGGTAAGTTCGATGGATAGATGAACGGTCAGGTGAAAGTAAGCAGAGAAACACTAATCAGGTAGACAGAAGTAATCAAAAAGGTAGAGGCACACAGATAACCACAACCTGCTTGAAATGTTTGAAGTTTCAGATATGGATATTTATCCGCACAGCAGCGTTCGTTCGAATTTTCAAGAACAGTGCAATGGTTATAGTAAGATAAGTCACTCGGCCCTTCAACATTTAACACTACCTCCTCACATCATTGCGACATCATCATCAAGCACTTAGCTATAAATAGACCTAAAAGAGATATTTCCTTACATCACTCTTTTGTTTTTCTTATCCACACGCCAGGATCCTAGATCTTTTGGAAATAAGACAACAGAAATAAAAGACAAAGTTAAATAAGTATAAAGCTTTTAAAAAAAAGCTAAATTGGAATTAAAGAGAGACTCTCCTCTTCCACAATAAAGTTTGATAAATAAACAGATAAATAAATAAATGAGTAGGTAAATGAGTAATCAAATCAATCGAGAAAACCTTTCTTTTATTTCACCCTTTAACTCCCAGAAATAGTAAACATGAAACTTCTTCTTATAATATTCATACATTATCCAACAAAGCTGCAATGAGAGTACTAAACTGTATCAGGTAGAAGTTTTTATCCTGATCTAACACCAAATTATCACAGCTAATTTACAAGGAAATGTGTAGCAGCTAAAGGGGAGAATTAACAATTAAATCATGGGAGTTAAAGGGTTAAAAAATATATTATATGTTGTCGTGCGCCTGTTCAGTAATGGATCAATGATAATGTCAAAATGTTGTTTGAAAAAAAAATTGGCGCCTCCCGTATCACTGGATAGACCCACGGTAAGATAGAATATTTTAGTGTTATTTGATAAAAATGTTGTTAGAGGTGATGCGTCCATCTTCCAGTAGCTCATAGTAAGAACCAATCAAAATGAGTGCATAATTCAGCTTATCATATCAATCGCGATAGGGCGAGTTTTGTATTCGTTGTACTCACTTTAAGTTAAATTGTTGTTTGAAAGGACATTAGCTCTCGACGCACGTCCGTTATTATGGTTTGCATAGAGCACTATGGAGTATAGAGTTGGAACAAGGGTATCTGATTTGCCATAACCCGTGGAGAGTCGTAAATTCATTTTTTCAGCTTACCACATACTCGCTACATATGAATTTAATCTCCTTCATAACGGAAAAATTTGTTTCTTTGCAAAAAATAGTACATTTCTTACTAATGCTGATGTTTGGTGCTTGCTTAAACCTGACGTCGTAATTCCTTCCACCAAATCTGGAATCTTTCTCGAACAAGCAAACGTTGTTTTCTTTTTTCAACCGCATGAGTGTCTCTGCCATGTACAATCCTGATATACCCCCACCAACCACGACGACATTACAGGTCATTTGTTTCACGTGGGACTCTTAAAATGAAAGAAAAACCAAATGATTCATAGCCAATCCGGAGGTAAATGGACACCTCTAAGTTTAAATTCTACTCTACCCCTCTGGCCCTTTAATGATAAGGAAAACTATGAAAATTTCACGTTCACCGTCCTTAGTTTATCGTTCGGTTGCTAACCTGGAGTCCTTTTCTCAAAAGTCCTAGTAATTAAATGGGCCAAAGGTTAGGGTTGGGTTTAGGAAACAAGCTTATTCTGCTAAAATTCTCATAGATTTTCTCAAACTCAGGCTAATTAAGGCCTGGGTCAAAAATGATTTTCGCCTCCAGTGCCCCCCGAGCAAGGTTCGCGGAATTCGCGTGGACTGCGCGAGTAACCATAGTTACTTGGAATCCAGATCGCGTAATTCGTGAACGGCATCCGCCATTTTGAAGTGTCGGCTTTGCATTGGTTTTTCCCATCTTCGCTGGTGAATGCGACAATCAAGAGGAAGACATCAAAAGAAGGTAATAAAATTTTCTTTGCTATCTTCATTTCCTCAAAAAATGGCATGATATCGCTATCTTAAAGCCAAAGAGAACCATTTTGAACCTACGAAGACTTCTAAACACCGCTCTCAACATGTTCATTGATTTCACTGCAAATACAATGCAACATGAATTTATAATATAGCGCTCATTTCTAGAGCTCAATAGCGTTTTACAATGTTTGTAACTTTTGCATAGAAAAAAGTACCATGTTTTGTAACAAATGTATAGAAAAAAGTTTCATTGTGGATATACCATTCAATTTTGAAATTAAATTTAGCTTGATAAATCCTCTATCACATCGTGATGTGTAAACTTATGGTGTTTATCAAAATTTAAGCTTTTGAATGCTTTGGAAACAATTTCTCCAAGAAGCAGATGAATTTACTGACAAACGTAATCCCCCAAAGCAGTTGTTAGGTAAGTTTAATTGCTAACATGTAAGATGCAGATTGTCTCGTCATAAATAATCCCTTGAAAACTAAGAGGAAAAAAGCTGTACTAATGCGTGTTAGTTTATTCCGAGGTCCCTTACTGAATTGCTATAAATATATAATAATAATAATAATTTTAATTACTCACACAGAAAACCAGCCAGCCCTTGCAGATTCCAAAGGGAATCTACTTGATTAAAACCAGTTTTATTTACTGTTATCCCTGTTTGTTTTCTTGAAGAGGTCCTTCCAGTTATTCCACACAACTAATTTATTACAAGCATGTTAATGGTGTTATTTATGAGGCATTTTTTTGGTTTTTAAATCATGTTATATCAGTTTTAATTATAGTCAACAGTTTGGTTTTTAAGTTTTGACCGGTAATAATTGCAACAATCATTGTCAATGATGGACTTGTAATTGATGTATGTGTCTATTTGAATGTAAATATTCTACCCACTACACCAGTGGAGTATCTTTTAATTCAAATGCATCACAAAAGTTCTGATACATGCATATGATTCTGACCATAGCCTTCTCTCTTTTTTGATAAGACATGATTAATTACCAGTGCTTACTGTTGCCCCAAGTGGGGCACTGTTTTTTTTTGTGACAAGAGCAAACACAAACTGGTATAAGATGTGTCATCTTCTCAGCCCTACTCATAAAAGATGTGCCATCTTAAGAGCAGGATAGGTTGCCCTTGTTACAAAGTCAGAAAGGAAAATTTTAAAATTGTATTTCTTGCTTTTTTTGTTGCTCTTCTAAGTCAATATTCCTGTTAGAAGGCTATGGTGGCCTAACTGGTTAAAACTCTGGTTTATAATTTTAAGTTTGATCTGCCAGTTGCTTGCCTAAATTCAATTTCATAGATCAATAATTGGCAGGAATTGGGAAATAAATCGGTACATGTATGTTATCTAGCAGCGATGTAAAATTATAGACATGAGTATGACCTATGAAGTAATTTGTACCTGATGGACCCTAGAGCACCTTATCTGTGCATTATTAAAAATGTCCCTCTAACATTCATTCACAATTCGTAAAGCAGAAGTACAAAATTAGTTTAGACCAAGAGCACACATAAACTTGCTAAAGACATGCACATACATTGTGATTTTAACCTTGCAAAGCCCAATAAAAAGACTCCTGCTGTGACATGGCTAGGGTCACTTTACCTGATTAGAGTGTTAATTATTACTTTCTTAAGCTGAGGTTTCATTAAGATTTTGAGGTGATGGGAAATGTACAAGGAAGCAGGCAAAATATGTTTTGATTCTGATTTATGTCAGTCACAACATGCAGGAAAAATTATATTCCCAGACAGTCAATTTGCCCAGTGTCAGGCCCGTGAAACCCCTGCTTAAGCTTATAGTATTCAGTGAGATATTATGGAAGCCAGTGTTGCCATAATGCCTGTTGTTGGTCTTCTTACAGGGCTGGCATCCAAACATGCTTGAGCCATGAAAACCAAAAGTGGAATGTTTTGCCTAACACCTACTTTGAACAGAATTTTACCAAGGGAAAAAATATCACTGGCTTCATTAATTCTTTGCAGGAGGAAAGGAGCTGTCACATGCTTTTCCAAAATTGATGATGTAGCCATGTTTGTTACTCACAAGAAAATTATTAGCCTTCAAATCACAGTGAAGAAAGCCTTTTGTGTGAATATGTGAAAGGGCTTCTGTCAAATCATGTGAAATAATTAACCAGTCATTTGTTATGAGTGAGCTTTGCACATTCTGTATTGTTGCACTGTTTTTCTGACAAGACAATAGTTTGCTTATTGTTACAGATGTATTGTCTTCCCCTTTAAACTCCATTATTAAGGAAATGGGCTGCTTTTGAAGCTGCACACCTTTTATGGTTGGGATATTTTTATGTGCGAGTGCCTGCATAATGTGAGCCTCCTTCATTATCTCTGTGGTGTCCTGCATCAGAGACTGTTTTTCCACAACCTTTATATCAAATCGTGTGTACTGTCTCAGAAGGCATTGACCATTGGATCCTTCTCCCAGTATTATATTCTCTTCATTGGTTGGAAGAAGTTCAGTATGATTGATTAAGTTTACAGTGGATTATTTGGTACTTGCATTCCTTTTAAAAAACTGGAAAATGAAGGCGAATATATTATAGAGAGTGTGCTTAAATAAATGCTAGATTGCAACACAAGTAAAGGTGAAGATTGTTGATCTCAGTGTTTGGCATGCAAATTACTGCAAAGTAAGTAGAAACATTACTCCTCCTCCAGATGGACTAGACATTAGCATTGGATTTTATTTTTTTCTTGGCGTGCTCTCCCTCGACGCTGCCGCTTTTTCTCAATTGCGTCTTTCTTTTTTTGGAGCTGAAGTTCCTTCACTTTTGTTTGTGCTTCAGCAAAGCTTATTTTAAATATTTTCTCAAAGTGGCCATTCACTTTTGAATAAATGTGTTTTACAGCAGTTTTAATGGCTTTTTGCGTTGGTTTCACTTTACTTTGTGTCTTCACCCCACTTTCAATAAGGGCCTCTTTTAAAAGTTTTCGGGTTTTGAAAGTTTCTCCACAAGGGAAAAAATTATGGATGGCATAATAGTGCACTTGACAACCTCCACAATTTGACAGTGTGTGCTGTTTCTTCTGCGCTGTATTAAGAGCTTTCCAGTCAACCATTGAAAACGTGTCTTGGTACTGGGCCCTGGCTTTTGAGTTCATCTTTCGGAAAGAGCTGTAAATTGCTTTGGATTTCTTGACGTAGGTGGAACGTTCGACCGCAAAAACTTCCTGACTGTCACCCTCGAACGCTGCAAGATAGTTCTTCCACTTTTCACTAGGGTTAGTTTCAACCGAAGCACTTCCAACCTTACGAAAGCTCTCCTTTACAGCAACTCTTGCAAATCCCGCACAATTAAAAATGACAGACATTTTCGTTTCACACGAATACACATAGCTCGTTATCGAGTAGTACCGTTGTTAGGGAACAAAACCTTGAAGAGTTTCAAGGAATCAGTGCGATAACTTTCAAGTTTTGCGCCAAAATTGCAATTGTTTTTTATTAGAACTGTCAAAGGCGATCTAACCCTGGATTTACAGAGATGCAATCGACCTCAGAAAACGAGAAAAAGAAATAAATATCACCAAAAGTATACAAAGTTTGCCTGTATTACTTCTTAGATTGCTCCAATTAGTATTTGGTAGTGCATCAGCCGTTAAACTTCGATCCTTTTCTCTATTAGAACGATTTGAGCACCCATAAACGGCACAAAAGTTAACTATGGTGCAAGAACTTCAAAATATTTTGCCTTATTGCTCTCTTCGATCGTAACGCATAGTGAAATCAAGAGTTTGTTTACATTTGCTTGTCCTCCAGTTCGCAAAGTCACGTGATGTGACGTCACGCTTGAAATGGGTCTTCGTGACTCGCGTGTCAAAATGGCGGACACTAAGTTGAATTACGTGACTGCGAGTTTTCAAAATTCCCACCTCTTAAACAGTTTTAATTTGTCTTTTTTCCAAATAAATAGGAACCTGTGGGATTACTTTCGTTGATAGCGGTTGGAACCAGGTAAAGGCTAAGATGTTTTCGGGCGAAAACCATGATAGAGGAAGCAGCTTCGCAGAGACAAAACTTGATTTAATCTGCCTAGCACATCTCTCTTTTTTTTGGCAGCCATTCCAAGTGGGAAAACAATGAAAAACGTCTCAAATATTCATAGCGATAACTGCATTTTGATTTGCCTTGTGTTTTGTGGTGGGAATTTGTTCAAGAAAGCAACCGACGAATTTGGCGCCTAAATTAACTGTTTTTGGCTGTTGAGAGTATCATATTACGCTGCCACAATTCAGTCCGAGAGAGATGGTAGTGATACACATTTCTGCCAAGTATGAGAAAAATCCCTCGCAAAATAGCTAAGTTATTCTCAATTTTGTGAAAATATGGGTTAAAGACAGGGTGACCCAGGCCTTAATTAACCTGAGAAGTTGGTATTTCAGGGTCGTAACGAGGTATATGAGATCAGGGATCACAGCCCCGGGATCTGGGATCACAACACTTGGGATCGGGATCAGCAGTGTTTTAGTGGAATCAGGGATCAAAATTGTGAACGTTTTTGGGATCAGGGATCAAAATTCCCAATGTTTTTGTGATCAGGGATTAAAATTCTCAACGTTTTTGTGATCAGGGATCAAAATTTGGGGCAAAAATACAGGATCAGTTATGAAAAAATATACCTTGTTACGATCCTAGTATTTTAAAAGCCATTTCTACCTGTATCAAGCACCTCCTCAAAAAGCTTCCATTTTAATTGCATTGAACCAGATAGAGTGCTCGTTGCGTGACTATATAACAGTGATACAAGTATCACTGTGACGATAACACAGAGACAATTCCCGGGAGTAAAAACTCTCAAGTCTTCTCTGACTTCTCGGTGTCCGATGATATGGCTGAAACTCATTATCTCTTATAAGAACAGTTTACGTCGAAATCATCTCCTGCTTGGCAGAAATCATTATAGGGAAGTCGTAACACAAACGGGTCGGGTCAAACAGTTGTCATACACTGAGCTTCGACTGAGGTAAACAAATAGACACATATTTAAAAACCACCATAGACTGCGACCATTCCACCTACCTTGATTTCCAGCTTGATTACCTGACACTCCAGTGATATCTCCTTTACTCTTTTCGTGAGCCAGCAGTGCAGCTAAAACGACAACAGCGATCAAAAACGAAACAAACAGAAATGCAGCTACAAATGCTTTAAGTCGACTGACAAAGTAACCGTGAACTTCAAAGCTGCGTATTCCGCCGTATTCCTTATCAATTTCCATGTTAGCGTTGGGAAAAACTAATGCTAAATTCTCAGTCGACTAGATCACAACGTCAAACCTGTGCGGCCCAAAAAAAACTTTCTACAAATCGCGTGGAAGCTATATTTAGTCGGGATGATGTTGTATTTCGTGAATTGTGTAAGAATCACTGAGCTGGAAAAAATTGAAATGTTGAATACCCTCGAGTATTGGAGAGGTGGCTCCATATATAGTCAAAACGTTGCCTACCATACCAGGCCCCCACACGAGATCTTAACATACGATATCAGACCCCTTCCTTCATGTACAATAATATCAGCCCTCGACATACCATATGAGAATCCGATCATTGTAGGTTCTCGACACCATTTAATGTGAAACGTAATTATTGACATTTATATGAGCAATTCGCAAAATACATGTTTCAAGTCAGCATAATCATCGGGAAAAGAAAGGGTCGTTGTAGACTGACATGTTTTTAGAGTTTAGATCAGGTATTGTCTCAGCGTATTTAAGCGCTGGCTCATAATGGAATATAGAGATGAAGGAATTACAGTGAATGATGTCTTGAAGCGAAAGGCTTTCCCCTGAAAGGTTCCGCGACAATTCATAGTGGCAGGTTGAACAAAATTTTTTTTGTTTCTTGACCTTCAAATTTATTTGTTCATTAAAACCTTTTATGAGAGAGTTCAAGGAGTCACTTGCGGATGACCCCTATTTTGTTCAATCACGCAACATGCTCTGTCCGTCTGTCTGTCTTTCTCTCTCTGAAACATTTTTTTGAAATAATAAACTAGTGAGCAGTACTGCACGAGCTAAAATAGTAATTACTTGATTTATTCTGGTACGCCTTACGCGCAAAGAAGCTTGGGATATTATATTATACTAATTAACTTAATTAGTAACTTAAAACTTATTAGTATAATAACTTATTATACTAATAGCATCGCAACATTCCACCCGCTGTTAGGAGGAGATTTAGTTTTCAAATTAAATCCTGGTCCTTTACAACAAGACGTTAGTTCTACTCACTTGGGGCAAGCTTCTAGAGCAAAGTGTCGGTCAGCTCGTAACACCTCCGATCTTACTGAAATTAAACGGGCTCCGTTGAATAGAACACCAGACAATAGTCGACTGTCATCACTTTGTTTACTAAATGCGCAATCAGTAAGGAATAAGACGGAAGACTTTGTTGACTAGACAAGCGAAAACAAATATGATCTCGTCGCAATTACCGAGACTTGGCTACAAAAGAGAGATGATGCAGTCAGAGTTGAACTTTGCCCCACTGGTTATAAGCTAATAGACCATCCTTGTTCGGGAAGGGGCGGAGGAGGCATAGGATTGCTCTTCCGTGACTGCTTAAGAGTTAATACCGTCAGATCTGCTGAGGAGGAAGCCATCGATTATTCTGAGCCACCTGTACAACTGTCGACATCTTGCAAGCTAAGGATTATTATTGCTTATGGAACACCACCTTCGGAAAACCACAGGGTCTCGTGTGCACCTTCCTAAAGGAGTTCGCTGATTTCATGGAATCTGTTATTCATTTATTCATTTACTCAACTTTAATTATACAGATCTTAATATACAAATTGAAGATAAATTAACAATTGAAATAAATAAAAAGAAAAAAATGAAAAAAAATCACAAGATCTGAATAGTTAGGTCAGTTTATACAGAATACGAAGATTCCTTATAAAAATAAACTGCCTCAATTAAAAAACATATATATATATATATATATATAGAGAGAGAGAGAGAGAGAGAGAGAGAGAGAGAGAGATGGGACAAGGTTGAATACGAAGCAAACATTTTTCAACAGCGGTAGGCTGGGGGAGAGGGGAGGGGAGGGGAAAGAAAAGGATACAGAATGTAGTTCTCCAGGAAAAAGCTCGAATCTCTAAAGCATCCCACCGGTTATCGATGGGGAGGTGGGTGAGGGTCGGATGGTAGGTTCGATCCTAATCAAGGGCTCAGAGTCTTTTACTCTGTTCAACGTCTACGACTAATAAAGCTGCGCAATAATTTTAGGATTTGCTATTCGGTCTGTTAACTTTAAGGAAATCCACAAATTATGACAGTTTGTAACAGTAAAAATACATAAAAAATTCAACAAAGGAAATTAGGTGAACTTGGCCTCGCTAAAGAATGCTGCCATTAACAGGAAAACGTGCAAAAAATATCTGCGGCAAGAACAAGTTATTTCGAAATGAAATAAAACATCCACACCTGAACACAAGTAGCATGCTCCGTAGAAGCTGTTTAAGAATGATCGTCACTTTCTTGAAGTGTCCTTTAGCGAGCTTTGTCATGATTGTCAAATCCTCTCCAGTCACTCCTAAAGTAAACAGCATCCCAGCGCTTCTCCAAGCGAACGGACGTTGAAGAAGAATCTGACAAAAATTCTCGAAACCTGGGAGATAAAACGACATTTAAAACGAACATAGGTCTTAATACCTACTTTTTAAACTTACTCTGGATGGATGTATCCCACTTTAATTATAAAATATATATTGTCACGCTCAATGTCATTGTTTATGTCGAGGCTCATCTGTACATAATGCTTCATAATGACTTTGAAAAAATTCCAAATGTAATTATAATAAAGTTCAGATATAACGCGCGCTGTCATTGGTTGAAAGAGCGTGCTCTATGAGAGTATAGAGCATAGAGATGAGCTAAAGCTGTTACGCCGTCTGCCAAATTGTACTATGTTCGACCTTCTCCGGGATTTCTTTTAGCTTTTTTTCGATAATTGAAAGTGAAATTTCGGAACAAGCGGGCCGGCGAGTAGCGACAGAAGTACCAAACAAAGGTTTGTAAACATACCAGGCGCCGTAATTTACGTTATTAAAACGTGAGCAGATACGAAAATCCTCAAAGAGAAAAACAAAATAGACATTCCGAGTTTTAAAGATTTTCACGCTCAGTTAGATTGCAAGCTTACGCACGGTAATAAAAATCAAACACAGCTAACACTCGTATAGTATATAAAGTTCAATGTTCAAAAACAAAACAGAAAAAAACAGAAATGATGAAAAATATAACCAAACTGGCATAACCTTTCAAATTCATACTAATCATGACGGTGTCTGAGCGAATATGATCATGCTGAAGTCCATCGCGGCTTGCTCATCATGGCGATCTCCGGTCATCACAGTAAAGTAAGCCTCAGAAACTCATCGGCCGCCCTTCGTGTGAAAAAATTAGAGCTTGCTCTGATATCCTTTCCGGTGCGTTGAGTGGAAAGTCACATCAGTCACTGCACCGAACTATTTTAGTTTGTAAACTATCGCAGATTGTGAACTTGGATGGTTTGACACTTTTTGTCCTGTACAGCCAATTAGATTATTTGAATCATTCTAACAGGGATTCTGATTGGCTTCTCCCTACTCTTCTTTCGTGCTCTTGACGCTTCCTGCGTGCTTTATAACAGAACAGAGCACAGTCAAGGCTTCTCTATTTGTTAATTGGTGAGAGTAGGCGAGAACACAATAGAATAACAATAAAACATGAGTTAAGGGGTGAATATCATCTGCTATGCGTTGAGAAATTTCTCTTAATTAGGTGGAAAAGTCACAAAACTAATGCAATCTCCTGAAGCCTATTGATGTGGATTGTAGAGAGGCGAACAAATCAATTGACAAGTAGAGAGAACGATAACCAGGCAAACTTTACCATTAGAACTCCTGCAAATTAAACTACGTCTTTTCCGAATAGTCATAACAAGCTAGCTATATATGTTAATGGCAAGTCCAGTGTGGACCTATCACATCCTGCTTTCCAACTTGGTGGTGTTACGTGGAGGGAAAGATCACTCCACTTACACAGAGTCATCGCAAGTCAGTATGTGGAAAGTTAAGTGCGAGGGTTTCACTGACAAAATGAATAGCGAGTTACTGGGGCCTATTTCATAAGTCCACTTTTGCACGAGGGTCAAAGTATTTACAGGAGTTATGTCGATCGACGATGTAAATGATGTCATCAATAACGCTCTGTTGAGGGGCGTTCGAAATGATAGCCTTTGAAAACCTTTACCGGGACCAATTTGCATTATCAACACATTTAATAGAACAAAGTTTTTTTTGTCATTAATAACAGCCTGTTTTTAACAAGAGTATAAGAAGTATCGTACAGTGCTTACTTGTAACAGTATATCACATTCTCTGTAACACCGTATATTTTATCGTCATTCTGGCCTATGGCTTCCTGAGTAAAAAAACCCTCAAAGTCGACATGTTTCCCTTGCATTTTATCGCCATTTTCCCCAAGTTTGTGAGCACTTTCTATTCAGATCACTTTTGTTAGCGGACAGATATTGAGCCAAAATGTTGAATGTGTGATGATATCGTTAATAATTTTTGCATGTGCTAAAACCCGAAATAGCAAAACGAAACGACCAAACCGTAACGACCGTTATGACCAAAACAAAACCACTACAATGATCGAGACGAGTGGATGATAAAAAGTTGACTTCACCTGAGATATTCTCTCGCATTTAAGGATTTTACATATCAAGGCCGTCTCACGAAACTTAATTTTTTCCACCACGCGAGCAGCTGAAACTTTAATTTGACACTTATATGTAGTTTCCAGAACGGAACGCCAGCCTCATTGAATACTGAGGCGTATACGGAAAGGAGAGGAAGAAACAGATTACGGTATTCATTGACAACGTCTATGTCCGTAACTCTTTTATTGATTTTTCTTTTTAAACTAAGGTTCCCTCGCCGCCTGATGTTAAGCCGATGGCAATCAAGAGATAACTGAATTTCCCTGTGAGGTAGATCAGGAGTAGACCATAATCTAAACAAGAAGAATATGACGCAGTTTTCCTTCTCTTTGAAATATGGAAGAAACCAGCGAAGAACTACCCAATTTTTCTATCGGCATTGACCTTTTAGGTCCTGATCCAACAAGCAACAAAAATAAAGCCGAAAAAAACTCCTAAGTAGTTTCGGTCTTTGACTTTTAAAACATTTTTTAGTGACACTTGAGTTCATTTGGCTTTGATTTTCTCCATTTTCCCCGTAAATTTTAAGCTTTTCATTCACAGTTGTCGGTTAACTGGATCAAATGTTCTCGCTCAAACCAAAGTATAAAATGTGGCGTGTCACAGTTTTTGACCAGTCAATAGGGACGTTTGTTTACTTTTTTTTGTGCGTTGTGAGAATTTTGCACTCTATCACAATAAAAGGCTTCTTCGCGCAGATCCTTGTCGTCGCTCTATTATAGAAGAATTTGCTCTTGCTTTTAGCTGTGCGTATATCGAGTTATGGATGCACGCGGGAAGTTTGGAGAGCACTCAAAAAGCTATAGTTGCCCTCGGTTGCGCCTCGAGCTACTCTTACGCATTTTTCGTGCTCTCCAAACTTCCCGCGTGCATCCATAACTCGATATACACACGCTAAGCATGAACAAATTCTTAAATTCACGGCAATTTCAATGATCAGTTTATTAAACACAATTGTCTTAGCTTTCGCAGTCTGTCTTTCGGAGAATTCTGACTCAAACACATCATCACAGGTGCATCGATTTATCCAAGGTGGAGGCGGAGCCTAGAAACTGCTTTCCTAGAAAAATTAAGGTTTCCGGCCTCAACATTCAGTGTAAACAAAATTACCTCCTACAACACTGCGAAAAGCCGCTCAAAATATCCAGGGAAACAAATTATTGTACAGTACTGTTCCTTCTGTCTAACTTATCGGGTAATTTAATCTTGCATTTTTTGCAAGATACTTTCTAAATTAGAAAAAGCATAACCTTATATATAACACCATAGTTAACTCCGAAGGAAAATGCGACGTATTGTGTGGTTCTAAAAATTTATATTTTCAAAAATTTTTCATTTGAGACACAAAACTGGTCATAACACCTTAGTTACCTCCAGGGAAAATAGGAAAACATTGTGTATTTCTAAGACTTCTTACATGTCCCGCTGAAAGTCTTTTGATCAAATAATTCGCAGCTTTGTTTGAGAGTTGCCATATACGTTTTTCAAAACATTCTCTGTTTTTCACTGCAGTATTTCGTTGACTGTCATATCCAGTGGTACTGAGATGTGAGATCACTCATTAATTAAGATTGAAAAGCAATGAGCTGATGACTAACACAATTAGAACAGTTGGACAGGAAGAAGGACTGTGGCGTATGGAACAGCGGTTTTGTTTAGTAACCATAGTTACAGAAGTTCAAACAGTTTTATAAATTAAAGGAAAGCACGAAAGCAAGTTTTCACTTTTGATAATCTCGGGAACAAAACCAAGTACGAAAAACACTGTTTCGCTCAGAAGGTAAGAATTATCTCTGTGAGCTACTTATCTATATATCTTGAACCAAGCCTTTCTTGCTCAGACTAATTGCGCTGATAGCAGAAATGATCGAGAAATCTTTTGTGTAAAATTCTGTCAATTCAGCCATACGATGTTTCACATTCTGTCAAAGTTGTTATAAATTTGTTTTTTTTGTAGGTTGAAGCTCTCAAATACCATCCGAAAGTCAGAATGCTTGCGACCAGTCTAACTAAGATAAAATCAGGTGATGTTTAATGCTAACTACCATGCTCAATTACCATTAGCAAAACGATCCATAAAAAACTTAGGCCTCTGTACCTTAAGGTTGCTACAAAGTTAATTTTCATTTTAATAATGTCCAATGTTGTTCTATCGTATTGGAGAATGTTTTGAGATGAAAAAGGATAAATTGTTAAAAGTTTGTATTTCAGAAGTGATCTGACATCTTTGTTGGTAGCAAGTCTGCAGAAATTTGTTTCTCGCTCTTAACTTGATTGCTGCAAGTTCAAAGTTAAACTGGCTGAATATAACTTATTGATAAACTCCTGTCACCTCCAAAAAGTGTGATGTGCTCTATTCCGTTTTTCTACGATGCTTTTAAAAAATATTATGGCTTATCAGAATAAGATAAAATTTACAAGGAAGAGTAAGAATTTAAAAATACCCCAATACAGATAAGTTGCGTTACTGCGGTCTGTTATTTTCCCTTTTTTTGCGCCTTTTGCAGCCGTTAACACACCTTCGAAAATAAATATTTAATAAAAATAAATTCAAACTAAGGGATGAAACAAGCCTGTTAGCATTATTAACATGAGTGAACGAAGTATTTGCCTTCGAGATGTTGGGCTAGTTAAGAGTCCCTCTCAGTAGACAAAGCTGGCAAATAAATGCTGAACACCTGTCTTTTATTTGTCAGGATGATTTGTATTTTGGGACGCTCACTATCAGATTTTTACCTTGAATTTACAATTATTTATTTATAGCGATGCAGTTCAAGTTTTCTATTTAACCGATCATTAATATTCTCTATATCTTCCATGGAATTATTCTCCTACCATGCTTCTGTTGCACAGGTGAGTATAAATCCCTTTTTAAATTTCTTGTTTTTCATCTTTTTGGTGTCGTTTCCGCAAAAATTTAAAATTAAAATAATTTTAAATTTAGAAATTTAAAGCCTTATAAATGTGTTTTATATCTTCGTGTTTGTATTTCGCATGAAATTGTAATGTAATTTATTTAGTTTATACTCAGGGCTCCCATTGATAGCAGGTGGCTCTTTAGGGCTTCTGACGGGGCTACCCTGAGGTTTATTTTTATTTTAAATAAAGATATCCATCCATCAAAACCATTACTCAAACTATATATGCTACCTGCTTATCAGAGAAAATGCTCTTTAAGCAGACAATCTTTATCTAACTATTATGTCTACTATTATGGAAGAGGCGATACAAAAAAAGCCAAATTTCAAAAAGACCCCATCGCATGCGCATCAATGGTTCAAAATGATAATTTAAACAAACGATTCACAGATATCGTGGTGTGGTAGTCAACGCTGTGAAAATATTCTTGATATTTTCCTTAATATTTTCTTTCCGCGCGTTAATTCACAATCAAAGATTGATTTTGTTAAGTTTAATTTTCAAGAGATGACAATCACCTTTAGGGAAAATTCGTCAGGGTTCTCGTGCAGTAAAGTTTTGAAAGAAAGTGGTCTAATGTGCCTAGTGAAAATGAAAAAGTACCTCGAGTGAGTGGAAACTAAACGATATATTTATTTTGCCTACCACAGACGATGATTGTCGAAACATCATATTCAAGCACCCAATGCCAAACATGACCATGAAAAATCACGCGATCAAAAGTGTAGAGGTGCCCAACGAAGGAAGTTGCAGAGTAATGTGTTATATGGAGCCTAATTGTGTGTCCATCAATACTGGACCTGTTGCGGGAGGAAACCAAAAATGCGAGTTGAATAACGCCACGGAGGAAAACCATGCTCCATTTCTTCTCGTGAAAAATCAGGGTTACACATATCTTGCAATCAAGGTAACATTTCACATTCTTACGAAACTACGGTGCCAGAAGAGATTGTTTCGTTTTCTTAGGTTAAAGACATAACATAAGGAAGATCTACACTATAGCTTACTTTGTTTTGTCAACAGAATCTGTGCAGCAGCAGCCCATGCTTAAACAATGGCACCTGTCAAGCCGGATTCACCAATAAAGGATTTCGTTGTGTCTGTCAAGAAAAATTCACAGAAGAAACCTGCCAAGTTGAAGGTAAAATGGCTGGATTGTGTAGACTAGTCTCTCTTGTAGTACGTGTAGTACGCGAGGAGTTACTCACTAAAGTTTCAAAATTGACTTCAAGAACAAAATATTAATCACTGAATGAAAGCTAAAAAGGAAAAGCCACGTACGGTCACTTTAAATGAATATAGCTGGTAGATATTGAGGAAGAAGAAATGGTATTTGCTAATGTTCAGAATCAAGTTTTATCAGCCAGAGCAACAGTCAGGAAAGCAAACAAAAAGCACTCAATATCCAAACAATTTAAAGTAGGCGTGTTGTTTTGTTTTTTGTTTGTTTTTTTTTACTGATTTTCAGTCAAAAGAAACTGCGCAGAAATCTACAAATCCGCGGGTAAACCAGCTGACGGTGTCTACGCCATTAAACCTGATAATTTGCCTGCCTTTGATGTATTCTGTGACCAAACAACGGACGGTGGAGGATGGACTGTGTTCCAGAAGAGACTGGACGGCTCGGTTGATTTCTACCGCTATTGGAACGACTACAAACGTGGCTTTGGTGACCTGTGTGGTGAGTTTTGGCTCGGACTGGACAAAATTCACCGCTTGACCTCAGATAATAATAACACGCTGCGTGTGGATTTGGAAGACTTTGAATGAAACACAGCTTATGCTGAGTATAAATTGTTTGGTGTTATGAGTGAGAAAGACAAGTACAAGCTGATCCTTGGTTCTTATTCAGGCAGAACTGTCATTTCGTCTCCACTATTCTAGTCATTCAAAGAATTAAGGGGGGGGGGAGGAGGACAGAGCTTAGTAATGTAAATATGCTTAAACTATTTTACATCAATAGCTTTGGAAGACAAAGAAGTAACCTCAGCTCATCGCTATGCAATCCTGGACAGCGCATACCGGACGTTGATTAGTCCAAAGGTATTCGCCTGTGAATCATGCGCAGTTAACCTGATCAACTAATCCAAATCTGAGGAGTGTCTCAGCGAACAATTTATTGTAATTATTATATTGAGTATTTTAATCCTTACAATCTTCGACAAGAATGATAGATATTACTAAGAATGCTTTTAATCCATATCATTATTGTTAAATTATACTTATCCTATATTTTAAGATTTCTTTTGAATTACGAACGGCTCATTGTTGGTCAAACGTAATACTCATAGTGCGGCTCATTTTGTCAGGAAATTCTGGTGACTCTCTTGCTTTCCATCGCGGTATGCCATTCACCACTAGAGATCAAGAGAATAACGATCATGTGGATCACAACTGCGCCATTAAGTTCAAAGGAGCCTGGTGGTACCGTGGGTGTCACCGCTCAAATCTCAATTGCTTGTATCTTCGTGGCTATCACTCTTCTTCTGGTGATGGAGTGAACTGGTTTCAATGGAAGGGTTATCATTACTCCCTCAAGAGAACCGAGATGAAAATAAGACCAAAGGATTTCTGAACTGTCATGTTTGTGGCACAACAAACAGCACCAACGTAACAAAAAAACCGAGTGTCTCGATCAAGTATATTTAGCATTAAACAATCACTCTTAAATTGGAGCTTAGCGGAACGTTGTTCAGGGTTTTTCTTGCTTCTTTGTGCGTGTTTTTCAAAATAGGAACAGTTAATTCTGTAGAATCGGCCAGTTAACCAGTAATAATAATAATCATCATAATAGTAATAATGACTTAATCTATATAGCGGTACATACAAAAAGCTTCTTATCATAGTTGGAAATTGACAGTTAATCATAAGAAGCTCTGAAAAAATGCACTTTAATCTTTTCTCGAAAAACTGAAACCAATGGACTCAATTCAAGGTCTATGGGTGAGACATTCTACAGTCTGGGGGCAGCAGCTGAATAGACCCTGTCTCCATAACATTCTAGGTGGGTCCTTGGTATTCACAGAAGTTATTCTCGAATCTCAATGGCTTGTGTCATCATAGCCATCACGACTCCTATGCTCCTTCTATCTGAGTTATACAAGTTTTGATTCTTTAAATTTTTGACTCGTATTTTCACTTGACGGAACACAAAGCAATCACACAGCCTTCATTTTTTCAAAGTCAATATCAGAAGAGTAACCACAGTCGCTAATTCAGTTCTAGTTCCCTTTGATTTCTAAAACGAAACTCCAAACAATTACCCAATGTTTTGACTCTAAAGAACGCTATCAGAAAAACAAATATTTCAAGTTTTAGTGTACAATATAACGTAATGTCGATGATTCTAAAGTGCTTCATGTATTGCTTTTATTTGTATTTTCTTAGCTTTTGAAAGTAAATACCTTGCACTGTTATTGATAAACATATTGCACTTTAAATCATAAGAACATATTGCACGCCCAAGGTCCATTTTGTAGATATGGCTCATCAGGTGATTATATTACAAACTAAGTTTGTAGAAATACCAAATGTAAGGATAAGTAGGTGAAATCTCTTTTGTTTTATTCTCCCCTAGCTTCGGAGCCATGTTAGAATCTTGATATATCAAAAGTGGCGTATTGGATCACTTGTGATCATTGGTTTGCAGGCTACAAGAGGACTCCTTACAGCTTTATTTACTTATAAATGATTAAAATCTTTGATACATAAAAAGTTTTCGTTTTAGAATCTTGATATATCAAAAGTGGCGCATGGGATCACTTGTGATCATTGGTTTGTAGGCTACAAGAGGAATCTTAACAGCTTTGTTTATTTGTAAACGATTAAAATCTTTGATACATAAAAGTTTCGATTTTTCACAATTTGAATTCGATGGGGAACGAAATCAAGAAACCGAGACCGTTCTTTTGGCTCGTTCTGCGGCTATGGCGTCCAACACGTGCAAGGTTTTTAATTTCGACGTGAGTTCGTCCATATCTTTAGGTGCACGCCACAGGTACTGAAGAATCTGCAGGTAGCTTTCCACCATCCACGCTTTGAAACTCATGGCTCTAGTGACAACAAGAAATTTGTTAGTGACAGGCTCAAACGATTCACCTTCGTTTCACCCTTTACACCCTAACATCAGGATGCATATTCTCCATACTGCCCTCTATACATTTCCTAAGATGATGACAGGGAGAATGTTAACAATCAAGAGCATCTTCAGTTGATGATCATTTCCTTTATTCTCATGACCTTAATATTTGATTCAGGGGCAATAATGTAAGGAGAAATTAAATGCTAGTCATTCTTAAGGGTCAAAAGGGTTAATAATCAGCACGGATTAGTTTAGGAATGATTTTCGTTTTAAAACCGAATTCTCTACGCCAGATAACTGAATGAACAAATAGATAAAGAAATAGATAAAGAAATAAAGAAAAAGATAAATAGATAAATTAACTGAAAAGGCTTTGAAAATACTTCAACAAAAATATCAAAAATTAGCGCGGTTAGACGTTTCGATGTCGTCCTAAACATCACCATCAAGAAAGTTAGAGTCGGAGTCGGAGTCGGAGTAGTGACAAATGAGTATTAGAGATAAAATAAGCACAATGTTAGCATGATTATGTGAAGAGAGGATGATTACAGCTAACTATGGACAGGGGTTTCAATGAAAGCTGGTTACCGGCGGTGTCTCTCCTCATATAAGACCTCTCAGTTACCGCCGTCTGTTTAGCCTGTTAGCAGGCTCTTGTGTTTGGGTTTGTTTAAAAACTATCAGAAGTAGGAATCGAACCTTAGACCTTCGGATTCCGTTTCCCGATGCTCTACTATTGAGCCACAGAGACTCGACGGTGAGCGAGGTCTATTACGAATTTATATGACACGGGGATAATTTGCATTATAAACTCAGTTGATAGAACCTAGTTATCTTGTCATTAATAACAGTCTGTTTTAACAAGAGTACAAGACCGCAAATTAGGTTTTCGCGCACGATGAGAAGTATCGTGCTACACTTATTGGAACAGTATATTAAATTTTCTGTAACACTGTATATTTTATTCTTAGTCAGGCCAATGGCTTTCCTTGCATTTTATGACCATTTTCTCCAAGTTTCTGAGCACTTTCTAGCAAGATCGCTTATGTAAGCGGAAAGATACTGAGTCAAAATGTTAAGTTCGTGATGATATCGTTAATGATTTCGGCATGTACTAAGACCCGAAACAGCAAAACGAAAGGACCAAAACGAAACAAGCGAAACGACCAAAACAAAACGACCTTTATGACCAAAACAAAACCATTATAACGATCGAGCGGAGTGGAGGATGCAATGTCACGTAAAATGTAAATTTCACTTCAGATATTCTCTCACATTTAAGGCCTTTAGATATTAATTAAGGCCGTCTCACGAAACTTTATTTTCAGCTACCGCGCGAGCAGCTGAAACTATAATTTGACGCTTTTTCAGGGTTTTTATTAATGTCAATAATTTTCATGATATTATTTCTTCATCGTGGTTGTCAAGAAAAATGAGAGTAATTTTGACGAAATTTCCCCACGGTTAACTCCGGAGGAAAATGCGACACACTGAGTAGTTCTAAAAATTCATATTTCCATAAATTTTTCAATTTGAAAGACATAAAACCGATCATAACACTTTAATTATCTCCAGGGAAAATAGAACGACATGGTGTAATTCTAAAACTTCTCATATGTTCCGCTGAAAGTGTTTTGACCAAATAATTTGCAGGTTTATTTAAGAGTTAGACTTGCCGTAAAAGTTTTTCAAAACAATCTACTGGATTTTCATAGAAGGATTTCATTGACTGTCATATCCAGTGGTACTAGGATGAGTCCAGTCATTTAGATTTAAACACAGAAGCTATGATCTGGTGACTGACAACAATTAGAACAGCTGGACAGGAAGAATGACTGTGGCCTATAAGACAGCGGTTTTGTTTTGTAACCATAGTTACAGAAGCTCAAACAGTTCTATAAATTAAAGGAAAGCACGAAACCACGAAGTTTTTACTTTTGATACACCCAGGAACAAAATCAAGTGCGAAAAACACTTTTTCACTCAGAAGGTAAGAAATATCTCTGTGAGCTACTTATCTATATATCTTAGACTAAGTCTATCTTGGTCTGACCAATTGCGCTGATTGTAGAAATGATCGAGGAAAGTTTTGTGTAAAATTTTGTCAATTCGGTCACACGATCTTTCGCATTCTGTCATTCTTCTGGTCAAAGTTGTTACAAATTTGGAATTTTTTAGGTTGAAGCTCTCAAATACCATCCGAAAGTCATAGAATGCTTGCGACCAGTCTAACTAGGATGAAATCGGGTGATATTTAATGCTAACTACCATGCTCAACTACCATTAATATTAGCAAAACGAGCCATAAAAAACTTAGGCCTCTGTACTTAAAGTTGCTACAAAGTAACTCTTCATGTTAATAATGTGCAATGCCGTTCTATCGTACTGGAGAATGTTTTGAGATAAAAAAGGATAAATTGTTAAAAGTTTGTATTTCAGATTGCTCTTAACGTAATTGCCGCAAGTTCAAAGTTAAACAGGCTGAAAATAAACATATTGATAAACTCCTGTCACTTCTGATAAGTGTGATGTGCTATATTTAGTTCTTCTCTGGTACTTTTGAAAATATCATGGCTTATTGTGTTCATCGCTTATAAAGCGGCGGTTTTCTTCTGTAGTCATAGCTACAGCACTTACACACCTGTTTTTTTGACAATAAAATTAATAGAGTAGATTAAAAAATTTCATGTGCTCCGGTGCAGACGAATTCTATTAAAATGATTCATTTTTTCCACTAAATGTGCCTTTTTAGCGAGTAACTCATCTGGAAAGATAAAACTTTAGTATGGAGAAATTCCACCTGATTCCACCACATTCTTCAAGGAATGAAATAAACCCATTAGCAGGACGGCGTCAATGCTACCAATAACATAATTGAGGGAATTACTTGCTTGCGACTGAGTACCACGATAATTAGGACAAGGGTCAAACATAAATACTGAAGACCTACCTGTTACTGAATTTGAGAGGGAAAAAGGTATTTCAGCTATTATGGAGAGCAGTTTTTTATCAATGTGGTCAATTCATAGTTTTCAATTATAGCGACACAGTTCAAGCTTTTCCTTGAAGCTGTCAATAGGGATCTCTAAATTTTTTTCAGAAACTATTCCCCCACTATGTTTTTTTCGTACTAGTGTTTATGATTCGCCATTAAATTCTTTTTTCTGTGTTCGCGTTCGATTTTTCTGGCGACTTTCCCTCGAAACCAGCATTAAACGAACTTAATAAGCCACCAATTAAAAAAGCAAATCATTTTAAAATTTAGCAAACACGATATTAAACTAGAAATATTAATGTTTTCTATAGTCAAACTTGACACTAGTTTCTACTGGGTTTGTGTTCCAACAATTATCATCCACATCTAATCATTTGTGGCTTTTTCATAGAGTTTGACTTTCTGGCATTTTGCAAAAACCCTCTACCAGACTATCAAAAGCATAAAAGACCAAAACCATGAGCTGATGAATATCAACAATTTGAACGACCGATTCGGAGGAAAAACTAAAGCGCCTCTGTTCATCTCTTATTCAACATTTCCTGTTTTGTAACCATGGTTACAGTACTTCAAATAGTTTTATTTATGATAGCACGACACTACTTTTAGCCACCGATATTTTCTGGAGTACTTAAGACCTTCACTTTAATCTGATAAAAAAAGATCCCATATACTGTATTTTCGTGGTATAATGACCATATCCCTTGACAGCCGATTTCCATATAATTATAGTCGTTTGAAGATTTTTCCGACGGCTCTGACATTTGGCTTGTTTTGAAATACAACTTATTACTAAATAAACCCCTTCGGGCGGCTGGTAAATCGGCTGGTAATGTCCTCGGCTGAGATATTGTCCAAAATTAGGGATGCTTGGCCGAGAAGCAGAGCCTCGAGGGAAAATGTGAAGTTTTGAGGACAATCTGTAATTTTTAACGTACGGACGGTACGTTACAAATTTATTTGTATAGATTATTTATTTCTTTTATGTCACGCGAGATCGCTCGCTCTGATGGCGGATGCGTAATTGCGAGCAGGTTTTTAACATTTTACTGGAGTCTACACATAGAATTTGTTTTCTTCCGTGTAAGATAATTGAGAAAAATACCTGGGTTATAGCGTGGTAACTGTCCGGGTTTAACATTTCTCTTGAGACTCGGAGGGGGGGGGGTCTGATATATCAGCTGATAATGTCCAAAATTTGGCCGAAAGGCAAAGCCTCGGGGGAAAATGTGAAGTTTTTGTGGACAATCTTTCAGCCAAGGACATTATCAGCTGAAATACCATCAAGCCAGAAAGGGGTTTATTTATTTTATAACGTACCCTCTTATTAATTTTCATATGATCCGAAACCGCTCGTAGAAAGCAAGTGCTTGTCTGATGCGGATGCGTAGTTGCGACCAGCCTTTTAATATTTTACTACACTTTACAAAAAGAGTTTTTTTCTTCCGTGTAAGATAACTGAGTTGGCTCTCTTCCACTAGCCTTGTTTCTTTTCGTCGGAAATAATCCGAAAGCAGACCGGGTTTATAGCGTGGTAATTGTCTGGTGATTTTGCACCACGTCATGTAAAGTAGCGATTAAAATGACGCGAGAATGAATGGGTGGATTACAACGATATAGGTTTGAATAACATTTCACTCGACACTGTCTCGCTTGTTTGGGTTTCTACAATTACTGACCATATTTCATAATTTCAAGCTTTGTGTAAAAGTTAGACTGGCTGACTTTTTCAAAAATCCTCCTGGTCTTTTATAGAGGTATTTCATTGACTATTATACTTGTCCGATGTTACTTAGAGAAAACCAACCACCCAGAGTAAACAGAAAAGCAATGATCCGATGACTGAAAATAGGTAGAACAGCTGAACAGGAAGAAGACCTGAGGCGTTTATGTTCACCACGCATTAAACCGTTCTGTTTTGTAACCATAGTTACAGCACCTTAAACACTTCTCTAGAGGGTAGCAAAAAAGATTTCACTCCTGACACATCCGAACACAGTATCGAGTACGACAAACATTTTGTCTGTCAGATGGTAAGAAAAATATTTGTGAGTTACTTATGGATATTTAGCTCAAATAAATTGCACTTGAATCTGTTGCAGCAAGTTAAAAGACAAACAAGTTTAAGCTAAAAACCGTAAACTCCGGTCATTAGAGTGATGTGTTCAGTCTTCGTCTGTACCGATGCTTTAGTGACGACTTTAAATGCTCACGATCATGATTCTTAACTTGGAGTTATAATTTTTAATTCATAGCGATGCAGTTCAAGTCTTTACTTGAAGCTATCATCGGCAATATCTATATTCTTCTTGGAATATCCCTCCCACCGTGTTTTTGTTGCACTGGTGAGTATAACTACATTATTATTAAATTTCTTGAGTTACATTTTTCTGGCGCTGCTCCCTCGAATCTATTAGAAGAACTTGGCCACCGGCGAAAAATGCAAACAATCGTTAAACAAATACTTATTTTTCTAACTCAAAATGTCTCCTTTAAAATCTATAAATCTCCTTTTCCTTCACCGTATTTGAAAAAAGCCCTCAATTAATTTCGTGGTAATTAACGCCATGAAAATTATTATTTTTCAGATATTTTCCGTAACATACACCCTTTACACTGGTTAGCTCATCTACATAGCTCTGTTTTAATAATTAAACCCTCCTGTTAGAATTGAAGTATAAAAAGATGAAAATATCCTATAAAGGTTTTCATGCGGTAAGTTGGCAAAATAGCGTGCTTTAATGTGTTACTTTACCAATTGACAATAAGAAATTTTGTACGAGTAAGCGATAACTGGACGAGTAATTCCATTCGTTTTGCTTTCTCTAGGTGACGATTGTCGAAACATTATATTTAGGGACCCAATACAAAACATGGCCATGAAGGATCGTGTGATCTGGAGTGCAGAGGTGCCCAATGAGGGAAGCTGCAGAGTGATGTGTTATATGGAGCCTGATTGTGTGTCCATTAATGTTGGACCTGTAGAAGGAGGAGACCAAAAATGCGAGTTGAACAACGCCACCGAGGAAAACCATGCTCCATTTCTTCTTGTGAATAAACCAGGCTTCATATATCTTGCAATCGAGGTAAAAATTTCACATTTTTGCCAACCTGAGGGGAGTCAGACACATGATTTATTTTCATTTCAGGTCAAAGTGATCTTATTCTTGATTCTTGTCTAATGGGAAAGCTAAAAGAGCTTTATTTTGTTATTGATCAGAGGAAGTTGTTCATTTCTTGGCGCTAAAATGATTTTATTCTTGACGTAAGGAAAAGTTTCACGAAGTTTACTTTATTTTTACCAACAGAATCCCTGCAATAGCAGTCCATGTTTGAACAATGGCACCTGTCAAGCTGGATTCACCAGTAAAGGTTTTCGTTGTGTTTGTCGTCATGGATTTAGTGGAGAAAACTGCCAATTGCAAGGTAGCATAAATTGCGTTTTTGTTCACTAATCCTCCTGGGTTAAATGAACCACTGAAGTTTGGGTAATTTACTAACTGCTTTTAAAATCTGGTAACAGAAGTAGATTTAAACTCATTCGTAAATTGATAATTGTAGAGTATTTAGAATTGATTGAAATTTTATTCCTTGGACGAGTATCTAGTGTGCGCGGTATCGAATCCTACAATTTTCTCATATATTCATAGGCCTGAAAAAAAATTGTGCTGAAATTTACAAAGCTGGGGAAAGAAGAGATGGTATGTACACCATAAAACCTGATAACTTACTTGCCTTTGATGTATTCTGTGACCAAACAACGGAGGGTGGAGGATGGACTGTGTTCCAGAGGAGACTGGACGGCTCGGTTGATTTCTACCGCCTCTGGAACGACTACAAACATGGCTTTGGTGACCTATGTGGTGAGTTTTGGCTCGGATTGGACAAGATTCACCGCCTAACCTCTGGCGTTAACAATGTGCTGCGTGTAGACTTGGGAGACTTTGAAGGAAAAAATACTTATGCTGAGTATGAAAGGTTTGGTGTTATGGGTGAGAATGACAAGTACAAGCTGATCCTTGGTTCTTATTCAGGTAGAACTGTCATTTCGTCTCTTCTATCTAGTCATGCTAAGAACGGGAGGGGGGGGAGGAGAGTACTAAGTGACGTAAATATGCTTAAACTCTTTTACATCAATAGCTTTGGAAGACAAAAAAGTAACCTCAGCTCATCGATATGCAATCCTGGACAGCGCATAGGTATTCGCCGGTGGATGATGCGCAGTTAACCTGACGAACTAATCCAACTCTGAGGACTGTCTCGGCGAATATATTTATTGTAATTATCATATTGAGCATTTTAATCCCTAGAATCTTCGACAAGAATAATAGATATTACTAAGAATGCTTTTAATCCATATCATTATTGTTGAAGTATACTTATCTGACATTTCAAGATTTGTTCTGTCTTATGAACGGCTCATTGTTGGTCAAACGTAATACTCATAGTGCGGCTCATTTTGTCAGGAAATTCTGGTGACTCTCTTACCGAACATCGCGGTAAGCCATTCACTACTAAAGATCAAGATAATAACGATTTGGCGACCGAATGCGCCATTAAGTACAAAGGAGCCTGGTGGTACTCGAGGTGTCACCGATCAAATCTCAATGGCTTGTATCGTCGTGGAAATCACTCCTCCTATGCTGATGGAGTGAACTGGAAAGACTGGAAAGGTTATCATTACTCCCTAAAGAGAACCGAGATGAAAATTAGACCAGTGGGTTTCTGAACTGTCATGATTATGGCACAACAATGAAACAGTGCCAACTTAACTGTAACGGCTGCCACGCCTTTGCTACCGGACATTGATTTGTTATAAGTTTGTTTCGTGTTAAACGTGTTAAACCGCAATAGTGACGTTACTGTTTGCCCATTAGGGACGTGATCTTTAAGTTCCACCCAGAACCGCATTTTAGTTAGTTATCTTGCGTTGGACTAACGATAAGACGTGTTTATCGAAAGGCGCCCTTTTGCCCACCTTATCTCGAAGTTCGTTTTGGTCAAAATTTTTACAAGCGGGACTGTTATGTAAGTGCTTATGTTCCTTCTCTTCGTACTGGTTTAAACATCTAGTCTTTCGGTAATTTCGCCCAGTTTTTTATACCAGTTTCTTTGCAACCTTGTAACACGTGGCTTACGTTGTTCATACTTTGTTAGGAAGCTGCTCGTTTTTCCCACTCGGTTATTAGTTTTGTTAGAATTCGTTTGCAAGCCTTCTCCTTTATCCTTGAAGATAGTCTTTTGTGAGTTTGTTTCAGAGTTTAAGCTAGTCTTTTGAGATCTTTCCTTTATATCGGAATGATTGGAATGTTGGTCCGTATCTTAGAATTTAGCTTAGCTTCTTCCTTATTTCAGTTTCATATTTCAGTTTACGATAAGTACTTGGATACCTCGCCTACGCTAATAAAACGATTCAAATCTTTTCCGCACAATATATCCTCGCTTCATAGTGCGTCTTCACTAGCGAAACTCATAGTTGTCGTTGAAATTTGCTTCGCTTGTGTCGGCCGCTACATTAACAGAAAAAAAACGAGTGTCTCGATCAAGTATATTCAGCATTAACCAATCACTCTTAAATTGAAGCTTAGCGAAACGTTGTTCAGGATTTTTCTTGCTTCTTTGTGCGTGTTTTTCAAAATGGAAATAGTTGATTCTGTAAAATCGTCCAGTTAACCAGTAATAATAATCATCATAATAGTAATAACAAATTAATATATATAGCGGTACATACGAAAAGCTCCTTATCATAGTTGGAAATTGACCGTTAATCACAAGTAGCTCTGAAAAAGAAACCAATGGGCTCAATTCAAGGTTTATGGGTGAGACATTATATAGCCTGAGGACAGCGGCTGAAAAGACCCTAAAAATTTTAGTTGGGTCTTGGGTATTTACAAGAGTTATCCTAGAATCTCAGTGGCTCGTATCATCATCATGGCCATTAGGACTCCTATGCTCCTTCTATCTCGGTTATACAAGTTTTGATTCTTTAAATTTTTGACTCGTATTTTTACTTGACGGAACTCAAAGCGATCAGAGAGCCTTCATTTTTTTCAGAAGAGTAAACCCAGTCGCTCATTCAGTTCTAGTTCCCTTTGATTTCTATAACGAAACCCTAAACAATTACCCAATGTTTTGACCTTAAAGAACGCTATCAGAAAAACAAATGTTTCAAGTTTTGTTTTCAAGTGTACAATAGGATGCGGTAACGTAATGTCGATGATTCTAATACTTCATGTTTTGCTTTTATTTGTATTTTCTTAGCTTTCGTTAAAGTAAATACCTTCTTTTGTTTTATTCCCACTAGCCTCGAGCCATGTTAGAATTTTAATATCGAAAGTGGCCTCTTAGATAACTTGTGATCATTGCGTAATAAGTAGCACCTCGATCTTATTTAAAGCTCTTTTTTACTCAAAAGTTGTAAATAACTGAAGGTCTCTGACCGAAACGTTTTTATTAAATTTTTTATCTTTTTTACGTCAGAAGTTGTCCATCCTCGCATCTTTCTAAACTCTCTACGTTCGTGTTTGCTGTGAGGTTTGGACGAATCTTTATTGATCCTCCTGGTGCGGTGCACCTTTTTCGACCTGAGAGTTCTAGTAACAATTTTATATATATATATATATATATATACACATAAAAAATTATATAAGTCTGCTCAAATAGTATGAAATATCATGACAACATAATAGTAATCAATTATAAAATATATCAATTATAATCAATTATAAAAATCTATCTTTATTTACGTTAAATTTATTAAGATAAAATTTATTACTACTGTTCTTAATTGATGAGAAATGTTCAATTGTTCCGATATCTAGTGGTAGGCAATTCCACAGGTCTACAATACGACTGAAGAAAGAAAACTTAAAAACATCAGTTTTAAAAAGGCCTTTCACCAGCCAGTGTAGGTTCACTATTTCTGATGTTATATTTGGGTGTCTTAAAATTTACACATGACAAAACATTGAAATCAGTATAACCTTTCAGGTATACTTAAAGAAAAAACAAAGATCCAAGATCTCTCTTCTATATTCTAAAGGTAAAAGTTTCAGTTGGTAACGTTTCCGCACAGCCCCATACTATTGTAAAACAAATCTGTTTTCCTAATAGCAATATGTTTTTGTCATTGTTTTCTCTATCCAAGAACTGAATGCATAATGTAGTATGAGGTTGTGCGGAAATTTTACCTTTCAGTTTGACAAGTCTCTCAGGATAACTTAAGTCAGTTTTCAGGATAAATTTAGTTGCAAGTCTCTGTGCACGCTCAAGTGCAGTGATCTTTTCTTTAATGTAAAGTGACCAGACCTGTGAAGCATACTCCAGCTGTGATCGAAAAGGTGATTTGTATAAAAGTATCAATGTTTTCTGATCACATTCATTGGTACAATTTCTTTTGATCATGCCCAGCATCTTGTTGGCAAACAAACATATACAATCTTATCAAAGGAATGCTTGCTTGTCCTTGGGGATTTCAATATCCACGTGGACATTCCAAATGATATCGACGCGGTGAAGTTCCTTGATCTTCGTGAATCGCTTGGGCTTGAACAGCACGTTACCAAACCGACACATATATTTGGTCGCACATAAGATCTCTTTATCACGAGGAGAACTGAGACACTGCTGGGGTCAACTCCACGCAGTTGTCGCTACTTCTCTGATCATTCGGCTGTTTGCTGTAGTATTCGCATAAAAAAGCCTGCGCCCTAAGCCAAGAGGGTGACTTATAGGAAGACCAAGTCTGTTGATCTTGACGGCCTCAAGCAAGATATCGCGAAGTCAAGGCTGTGTTGTCCATCCTCTTGTGAAGATTTTGACAAGTTTGTACAAAGTTACAACTACACCCTAAGCAGTATACTAGATCGCCATGCGCCACTGAAATCAAAAGTAATGAGGTCAAGGCCCCAGGTCCCCTGGTACAGCCAAGAAATTGCCGAGGCGAAAAGAGAGTGACGCAAGGCTGAGCAAACGTGGAGAAAGACAAAGTCCGCTGAAGACCTGCTGTTGTTCAAGAGATTACAAAATCAAGTTAACCGGGCACGGAGAAATTTTTACGTGGGCTTTGTAAAGGAACAAGATGGTGATCAGCGAAAACTTTTCAGGGCAACAAAGGCACTCCTTATGCCGAAGGATGAAATCTGTTTCCCCAATTGTCATGATGTGGCTCTGGCAAATGACATTGTCCGCTATTTCCATCGTAAGATCCTTAATATCCGTAATGAACTAGACGGTACCGATGTTACCCAGAGAGATGTGGTGACCTGATTGACGACCCTGTTTTCAGCTCAAATCTCGAACCACCACGTGGTTTCAAGGAACAGACAGAGAAGGATGTATACCAGCTCATTTAGGCTTCAGCTAAGAAAAGCTGTATGCTCGATCCTTTGCCAAATTCTGTCTTACTGGGCAGCCTTGAAGAACTCCTTCCAATAATAATGTGGTCCCCCCAAAAAGAATCCTTCCCCCATCCCCGCCCCCCTAATCATCACATGCCAGTCCGACCAGATTGTAAGATCCACACCTCGAATCGACTGCTATTTCTCTGATCATGCACCAGTGTTGTGTCATCTTCATTCAATAAAGCCTTCTTTCTCCACCAGGACTCTCTCGTATAGGAAAATAAAACTAGTGAACGTGGATTCCCTGAATGATGACCGAGCTAATTCTGAGCTGTGTAAAAATCCACCGGACGACCTCGAGGAACTTCTTTTGTCCTATAACAAAACCCTAATAGCTGTGCTGGACAAACGATTGTTATGCGTCCGCAAGTTCCATGGTACACAGACGAAATCAGACAAGCCAAGAGAGAGCGACGGAAAGCTGAAAGAAGATGGAGATTGTCGAAACTTTATTACAACCTGGCTGTATTTAAAGTTAAGCGCAATGCTGTCTACAATCTTATGAACAAAGCACGACAGGCATTTTACGCTAAACTTATCGAGGATAACAGCTGTAATCAGCGAAAGTTGTTTCGTGTTAGTAAACGCCTGTTTAATCAGTCGCAGGGTGATGAGTTACCTCTGAATCTGCACGCCCACACTTTTGCAAACGAAGTTGGAAAGTATTTTGTGTCAAAGATTGATATAATCCAGCGACAAATCGATGCTGATATTACAGATTTACCTGCCTCCCCATCCACCCTTGCTGATGGCTTTGCTCGGTCCACTCATCGTTATCTGCATTCAAGATCCTGTCTGCCAACAGTGTTAAGTCGCTTATACATAATTCAACATTAAAGTGTTGCCCACTTGACCCAATGCCCTTTCGCTTGGTCAGCTGATGTGATGCTCTTCTTCCCATCATTACTATGATCATTAACAAATTATTACAAGCCGGACACTTTCCTAAGTCCTGGAAGGAGGCAGTAGTATGTCCGTTACTCAAAAATCCTGGTCTTGATATCATATTCAAGAATTTCAAACCGGTAAGCAATTTAGCTTTCTTATCGAAGCTCACTGAGAAAGCAGTCTTCCATCAGATACGCGAACACATGGTCGACACGAATCTATACCCGAACGCTCAATCAGCTTACAGGGTGCATCATAGCACTGAAACTAACTCTTCTGAAAGTGAAGAATGACATCCTGCTCAATATGAATAAACAACATGTAACCCTTCTAGTGCTACTCGATCTTATTGCTGCTTTCGATACAGTCGAGTATAATATCTTGCTGGAAGCACTCAATACGCTGGGACTTGGGGGCAGGATGTCCAAGTGGTTCCATTCATATTTATCAGGGCGCAGTCAGAGGATATTAGTCCGTGGGTGTCCGTCGAAGAAGTTTGATTTGAACTGCGGAATACACCAAGGCTCCTGTTTAGGACCGCTCTTGTTTACCATCTATACGAGCTCGTTACCAGACGTCGTCGAAAAATATCTTCCATCTGTCCACTGCTATGCAGACGATACTCAACTTTACGTCTCTTCCGCCCTGCACATGAGACAGGTCACCTAGATGCCATTACTGCTATTGATTGTTGTATTAAGGCGATCAGGTGTTGGATGCGTGAGAATAAACTATTGTTGAACGAGGAAAAAACTGAGTTTCTTTTAATTGGCACGAAGCAGCAGCTCGCCAAAGTTGATATTGGACACATTAAAGTTGGCAAAGTAAATATAGCTCCGCACTCTCCTGTCAAAAACCTTGGAGTCTGGTTTGACTCAAACCTATCTATGGTTGATCATATCACCAAGACTTGCTCTGCAGCGTTTTACTATCTTTGTAACATTAGAAGAATTAGAAAATATTTAACAAAAGAACGCACGGAGACACTTATTCATGTCTTTATATCTAGCCGCTTGGACTATTGTAACAGCCTCCTATTTGGAGTTCCTGAGTGCCATCTTCACAAATTACAGAGAGTCCAGAATGCAGCTGCACGTCTTATATTCCAGGAGAGCAGATTTTGTCATATCACACCTCTGCTCAAATCATTACACTGGCTGCCTATAAAATATCGCATAGTTTTTAAAATTATCTTAATTACTTTTAAAGCAATACATGATCTTGCCCCGGTCTGATTTCTGTTAGAGACACCGGAAGATATAATTTCCGTTCCAATGACGGCTTATTCCTTTCTCCTTGCAGGGGCAAAACACTCACCACGCTAGGCGATCGATCTTTCCATGCCGCCGCCCCTAAATTGTGGAACGATCTTCCGGGCTCTATCAGAAACACCCAATCTTTAAACAAGTTTTTTATTTGCCAAAGCTTTTTAATTCTTTGTGTCTAATTTCATATTTTTATATTTTCTTAGTGATCATTTTTATTTATTTATTTAATTTTTTTAAAATTTTTTTTATTTTTTTATTTTATTTTAATTTTCTTTAGTTTTTAGTATCTATGTAGGGGTTGAATTTTTAACATTTAATTGTAATGCACAATTGAAAATTCTTATATTGACAATTGCGCAATATAAGTCTATAAATTATTATTATTATTATTATTATTATTTATTCCTTTTCACTATCCACGTTAGGTAGTTATGTTGAATGAGAAAGACTTAAGCGTACGAAAGCTTATCTTTGCTAAAGAGTTGACCAGCTGTAGTGGATAGGTTATGTTTGACTCGTTTTCAAGGATCAATGAACTGGAATCAATTTAAAGGTTCAATGTTTATCATCTACTTAGGTGACAGTGAAATTCTGTCTGATTCCTACTTTTGCAACCTGCGCTTCACACGCAAACGTATCAGATGGTTGAGGGGTAATTTCGACGGGAGTTCTAATAAACAATTCACGTGCAGATAATTTGAGCGCATAAATTTCGATTTGATTTTGTCATAAACAGCGACATGCTGATGACTTGAAATATATCATCACCCTTATTTTTGTTTTCGTCATTGAGCGAACTATGGGCAAGGAGAGATTGGGCTCAGCCAAGGAACAGGAATCTAAATCCAGCTCCTCCTCGTCCTAATCACAATTACGCGTTTGCCTTCCCTCTACTCTCGTAGGACCGTAAGATGATAAAACGGTCACTAGCCGTCTCTAAGATCGGTTTTTGTTGCAGGTTAGAATCATTTTAGCAGCGGGACCACAAGAACCCCCCCCCTCCTCCCTTACAGAGATTGTGTCCGTTTAAATATTTATTCTTGCACATCAAGAAAGCTTCTTTATGCTCGAATTAAAAAAAACTTTCCGGAAGTAATCGAAATAACCGTTACTACGTAGATATTTCTTATTTTTACCCTTTGTTCTGATTTTTTAACCTTAAATGTTCCATTTATAGTGATGTTTCCGTTACAAGAAGTATGAAACCTCAGACATAAAAAGCGATTTGTAAAAGTTGTTGAGTTCGAAAGGATTGTGACTTTTGGCCCTTCACGGTTTTTGAATGACATTTTAATCACAAGTGTGTCCGCAGTGGCCAGAAAACACAACTAGAGACAGGCTTTGGAGACCCTTGTTTACCAATATACTGCTGTATATTATGTGCATATCTAGATTCGAATTGGTGTAAATGTTCATCTATTGTGGTTGCATGAAGAATATTAGTTTTTGAAAATGGATTTATCCTAAAAGGCTGTAGTAAATAGTATGTGTACAATGGAGACCAGATCAGGAAGTTATTCGTTGAAAAATCATTCACTTGGATGACATACTAAAGAAAACAGAATTGACTGGAAAATAAACATTTATTCTATCAAATTTCTCAGATGTCAAACTGTTGTATGGGAAAAAATTCTTATAACTTCAACATGCAAATGTTTGTGCTGGTCGAGGTTTCTGGTGTTCGCAAGGTGAAATGGAATGTGTTCTCTAACACGACTTTCTTTCAACACGGCGACTGCGTTTTTGTCCTCGGCATTTTCCGGCTTTGGTTGCAAAAGTAAAGTTTCACTGCACGTAGGAGTCCACCAGTCCTTGTAAACATGAAATCCTCTTATCCAGGAAGAAATTTTTAGAATTCGGTTGTCACTCATACTTTTCGGGACCCTCTCAGTGTTAGTTGACAAACTACATATGCTATATAATATGCCGATCTCCGTAGTGTGAGGTGAGAAGTACAGTATGCTAATTACAATTGAAAGTGCCTTTATTTCAAGCAAGAATGCACTCTCAAAACGAGCTAGAGCATCACAAACGCAAAATATAGACGAGGTAACGTATGAGTGGTAGCAAAAGGCAACAATCAAGAATATTCGCCTGACCGGACCAATGTTGCAAGGAAAAGCCAAACGACCTAGTGAAGAGCTTGGAGACTCAGAATTCACAATGTCTAACGGATGGCTCGACAGATTCAAGAAAAGGTTTAACATTAGAATCAAAGTTATAAGTGGTGAGGCAGGAGGCGTTAGGGAGGAAATTGTAACATCTTGGCAAGAGCGCTTACCGAATATCTTGAGCGGCTACTCCCCAGAGAACATCTTCAACAAGGACGAAACAGGTCAATTTTTTCGAGCACTTCCAAACAGATCTCTAGCCGAGGTATCAAAGCAGTGTACTGGAGGGAAAAAATCCAAAGAAAGAGTAACGTGCACATTTTTTGTGTGCGGTAGAGAAAAATCGATTGCTATCGGCAAGTCAAAAAATCCGAGTTGCTTCAGAACAATCAGGGATACGTCTCAACTACCCTGCTCATACTTCAGACAGCCTAAAGCCTGGATGGATTTTAACATCCTAGATGACGTGCTATTCAAGCTTAACCGAAAATTAGCACGGAAGCGAAGGAATGTTATTATATTTTTAGACAATGCCCCTTGCCATCCTCCAGATATGAAAGGCAAATACGATCATATCAAGATTGTGTTTTTTCCACCAAAATGTAAATTCAGACTCCAGCCTCTTTCTCTTGGAATAATTCAAACATTCAAGCTAAAATACATGAAACTGATGCTGACACATGTCGTCAGCAAAATAGATGACTGCGACTGTGGAATTACTCCAAGCCATTAGATGGATTGCTCAAGCCGGGGAAAACGTGTCAGAATCGACTATCAAGAAATGCTTTATAAAGGCAGGTTATCTTTTGGAAGACGAATCTCTAGTTTCATTTCCTGAGGAACACCAAGAATTTGATCCATTCCAGGAACTAGCAGATAGTGAACTGGTGCAGGTGAATTCATTGTTGATGCAAGATTTTAAGTTTTCACAGCTGCTGAATGGAGATTACATGCCGAGCTGTCCTAAAACGTTTCGTAAACGTGATCGGACGTAACGCTTGCGCGCTTGCGTGACTTACAAAGAAGGCAAAGGTGACCGGAAGGCGCCTTCTCGGTAATTTACGTTGAAATATCAGGTCAGGAACTACGCACAGTGTGGAGTAGATCAAAATTAAAGAATAAAATTTGGCACTCTGGTCATAACAGACATATCGCGTTGCTTAAAAGGACACAAAAACAAGTTAAAATAAGTTACAGTGTTTATATTTACAAAACAACACGCATACACTCTGAAATAATTCTTGCAGTTTCTCCCGAGATTTAGGATACGGAACCCGATGAACTAACTCTCCTTTCCGCAGATTTGTTTCCACCACTATTGATGTTACGCTCTTATGGACCACAGCGTTTTTGAGCGACAAACTCGACATTTTCCTACGACCATCAAAATCAACTGGACAAACCCAGCTTGATATATTGCGTGACGGGATTGTGCAAATTTTCCCCTTCCTGTATGGCCTGTTTCGCGGGTTCTACAAATTGAAACCAAAATTAGTTAATGTAACGAATTAGAATCGAAAGTTATGAAAATGGACTGAATTGCATTTTAATGAGAATTTTAACATTTAGAAAGGTTTACTTGATTCATGGAAAGCAAAGGTTGGAGTGGCTTTGGGTATTTCAGCCCTGATTTCTCTCATGGAATGCCAGTGTCACAGCGGGTTTGGACCTCCCGCGGATTTGGACCCCCCTACCAAACTTTCCTTTTAAGCATCCTTTGTAACATGTTTGGTAACTAATTCTATTTGCAAGCTTTTTGTCGATGTTCTTTTCAATCACGACACAACATTCCTCAATAAAGGTTAAAAAAAAAATCCAGCCATTTCTTTCTAATTCTACCGCATTTATTATAGCGAGTTGTACAATATAGGCAGGAATTAGATGTGAAAAAACTACTGCATTCGAACCATTGAAATTGTTGCAATAAACCTTTGCTTCTTCTGATGCGAATCAACATTGATACGAAACGTTATAACAATGGTGGAAACTATTGTGTCCAGTCACAAAAATGACTCAGTCTGATTTTCTAAAATAATAACATTAAACAGTTTGTGAACAAGAACGAAGAAAGTACTTCTACTACAAGTCGTTCGTAAAGCCTATGATAAGTGAAATGTTTCTATTCTGAACTATTGGAACTCTCAGCTTATTTTCAGATGCAAATAAACATTAATGTCAATGTCTTAACAAAAGTGGAGACTATTACATCGAACTCAATCTTCTTTTCTAATTTTAACGATTATTAACTGTTGAGGGATCCGAAAATGCAGAGCCACTCGCCTTCCGGGGCAGTCTTAAATCCCTCGCAGTTCATGTATAACCGTTCCTCGCACAACTCGCACTGTACCATGTCGTCCCAAGACTCGGGCATTGAACAACGACAAAATAAATTAGTGTCACAAGTTTGACTCTTCTGGAATCTAGCGGTGTTCGGCTATCGCGGAAAAGGTTCAAAAACGACCTCTCTCCAGACATTAAACATCCGACAGGATGCCAGTTCGAACGCATTGACGATACGCATGTTTTGAATTAAAAACATACTTTGGTACGCACTGGAACGTAAAGTATCATCCATATCATCCCAAACCCACTTCAATCTTTGCTTTCCATGAATCAAGCAAACATTTAAAAGATAAAATTCTCATTAAAATGTAAAATTCTTCTGCCATTTTAATAACTTTTGATTCTAATTCGTTACATTAACTAATTTTGGTTCCAACTTGTATGACAAAGAGAAAAGTTTGCACAATCACGTCACGCAATATATTAAGCTGGGTTTGTCCAGTGGATTTTGATGGTCGCAGGGAAATGTTGAGTTTATCGCTCAAAACCGTTGTGGTCCATAAGAGCGTAACATCATTAATGACGGAAACAAATTTGCAGAAAGAAGGGTTAGTTCATCGGGTTCCGCATGCTAAATCTTGGGAGATTTAAGAATCATGCAAGTGATCTTTGGCACCAGCGCAATAGAGCAAACACATGGATTTGCGTTGTTTTTAAGAAGTTGGTGGATGGAAGCTAGAGGTATACCCGCGGGTTTGAGGCAATCCATGACCTCATTGGTGTATAAACTATGTACTGATATGCTTTTTCAGCCCGATTAACGCCTGCATTATGAGAATTCTTTCGTACAAAGTAGTGAATTTTTGATATGCAAGTTAAGGTCGAAGAGAAGGGTCTCCTCTGATCACGCTGGTATGAAAAACATTTTAGCTGAAGTTTCCATATTTTATCTGTGAACTAACTGAATATATCTTGTAACTTGTAGCAAGATAGAATTCCGTGAGCTACATTGTTGCATTCGCTGCGCGCTGGACATAATATTTGAAATTTACACTTTCGATCGTTGTCCACAGGGGTGGTCTAGCCAAAAATCATATTTGATTTGTGGCGACGCAAAAAAAAAGAGAATTGGAGAACAACTAAACTATTTTTGAAACATGTGTCCTAAACCCTTTTCATGGGCAAAAAATAAAAGAGAATTTTTTTCCGACGGGAAGTCGAGAGGACCGCTCTTAGCGAGAGCGGCACTTAAAAGATTTTACTCTGAGACTGAACTTTTTACTTTTACAGTTAAGAAATTAAACAACGTTTTCTCGTAAAACTGTCTGCTTTGGTCTTTATATCGATAAAACATGCGTCCCTGAGAGCCCACTTAATACGGACACCCAGATAATACAGACACTATGGCATGTCCCCTTGGTGTCCGTATTAACCGGGTTCCACTGTATTTCGTCTACACAGCACAAATCCATTGACTATCACCGAAACCTTACTTCCTAAATAATGATCAGATAAAGACTTTACTCAGTAGCTTTTACTCATTTAAAATTAGTCATTGAACATACTGATCGCAAACAGCTGTTTACTCCAGTAGATGAAAATTGATTTTACTTCAAATTAGCATTTAAGGTTAAGTCCCTCGGCAAACACAAAGACATTGGCTATAATTGTCACCTTTTTTTAATGCTGAAATGGTCAATACACTTAAATTTGCAGTCGTTTTGTTAAGGTTCGACAATTAGGAGAAAATATTCTCTTAGTTTGTTGTCAATTTTGAATTTAAAAAAAGCTTTACAAAACAAGGAGTTAAAGTTAGGGACAGTTAATTGATCGGAAGCGAAAGACAAAGAATCAATAAAACTTAAGGACAATTTAAAGATACACCAGCTACAAACTGGATATAAAGCGATCCTTTATTTTACATAACTTTTTTTAGATTAGTTGCATCTTTTCGTCTTTAATTCCCTTTCCCCTTAAACATAGTTATTTTATGAGAAGTTTTCATGTGTACTCAATTCTCAATTTTAATAATTTTTACAACATAGCTAGTAAATTTGTCTAATCAAATTCAATTGCGCGAGCGTGCTTCATATTCCTATTGTGCACGCTCATGACGTCAGCAAACAAATCCCTCGAGAAAAAAATTTCCATCGGGTTGAAAATGTTATAAAACAATTGGTTCATACGTCAGCTGTGCGTTCATCGAGATATGAAGCACAGAAAGAAGCAAGAAGCTAGAACTCTTGCGCATCTTTCTTGCTCTCCAAACTTCCCGCGTGCTTCATATCTCGATGAACGCACGCTGACGTATGAACCAATTGTTAATGAGCATTTAGAGACTGTGACTCATTCAACTTATTCCTCAACCAAGTAAAGTGGCTTAAACTTTTTATTTCCAGTTTGCCATGATGACTCAAGTCTCAACTTCACACAGATGATCTGGTCACTCAATTAGCACTCTATCAATGAAAATTCATCCAGGTAAGGAGGAATTGTTTTCCCACCAAAAAAATTTTATAGTACAGATGTCTCCATATTTGCCTTTTATTATCAATTCATACCGGAGGCACCTCATTTATTCCGCTTCCTTCCTTTTAACTCTATAAGCAATTTTCTGACGCGTTTTAAATGAGAAAACGTTGGTGAGGAAGTCCTCATGTGATTATAACTGAGGTGAGTAAGGTTTCAGCGATCGTGGCTGGCGTGTGCTGTTTAGACGAAATATTTCTTGCTGCGATCACAGATAACCTATAAGAAAAAAGGAAACGAATACAGAGTTATGTCAAAAACAAATTTTACGTCAGGTGGAATACAAACGAAAACATTCGGGGAACGGCTATGTTCCCCCTCGCTGGTGGGTGGGTTAAAGCAAGAAACACTTCCTTTCGCAGCAGTTAACATTCTCCTCGCCATCACAGCATTTGTTGGGAATTCTCTCATCCTGGTTGCCCTTCACAAGGAATCTTCACTCCATCCGCCATCCAAACTCTTGTATCGTTGTTTGGCGACAACTGACCTGACGAGTTGTCTTGTTACGCAACTTCCTCACGCTACTCTCTGGATGTACGTGGATGGTGAACTGTGGAGTCTCTGTCTATTCGCATATGACGCAGGCCACATCACAGGCTATGCCTTGTGTTTGGTGTCTTTGTTGACGATAACGGCCATAAGTGTGGACAGACTTCTCGCCCTGTTGTTGGGGCTAAGATACAAACAAATTGTTACTTTGAAGCGCACATATATTACTGTAGTTACCTTTTGGGTTGTATCTGTCGTCGCTGCTTTGTGTTTCATTTTAAACTACCATATAACATTATGGTATGGCCGTATAATAATACCTTCTTGCCTTGTTATCTCGGTCGCCTCGTACAGCAAGATTTTCCACACACTCAGTCAACATCAGGCTAAAATACACGATCCTGTTCAACAACATCCGCGGCTACCAAATGCACTTAACATGGCGAGATACAGAAAGGCAGTGAACGGTGCACTGTGGGTGCAGTTAGCAATAGTTGCTTGTTATTTGCCATATTGTTTGGTGGAAATTGTGATCACCCATTGCAAAACATATTCATCACACTTGGTCGTCTTGTGGGAAATAGCAATTATCTTAATTTACTTCAACTCAACATTAAATCCGTTTCTTTACTGCTGGAAGATTAGTGAGGTGAGACAAGCAGTGAAGCAGACAATCAGACAAGAACTTTGTTGTCCATGGAGTTAGATCTCTCTTGAGCTAAAATTTGATTGAATACTCTCAAAGCTGATTCAAAAAGTCACAGTTATTATTACGGATATGTTATCGAACAGGAAGAACTAGAAACGTTGCATGAGCTGTTGTCTATATTCTTTATTTCTACAGTAACAATTTATCCACAGCCCACGGTCAGACTAGTCTCGGATTAAAAAAAAAGGAAAATACGTTTTTTGCTTATAATTGGCTTTGACGCCATTTTACCTTACGAACCGTTTATAAGTCTTGTTAGAGACTCGAATTCGTTTTGATGTTTGAAAAAGTCTATAATGTATGCTTGTCAATTTGTAAAGATAATTTTATAATTATGCAAGCGTAGGATATAGAATTAACCATTTCAGGCCATTACTGAGAGAATTCTCTCAGAGATCGATCGTTTCTTCCTGAAATTAAAGATTACATCTAATTGTATACCCCTAGCTGTCAAAAACGTTTTGCCTAATAGAACGGAGTTTTATGTTTTGTTGCAAAATAATAATAGTAGCTCAAATTTCCTGTCGAAGCATTCATGCCTAGTCATACCTTGATTGAACTTTGTCAATGAAACAACTCGAAGTTGTGTTATTTACTTTTATTTAGTAAGACACCCAGCCTCTATTTTGTGACATTTAAGGATGAACAGCAAGAACCATATGTTTCCAAGTACTATTGATTCTCAGTCTTCAAATTCTGACAGGAAAACTTCCCTTAATTTGACTTGTCTTTATTTTTTTTTTAATTGTTTTGTAGAGCTTTTTTCGAGTCAAGAATTTGCCAAATTCCAGAGAGAGAAGCTGAACAGTTAATTATCGGCCCTCTTCAGGTTTTCATTTAAAAAGTGATTGAAAAGAGTTTTCATATCGTATAGTCAAATAACAATATAATCGATGTTCAAATGTTTACCATATTAGTTAACACTATTGTTAATTTGTAAAGTGTTGGCAGGTGCCCACATATTGGTGATTGTTATTGAGTAGCAGTCGCTACTCTGAATAATTAGAGAAAATTCACTAAAAATTTTGGGCAAAGCAATTCGTTCTCAGTCTTCGCTGAATTCCAACCAACTAACTTCCCTTGGCTGTCAATTTACTCCTTTCAGCCATTTTATAATAATATAATTTAGTCCAGAATTTCTCAATACAGAGAGAAAAGATGAACTCTTAATTATCGGTGCTTGTATAAAACAGTTCATATAAATAAACTGTTTATCTTATTGGCATTGAAAAAAATGATAAATGACTCTTTTTATCATATTGTCATCAAATAAGAATAACCTCGATGTCAGTATGTTTGCCATCTCTAATAATTTGAAACTTTATAGTTGGTAGGCGCCCACTTATTACTGTTTGGTAACTGAACTGCAGTGCTATTCTGAATAGTCAGAGAGAATTAATGGAAGATTTCAGGAAAGCGAATTTCTAAAAAACATTTAGGTCTTTTAGCGATTAAGAACTTTTCCAATCAAACAAATTTTTTTATTCGATAATGTATTTTCATAATAAAGGGGGTAAATTTCTAAAGAAACAGTGGTGCTGCGTCGGTGGGAGAGTATGACAGGGTAATTCAGAGTTAACAACTGAGTTGAAAACGTAAATTAACCACCGTAAAGAATTGAAAGGCTGACGTTTCGAGCGTTAGCCCTTCGTCAGAGCAATTGTATTTTCGTAGTCAGGATAATTGGTTATAGCGCTTCGATTCGCTGTCTTTCATATAGAAATAAAGAATATCAACAACAGCTTTCACGACGATTTTAATGAATCGCTTATTTCTCCCTTCTTGAAAAATATCCTTCGAGCCTTCTTAAATAAAAACTCAAGTTTTGACTGTCGGCGGATTCTCAATATTTATGGTCAGTGACTCTTTCGTGCGTTGCGTAAGCATGATAATTTATTAATCAAGATGCACAATAAAGGGATGGAAAGTTAAAACCTATTAACACTCGATGAAGCGATTACTTTCAGTCTACCTTTATTAACAGCTATTATTAACTTTGAACCTATAGTTGCTCTCGGATCCATCTTAAGCAACTTTTACCCATCTGAAGCACGAATCCACAACACAGTTGGCGCTGGCCTTATTTTTGAGTCTTGGGTTTTATCAGATACCAAATTATTCATTTCGCTTGCGTTACCTAATGACTTCTCATTCAACTTTACATTTCTTTTCACTTCAAATTCATTATTTTATTCCTTGACGGGTAAATAGCTGATAGACGAACAAAACGACTTATTTAGAGCGAAAAAAAAAGGGTTTGATTATCGTGTAAGAGTTCTTCCCCTAATTTCCTTCAAATTCTCTTTGATTATTCCGAAAACCGGCTGTTCAATAATATGTGGGCCGTAATTAGCTACTTATTTAAATAAATAAAGCGAAATTTAAGCACAAATTAGCAATAAAAGTTACTTCCCATGGCAAATACAAAGATTACGCCTATGTTCGGCTACAGGAATATTCTTAAAAGACGATTGCATTTTTTAAAAATTTTTTTTTTAACACTGAGAGTCAATTTTATTTAAAATGCTTACAATTAGTAGAAACATCTTCACATATTAATATGAAAAAAGGACAATTTTCTGATATCAAAACAAATTTCATTCGATCCGGAAACTGGCCTGTTCGTATGGCAATATGTCGTCAATGTTCAGCAACCTCTTTTAGGAAGGAAAAAAGGATCAATACCAGTACCTGGGCAACTGCCCACCTATCCCTCCCCTAACCCAACATTAACCTTAACTTGGAGGGATAAGTAGGCAGTTACCCAGATACTGATATTGATCTAGAAAAAATTTATCACTTTTTTATTATTATTCTATAACACACATACATCGAACATCACTCTTAAACTACTCTTTTAAGTTTTATCCAATGCTTCATATTGTTCAGAAGAATAAAAATGCAAATCTTTTCGTCGTTTACAAGTTATTGTCTTCATGTTAAGTGAAACAGCACGAAAAATGCTTAGAAAAAGAACTGGTCAGTGTTTCCATTGCCTTTCCTTTAGTTGTTTACGTGCGAAAATAAGTAAATAAATACATAAATAATGAGACTATCGACATACTTCGAGTAGCGATTTTCTAGCTCCCTATTTCTCTCTACTATTAACAGACCTGATGAGCGTTCTCCAGTAATACTAGTAACCAAATAGGTCATCCTTAAAAGTATTAATTCAAATGTAGCTAAAGAGGGATCTGACTCTATGGACGGCAAAGCACTCGTCTGATTGTCTGTTTCGCTGCCTGTCTTTCTTTACTAATCTTCTAACAGTAAAGAAATTTATTTAACGTCGAGTTAAAGCAAACTAAGGCGCTCTCTATTCTTCCTAGGACGACTAAGTGTGGCGAATATATTTTTTACTTTTGGCGATCCATTACCAGAATCGCGGTAGTGTCTCATATACCGGGCTCTGGAATAGCTAATAGTGAAAATATAGATGTAGTAGAAGGGTAAGGAGAGTGGGTACAGAGTTCCAATAGAACAGTGATTTGCTACCACACATTTATTTCGAAAAAAATTTTCTGCTGGCAATCAAAGTGATTTGAGAGTGAGAAAAGAAACGATTAATAAGACAGTAATCGGCTTGATTTGCCCAAAAATACATTGCTTGAAAATAATGCCCAGCTGAAAAAAACAATGTAATTCTTGAATTTCCCTATTACAAGCTCTCAGTTTCCTGCTTCAACCCTTTACCTCACAACTTTAGGGCTTTGTATCCATTGACACAGGGCAACTCTTGAATTCCCTTTTACAAGCTCTCAGTTTCCTGCTTAAAACCTGTTGAGCTTGTTTTTTTTGCGTGTGCGTCCCATAAGGCGTCTACTGAAATTTTTTATCGGTCTTTCGTCTTTGGTTCCTTGCAGATACAACAAATGTAATCAACCGAATTAAGTTTCTTCACCGCAATCATTTTGTAAGCGATGGAACGCAAAGTGCGCACGGAAGAGCAAATGTACAGCGAGGGCGAAAAAGTCAAATCCTCTGAGGCTCTTATTTCACTCGCGTCATGAAAGATGACTTTACAGAAAACTGAAAAAGACCGCTAACGCACTAAAAATTTTCAGCAGGACCTCTCAGCTACGCTCGCATTATTTCCCCTTTGTTTGGTAGATCGTGAGCATAAACTCTTTTGGTCCGAAACGCACGAGCTGGAGAAGAAAACAAGGTTACGAAAGTATTTCTTCAACTTAGGTCTTACTCTCAATGCAACCCAGAATTTTAAAGAGCTAAGTCACTGATTGCCCATCTAAAACCAATTTACAGTGATTTAGCACAGACATTTCTTGTTGTTCATTTGCAGTTTGTTTCTATATAATTCGGACAATGACATAATAATTGTTCAATTAAATTAAAATTGTTCATAATAATTGTTCAATTAAAACCAGAAAAACACAAAAGTATTCTCGCACTGCTGCACGAGAATTCCCGCCTTTCCAAGCATACAAGATGTTCATTGTCAGCATAAAGAGTGTCTGTATGAAGCATTACAAAATACTTCCATCAATGTGTTGCAATGTCCTCGCTGGAGAACACGGTCCTTCTTGCTTCTGTATGAAGCAAATTCCGGAATTCAAGATCACATGTCCTTCATCAGAAGAACTGAAGCATCACAAGGGCAACTTAACACAGCACCAAGTGAAAATAATCCTAAGAAGAGATGTAGAGTACTACCTATATCCCAACCTGGCCCAAGTAAGATGCCAAAAGTGGCTACAAGCTATTTCATCACAAAAAGTTTATCAGTGGTGGAAATGCTAAAGCTTAGAAAGACGATCGAGAAAACAAGCATTTCAATTCATTTGGAAAACTTTGACATGGAGGAAACGGTTTGGTCATATTCCTGATCTTCAGAAGCAATCCACAATCAACCCCCTGCCCAAGGTTTCTCCGCCTCAAGAAATTCAATCTGACTTGAGACCTATCTCTCTGACATGCACCCTTGCCAATGTCATGGAAGGGTTTGCGCGCAGCAGGCTTATGGCCCAAATTGGAAAAACTTGATTCACGCCAATACGCAAGGGAGGGGCACTCCACCACGGACGCCTTGATTTATATCTTACAGGTGATTCACGAAGTAACTGATAGTGGAAATTGTGGGGCTAGAATGTTCTTTATGGATTACTCAAAGGGTTTTGACCTGATTGACCATTAAATTCTTCTCAGGGAGTTGGCGTCTTTCGATATAGACACTGTCTTAACTAAATTAGTGCCTCCCTGACTGGGAGATCTCAAGCTGTAAGGATTGGTAACTCTCTGTCCGATTGGAAGTCACCCAGGGGAGGTATCCCACAAGGGACAAAGCTGGGTGTCATTTTGTTTGCTGTAATGACCAACAATCTTTTGTGTGAATGGCATTTGAAGAATAAATTCGTTGATGATAGCACGGCATTAGAAATCCTGCCAAGAAACGGTATTAGCTTACTAAATGTAGCTGTCAATGATATTCACAAGTTTTCTGTCAATAGAATACGAAATTAAACCCGAAAAATGCAAAGAAATGTTGATTAACTTCATGCAAAATGATAATTTTACTAAATGACTAACAACACTGTTGTATGTGCAACAACTTATAAATTACTCGGTGTTATAATCAGCAATGATTTACAGTGGAACAAGCATATTGATTACATATCGAAAAAAGCTTCGAAACGCCCGTATTCCCTGAAGATTCTTAAAAAAGTGGGTGTTAATAGACTGGGAATTGTCAAAGTTTATTTGACAACAATATGTCGTGATTGTTTTTTTTGGAGTTTCGTGACTTTTGTGATTGACAAGCTCGTTTTGAAATCATGTGAGCCTCAGTTCAAATTACGTACCTTGCGGAAAATACGCTTGGTAACGTTTTGAGAGAGGAGAGATTTGGAGTCGTAAACAACATTTTGCGAAGATTAAGCCTTTAATTCGAGAAACGTTAGTGAGTTATTTGGTGTCCTGGAAAGCGGAATTTTGGTTCCCACAAATAAGACCTACACTAGAATATGGCGTACAAGGCTGGCAAGATATTCCTGAATTTCTTTCAAATAAGCTGGAGTCAATTCAAAAAAGGCATTACATATTATCTATCCTTGCCCTTGTTACTTAGATGCCCTTAATACTACCAACCTTAGCAGTTTGAAAGAGAGACGAACTCAGCTCTGCTGTAAATATATTTAGAAGATTGCTAAATTAGACCACCCCATTAACTTCCTCAAGCCGAGAACAGCATCTAACGGTCATAGTTACAACTTGCGGGCCAGCAACAACAATAGAAATATTGTTTACGCTGATAGGAGTTCTTGCTGGACCCAGCGTTCAGGTTCCTTTTTTCATTCGCTAGTAAATATGTGAATATGTAAATAGTAATTTATGACATTCTTATTTTCTGTATAGTAATAGTGGTGTTAATTATTTGTTGATTGTTAATTTATAGCCCTTTAATTCAGTTAATTCTGCAACGTGGCAAATAAACGGTATTCATATAAACAGACCACCAACTGTCGAATTCAACATTGACAAGGAACCCTTAAGGGGAGTTTAAAAATTTTTTCGAGCTCTCCACCATTAATAAAACATTATTTACCTATATTATCACCATACAGTTTTTTGAAACCATTTGACAGTCGCACACAAAATTTTCATGTAATATTTGATAACAAGCAAGTGATGTATGTCTTGTGATTTCGCTTCGGAAGAAAGTTGCAGTTATTGCAATTATGAAGGTTGGAGCTTACGTATGGTAGCTGTGTTTGTGGTTTTATAAAAAAGTACGTATGTCACATATATATCATTATCATTTAATCATAATTAAAAATAAAATACCTATCATTTCGCACTGCAGGTGAACTCTTATGAAACATCCAAATCTGATTCTAAATTTTTTTTACGAACCATCTCACCTACACTAAGCTCCAAGTGTACTTTGCACACACACTTTTAGGAAAACCCTACTTTGAGTGCATGACCTGTGAAAACTTTTAGATCTTATTGCAAAATTTTCAGTTTTGTAGGTTTTTTTAACAAGTGAAGACATGGTATCCGGTCACTTCGTTCCATGACCACTTCGTTCCAAACCACTTCGTTCCAAAGAATAGTCACTTCGTTCCAAGTGTAAACTAAGCGTGTAAACTTCTAATCTTACAAAACTAGTAAACGGTATACGCCGTCTGTTGTGACGGCCATTTTGAAACTTGTGAAGTACCTGCCGTGTGCGTGGAATCTGGGACTACCGGAAACAACTATACGTATACACGTTGATCACAGAAACCAGACCAAACTAAACCTTGATTTCATTATTTCAACATCGCTTTACTTTTTTATCAGACTTGAGTAAAGATGAACCTGCTTGTTATTACTAAGTTAACCTTTCTTTACAGTATTTATTAGTTTTAGACTGACGAATATGCGAAATCATGTTTAGATTGAACATAAACGCGAAAAGATGTGAAACCACGCGTTGATCATAGCAACCAGAATAGAGAACTTTCATCAAGACAACATCTCCATGTGATCACAAAGCGCTTCACTATTTTTCCCTTTTATAAGATATGATCCATCTTTCATCATACTTTACTTTCATCATACGTTACTTTCACTGAAGAAGATGCAAATCTATGATTTGTTCGTAAAAACCCGACTACTTGCTGGAACGAAGTGACCAAAGGATGGAACGAAGTGGTTTGGAACGAAGTGGTCATGGAACGAAGTGGCCGTAATTCGAAGACGTATTTTCCGAGTCTGAAAGACAAGGAAAATACAATTTTTTAGTTAAAATAAATCCCCATTCAAATGGAAGATCATTCAAGAATGTTTTCATGGGTTGGTAAAACTCCCATACTTGGGCATATTCAATTATGTATAAAAATCTCACACTTCTAATGTTTATAATTATTCCTAATTATAAAAGTACGAAAATTATCCCTTTAGTTATTTTCGACACTAAGATCACTCAAATTAGGATCAAATTTTTAACTAGGCATAAATTAACACATTATACCAAACAAATGATGAAACTATAATGTCGGTCTTGATTTCATGATACAAGTGCTACTCTCACCTGGTTTGAAGTCGATGGCCCGTAGATTACCATGTCCATCACATGGAAATCCTCCATAACACTATGTTGCTGCGGAAGATATGCATGCATGGTTGCCATCCCACTGGTTTCAGTTCCCCTGTCTAGCCTCAATTTAGAAGCAACTCTTCTTGTCTTAAACAAGTACTGCAAAAAAAACATCCAATAAGATTTGGATTGCTGTTGGATATCCAAACTTTCACCCAAAACCCCTTTTGGCTGCACATATCAATACACCCCTAGACAGCAATTGAAAAAGAACTATTTTGATAGCCCATCAACTTCTCGTGCCCATCAAGTGAGTGGACAAAGTAACACATTTTTTAGATCAGATGATATAAAACGACCTTCAGATGTTTCTTTTTGAACTTGGGAGCCCTCTGCTCTAGGGCATCAGGATCTACCTGGTAAATGGCAGCATGAACCAAATCTCGTGGTACATTCATGTCGTAGACTTACCTTATCTTTGTAAGCAACGCCCTATGCCCTAACAGTTTTCCTGGCCCTTCCATTTCTTGTCGCAATGTGCTCTCCACTTAGTCGATAGTTGTTGTCATCTGTCTTTTAAATCTCGAAGTACCTTAGTCTTCTGTGTAGAGTTCTAAGGCTCCAAGCATATTGTTCAAAATCTCTAGACACGAAGTCTAGAATCTAATCTTCAAATCACAGCTGCCGCTTGGCCCTTTTTGCAGAACACAGATAACCTGCGAAGAAAGAAATAAAGAAAGATCTGTTTCCTAAGCTGCAGAATTATTTCGAAAAGGGCTTCTTAGTCACAAATTCAAAACATTGTTTTCAATCAATTGCACTTGGCACATCTGTCTATACATCTCGTCTGTAAAACCCATTTGTTTCTTTTAATTATTTCCACACTGCTGAACGTCTTATTTTAAACACTGTTTTTGAACTTCAGTTGCCCGAAACTAACAATGATACGGTAAAAATCTCGAGATGACAGAAATAGTTGAAATACTTATCAGTCACTGAGACCTAACGGTGGAGGTTCTACTAAATTTCTGGAACCTTTTTCCATTGTACAGTGAAACAAGGAAAATGCAACCCTGACCTTTCTGATGGTGCATAACATTGTTGTGTTATAAAACTCTGGCGTTTCTGAATAATCAGAGGAAAAGACAGAATTTCTCCGACGGGGAAGGAATGTTTCTATCACTTAAAGTGAATAAGAGGAGACATTTTAAATCCGATCCGAAAACGTTGCTGAAGAATCTTTTAGGTAATTGTTATCATCAAAGCAAAATTAATTAAAACATTCGTGGCGCTAGGCATGTTGTATTGTGACAAGATATCTCTCGCTACAATTCCTGACAACTTGCGGGGGAAAAAGCTTATTTATTGATCTGCGAAATGATGGTGGCAACAAATTTGACAGGAAGTGGAACACCGTCGAGAACATTTCAAGAACTGGCATGCTGCTTCTTTTTGTTTGGTGGACTACAACAGCTAACCGTTTCTCTATCAGCATGTCAATATTTTGCTCTCCATCACAGCATTTCTTGGGAGTTTACTGATCCTTGTTGCCCTTCACAAGGATTCTTCCCTTCACCCACTGTCCAAACTCTTTTATCGTTGTCTGGCAACAACTGATCTGTTGGTTGGTCTTATTTGCCAGCCTCTCTATGCTACGTACTGGATGTCCTTGGGTTACGAAAAGAAGAGTCTTTGTCGATACGCAAAGGACGCAGGCTTCATAACAAGCTACGCACTATGTGTAGTGTCTCTACTTACGATGACGGCCATAAGCGTGGACAGACTTCTTGCTCTGTTGTTAAGACTGAGATACACACAAATTGTAACTTTAAAACGCACATGCATCATTGTAGCGATGTTTTGGGTTTTGTCTGGTCTTGCAGCTTCATGCTTCCTTTTAGATTACCATATAACCTTTTTGTACGGCCGTATAGTTGTCCCATCTTGTCTGCTTATTTCAATCGTCTCGTACACCAAGATTTTTCGCACTCTCAGTCATCATCAAGCACAAGTGCAAGATCATATTCAACAACAGCCGAGCCATTCAAATGCGTTGAATATCGTTCGATACAGAAAGGCAGTAAACGGTGCACTGTGGGTGCAGTTGGCATTAGTTGTTTGTTATGCATCGCACATTGTAGTGGAAATTGTGATGGCATACAGTGAAATATCTTCATCACATTTAGTCGTCAAGGCCATCGCGGTTTTCTTAATTTTCTTCAACTCGACGTTAAATCCTTTTCTTTACTGCTAGAAGATAAAAAAAGTAAGACAAGCAGCTACGCGGAGTTAGATCATCCTCGATTCAAAAAGAAGGCAACTAAGTAAATTGCAGTTTTGGTCCGAAATCGTAAACGTAATTCACAAAAGTGATTTCAGACCAAAATTGCACGAAACTGACGCTTTTTTACATCCATTTTGAAACCGAAAAACTTTCTGGAAATGCTAGAAAGGTTTCGAAACTAGAAGCTAAAATTCTAAAAATACTGCGTAACTCGTAACTCGCAAAATATCCCCCCGTGTCAGTACAATATGACCTGCGGTGATATCTAGCAGTAATACCGCGATTAATATTTCAAAATTGTCCAAACTACCACGAGCCACGAAGCGGTGAGTGGTATTTTGGACAATTTTGAAATATTATGAGCCAGTATTATTTCAAAATACCACGTATAGATCATGCTACTATTTGTTTATAACAGAAGCCGAGAAATCTTCGGTAACGCAAAAACACACATAGACGTCTGCATTCGTAACAATCTTTTTACGTCAATAAGAAAAAGGATTGACAGTTTTTTGTGAAACCAGTACAAACCACTGAAGGCGAAAAACATGAAATAGTTCAATAAAGGAAATTTTCAAATCACGGTTTTCGCAGTTACTGCAGCGGTAAAGGGAAACTACAAATAAGATACGCGCAAGCTTCTCCCAGTGTTTAATTGCTGCTCTGTTGAAAAACACGAACGCTAGCTCCGTAATTTATCGTCAACTGAGAGCCATGAAAGTTGTGGACTACTGTTTGGTAGGCTGGAGTCACTGTATTTTTGTGCTGAATGGGCAAACTACACTTGCTTTTGCGAATTTCGGCTAAGAATCGCGAGAGACACTCGTCCAGTTCTTTATCTTCGTATTTGACAATGTCATCTTTAGGATCCTTGCTTTCCGCTCACAACTTCCAAACATTCATCCACGTCGCACTAGTTTTGACCATATTTTTGTTTACTGCTTTTTCGGCGGGCTTATGTATTTCCTCACCGGAAATTTCTGAGAATCTTGAACCATTTTTTTTCAAAACAAAAGCGTAATTGTGTTCGGTGTTGTCATCCAATTTTGCCGTTTTATCACTATTACACTGAAATAATACTGTCCACCAATCAAATCTCACAAATTTCTCGCTTTATATCATAGTATGTTAAACTGCCAAATAAGGTATATAAAGCATCAAATTTATTTCAGAAACTCTTTAAAGTAACAAGTATTTTAAGAGAACGCACGTTGGACATTTTATTAGATAGATAAATGGTAGATAGATAAATGGTAGATAGATAAATGGAACTCAAATTTACGATGACAAGGAAATTGCAAACAGCTTTAATAATTTCTTCACTAAAACTGTGGACAGACTCGTTCAAGTTTTTGGACGATGTCTACCATCTGCACGATCGTTCAAATTTCTGATGTCAGATCCATCGTACACTTTCCGTTTTGAGGAAGTATCTGTCGATTTCATCCGTGATCAACTAAAGAAGCTCAAAACCAAAAAAGCTGTTGGACTTGATCAGTTACCTGCACGTCTGCTAAAGGACTCAGCTGAAATTATTGCCAAACCGTTGACTACTCTTGTTAATGCTTCTTTGATTTATGGATACGTCCCCTCTGAATGGAAATGGGCACGTGTAAATCCTTTGTTCAAGAATGGCAAATCAAATGACATGGATAATTATCTGCCGATATCTGTACTACCGACCATATCCAAGGTTATGGAAAGAGTAGTTCACACGTAGTTATATGATTTTCTGGCTAGAGAAAAGTTATTGAGTCCCTACCAATGTGGATTCCGCAAGGGCGACTCTACTGATTTGGCTGTCTTATCATTCACTGACAGCATAAGGCGCAGTATGGATCAGGGTCTACTAAATGGAGCAGTTTTCATCGATTTGCGGAAAGCGTTCGACACAGTGGACCATGACTTGCTACTGGAGAAACTCACTATGGGATATGGAGTCACTGGAAAAGAGCTTGGATGGTTTAGGGATTACCTAACCAATAGACGACAAGTGGTGACAGTTCAAAGTACTCTGTCAGACCCTTGTGATGTTGCTTTTGGTGTGCCGCAAGGTTCAATCCTGGACCATTGTTGTTTGTGCTGTTCATCAATGATTTACCTACTGCTATCAGCAAATGTAATATATTATTATACGCTGATGATGCTGTTGTTTTTACAGCCCACAAAGACATTAAAATCTTGGAGGAAACTTTGAATGCCGAACTAGATAAAGTGAATAAATGGACTCTCAGTAATTTTCTTTTTATCAACAAAAGAAAAACAGAATTTGTAATTTTTGGAACTGATGCTAGGCTTTCTAAAGCTACTGACACAGTAGTTATCAAAATAGGTGATTATGAGATTAATAGAGTTTATGATTTTAAGTATTTAGGCATCGTTCTTGACGATAGCCTTGCGTGGAAAGACCATGTTCGTTATGTTATTTCTAAGGTTGGTAAAAGAGTTGGTGTCTTAGGGCGCCTCAGAAGGAATGTCACTATACATGCAGCCTTCGAGACACATAATTCACTAATTTTGCCCATTTTTGATTATTGCGATGTTGTTTGGTCCAGCTGCAATAAAGCAGATATGGAAAGTCTTGAATCTTTGCAAAGGCGGGCCTCGAAAATTATAGTTAAATCTAAATGTGGTACAACATCCACCGACTATCTTAAATTTCAGAGTTTAGAAGATCGCCGTAACGCTCATTTTTTAAGTTTAGTATTGAGCATGCAGTACTAATTTTTTTTATTTCAAGGCTGGCAATTTGAAAATGTGGACGCCGAAAAGTGTATGCCGTCAGATTCAATAAAAATAGTAGGTAACTTTTAAGAGAACAGCGGAAAGGCTTCATGTTGTGAGACATCTAATGATAGTGATGAAGATTTTACAATCAATTCCAAAAAGTCTAAAGTTTGTAACCAAGGAGATATTCAGATTTAAATTCAGAAATAAGTGAGATAAAGTCAATGGTTATCGGTATAATGCAAGTCAACGAAATCTTGTCCTTGCCAATTGGAGTTGTAAAACTCCTACGAGATGCTTTCATCTGCAAAATCTGTCATG